ATTAATTCAAATTGATGGGAGCTGAATATCAAATGTTACTCTGCACTTAAGAGATAGGAGTAACTTAGCGATTGCATCAGTCCATGTCAATAGCAAAAATGGAGCAAAGACAGGATGGTGAGAAGTGGTTACGGATGATTTTTTTTTTCAGGGGGGGGGGGGAAGGGTATCAACAACTACCGGTACTGGTATAAATAATACAGGGAGTAACATGTCCATTGGTCTTGGACAGTTACAGTACATGTTTTCAAAGTTTTGCCTGGGAGGTGTCCTTGTAAGCAGGCAGGATTAAACGTTGACAATTGTCTCTGGGCTGTAGTGGACTGATACCTGGTTTGCGACAAGGCCTAGCTATGAGGGTGTTTCCCAGTAACCGAGATCTGTGTACCCCAAATACTGCAGTCTTTCAATGCCGCACGGTGAGGTACAACAATAGAATGAATAGCTCAGCTGGGTGGAGTTGTGACTAAAGATCGCCTCCTAGGGTTGGTTTCTATTGTGTTTGTCTGTCAAACCAGGGTTACGGGTTCAGTAGAGTAGAGCCATTTGGTATACAGCTGACAGCCTAGCTGACAGCGAGTGTGGGAATGCAAGACTCGGTGACCTTCTTGTCATGACATAGCAACTTTTCTCTATTGTAGGGCGAGGTTTTGTTAGTTTCTGGTAACTAAATTTACCTGGATTTTGTCATATGAATGCTTTGTACAGCTATTTTTTTAAAGCTCTACACACCTTTAATACATGTAGGTGTATTTATACAGGATGTTTTTAAAAACAAACATAGCAGTGTTCTTTCTACCACACCCAAATAGTGACACAATGCTGGGTTTATGACTTTAATTGTTTGAAAAAAAATGTTTGGAATGTACATGTAAACTGTTTTTTTTTTGTTTGTTGCTTGCATCCTGTAATTGGGGTTATTCTGAGAGTGAGGCGAGTTCGGGCATTCATGCACTATTGATCCCTCTTGCATGTTGTTTTCCCACGTATAAGTACACAGGCATAGTATAGTCTTTTGTGTGTACAAGAGCAATCGATTGTTTTAAATGACTGGAGTGAAAAAAAAAATTAAAAAACAAAGAGAAATGTGCAGAGTACCGGAACTCTGTTTGAACAAGCAAGTATTTGATATGTTATGCTTCAAATCAATGATTTAGAAAGAGGCTATTAAAAAGGGAAACCTCAAAACACAACTGTTTCAATTTGAAGCAAAAGAGGGCCTTAGGACATTATGAGTGTGTGTTCTGGGTGGGGGGTAGAGGCCTATGAATGAATGTGTCCATTGTATGCAAATGTTGAGTCTATTCTTGTTTCTTCAGTAAACTAGTGGTATTGGCCTTGCAGTCTATTGATTTCCATTTTGTGACATACTGTTATGCATATATTGTGGTGGTAGGGGAAAACATATGCATGTGAGACTGAAAACCTTTTTCACTTGACACTATAACAAATATAGTGCACATTTTTTTTCTTAGACATATACTGTATGTACATAATATAGTATCTCTGTTTATGAAAATGTGTTGAAAAACAGAGGGCCTATGGCTATGTGCTATATATGCCTCCAGTGTAGATTTAGAAAGAAAGAAAAACTTCATATTTTCTAGACCTTATAATTCATAATTTTGTTAGAAAATGTAGGAATGTATTATGTGTACACATCAAAATCAGAGATAAATGAGAAAATTTCCAAGAATCCAAGAAGATATCCTGTTTCCAAAGCATCAGGGAACTGATCTAGACTCTACCTCAAATTCATTTTCCAGAACAGTTTGTAAACAAAGCGCCTGCCTGCACAATGTATGGTGAATCCCCCTCATTTGCATAGGAATGAAGTTCACTAGGTCAGTGGAAAGGAGTGCAGGCCTCTCATTGGCTGGCTCGTTGCTGCCTGCTGTCAAGGCAGCTTTACACATGCATACAATGCAAGGGTCTGTGTATGGACTTTACTGTGTGTTTATATGCTGTGTGTATATATGGTGTGTGTATGCAGTCAGGTTTGTTTATATTGGAGAAAGTTTGTTGACCGGCCTGGGAAAAAGCAGCAGTGTTTATGTTTTGGGTGTAATTTACATAAAGAATGGTTCTGTATCTTTACTGCTCAGCTGACTGCAGTGTTCTACATGCACATCTACATGCACTGCAATTTTACATGTTTGTAGGTGGGGCATGCGCTTTCCTCAATGCATGGTGCACATGTAAATGCATATTATTATGCAGATTGTTTTTATCTTGTATGTTTGATTGATTTGATAAGAATGTAGATGGCTGTCAGTTATCGATCGCCTTCATTAATTCATATTTACAATTTCACCTGGACAGTTGTTCATCTTTACATTTCTAACAGAATGAAATATATCACCACACCAACACTAAATAGTGAAGTATACATCATTGCTTATGATTATGTAGGATAGCTGGACTCCATCTTCAGTATATATCTCGGTTACAGTTTACATAATTTGGTTTAAAATTTACTAAAAGAATCTCAGCTTTACTTTTTGAATAGTATCTTTTCTATGGATTTAGGGAGTCCTTCCTTCAGCTCTTTAAATTTCTCTTTCCTCTGCCTCTAACCTATTTCTCCCTCCCTCCCACTCTATCTCTCTCTCTCTCTCTCTCTCTCCCCTCTCTGTATCTCTGTCAATATCTTTTCATCTGACTATTCTCTTCCCCCCTTTCTCTCTCTCTCTCTCTCTCTCTCTCTCTCTCTCTCACTCTCTCACTCTGTCACTGTCACTATATTTCTCTTTCTCTCTCCCTCTATACATCTGTACAGACATGTGATGAAGCTCAAATGAAATGTCCTGGAAAATGTTCAACTCTGTTTCAATCTACTTCTAGTGTAAGGACTATAAAGCCAAGTAGCTTGTGTACTTGGAAATCCAGGAAAGTAGGTCACCCCAGTTTGTAAATCACGGCTGCCTTTTCCTGAGAAAAGAATAAATGTAATACCTACATTTCTTGAGAATTCATACTCTGCACTTGGTTTTGCATTTCAAAGACTCAATAATTAATTGCTTTTTGTGCACGTATTTTTCATCATAATTTGATAGGTTAGTGTCAAGAAACTGTTTGTTTATTAGGGGGCTATTTTTGGATATGCTACCGGTACTTTGTGACATTGTCTCACATTCACAGTGTCAGTGATATCAGTTATTTTGTTATCTCTAAAATACCTTTTTGACATGAGCTCTTTTTTGTATTTTTTTTTTTTTTAAATAGCTTTTTCCTGATCCAAAGCCAAATACCACTCACAATGTTTATTTTTCGCTGACTCATAGGTATGTTCTAACATTGGACCTTTTTTATACCCCAGGTACTGGTTCAAACATAATTAATGGGAGAAACTAGGTTATCTGTCAAGTGTCGACCTTGCCTCATGCACGGGTACAGGTGGACACATTGAGTTTGCATGCACAGACCCTTGTTCTATCAGTCGTAATGTATATATCGGAGCTAGTGTGACTCAGCTACTTGTGAGGGACTATGAAGACTGTTACCCATCGGCTATACATGTACCTGCCCTTGACCTACTGTATGTTGATTCAATCAGGAGGAACTTGGGTTAGGCTACACTCAAAACGCAATTTATTCCAATGAGGTATCAAATTTGGGTCTGTGTTTAAAGACTAATACAGGTGGTGCTTCAGTATTTATGCAGACTTTGCACTCGTTTTGTTCCTATTGTTACCTTTTGTGTTTATATGTTGTGAATAATATTGCTGACGACAGTACATGTAGGTTCTATGCTGACAAGTTTGTGGTCTGAAGAGAATTTTGGTTGGGAGGGAAAAAGTTGGAAGTCACATGAGTTTGTTGTGTTCAATTCTAGAACCATGACCTACGAAAGATAGCAATGGAAGGAGGGCAAAGTTCACAAATGACACTTCAGCTCTACATTTGAGCATATATGTGTCAGAATGGGGAGTTATAATTTGCAATAATCTTGTATTTAGTTGTGAAACATCTTCGCACTAGCAAAGAGAGAGAAGGGGATGCTTGCAAGATCGATCGATCGAGAGAGAGAGAGAGAGAGAGAGAGAGAGAGAGAGAAAGAGAGAGAGAGAGGGGGCAATGGTAGGAGAAGGAGAGTTGAAGAGAAAGAGACATACAGACAGAGAGGGGGTAGAGAGAGAGAGAGAGAGAGAGAGAGAGGGGGGGCAATGGTAGGAGAAGGAGAGTTGAAGAGAAAGAGACATACAGACAGAGAAGGGGTAGAGAGAGAGAGAGAGAGAGAAAGAAAGAGAGAGAGGGGGCAATGGTAGGAGAAGGAGAGTTGAAGAGAAAGAGACATACAGACAGAGAGGGGGTAGAGAGAGAGAGAGAGAGAGAGAGAGAGAGAGGGGGCAATGGTAGGAGAAGGAGAGTTGAAGAGAAAGAGACATACAGACAGAGAAGGGGTAGAGGGAGAGAGAGAGAGAGAGAGAGAGAGAGGGGGGGGCAATGGTAGGAGAAGGAGAGTTGAAGAGAAAGAGACATACAGACAGAGAAGGGGTAGAGGGAGAGAGAGAGAGAGAGAGAGAGAGAGGGGGGGCAATGGTAGGAGAAGGAGAGTTGAAGAGAAAGAGACATACAGACAGAGAAGGGGTAGAGAGAGAGAGAGAGAGAGAGAGAAATTTAGAGAAACAAAGATGGAAACAAAACAATATAAAGATATTATACATCACGTCTTATTTGTTTTTCAGCCAACCAATTAGATCATTAGTACCGCAGACATGCCCAAGCTTTTTTGTATGGTATCTTCATCATTGTGTTGCCATGCCGATACAAGCCAGGGAAGCCCTGACTTTATTCTCTTTTAGGGCATGTGGTCCCTCGTGAATAATGGATTTTCCTTCTCACCCACCCTCCCCCCCCCCCCCCCCCCGATCAATGTCAGTTTGTTATGGAACACTGTTGTCATTGTAAACTTGCATGTACTCTACTGGTTTATTACTATTATATCAAAGTTTAAAAAACTAAGTTCTCTTTTCATTCTCTATTGCTTTCTCTTGCAGGTAAAGATATTGCTGTATTTGCTGAAAAGGACTAATTACAGAATCAGCTGGAAGCTAGGAGAGCCCCATTCACATCATTATTGGCAAACTTTGCTGAAGTGTAAGCTAGAGTGAAGAGTTTCAATGTGAGGGCTGGACCACCTAGTGCACTGTCAGAGGAAGTGGAGAACATGTAAGTCTTGACCCTTAAGTATAGTAGTCAGATACAATGATGTTCCATCATGATCTGTTATTCAAATCTTCAATGTTGTCAAATGAAGAAATAGTTGGTTATGTCTTATTATGAGTACAAATTAAATAGGATGTAGTCTGGTCATCCCTTGGGGTGGATATGTGCGCATTATAAATGTTGATATTATTATAATGCCAGGTGTTGAATCAGCTAATATCCACCAACTATTTTTTTTTTCTTTCTTCAGTTCAACCATGGAGATGTATAACGACTACGGTCAGCCAGACATTTTTAGCAACTTGACTAATCCTGAACATGCCCTCCAGTCTCCGAATGCCCTTCTGCTCTCGGCTTCACAGAATATCTTTATGTATGAGCAGGATAATTACAACCCATCCAGTACTAAACAGGAGCCGGCCCCGGCTAAACCCGCCTGTTTGAGCCTCAGTGACAATGTCTTTGAGTTCCCCAACCCGGAGGAGATGGCCCAGCTGGGATGTAGTCCAGTGGTGGACGATTGCTGGCCTGAGACGCCCCTCCTGGCAGGGTCCCTTGATGGCTCCCTCAACGATAGCGGCTTGTGCTTCAGCTGGGATTTGAGCGATGACGACCAGGAAGGGGTTTTCCCGATTGAAGCCAGTCCGTTCTGTTCTGCACCGACCCTGGCAGAACTGAACCTTGAGGATTCACAGTCTGTTGATAATGACATGGCTGTAAAGAGGAAGGCAGAGGACCTGTCTGTCCAGTCTTCTTCAGCCACGATGCCATTGGGCAAGCAGGAGATGTCGTTGTCACCGCAGAGCTGGAAACGGGTCAAGACAGAGGCTGTGGAGTTAGCCAGTGTAGAAAAGAGGACCAAGACATCTGATGGACTTAAAACGAGTAGCCCAAGACCAGGCTTGTCCAGGAAATCCTCCAAAACAAAGACATCGAGACCTCTCATGCCAAAGAATGGCAGAACACATAATGAGACCTCCAAAGTTCCTGCAGATGCAAAGAAGTCTGTTTTGTCTCTCAGGAAAGTGCATCCCTCCAAGATAGATTTCACAGAGTTATTCTGGAAGCGCTACAGGAGCAGAGAAACGATTCCGTCCCCCACCAAAGAGATGTCTCGCAGTGAACTGTTAGCCAGGACTCCTAACCCATTTGGCAACAGGAGATTCCTTGGAAGGAATGCAAATCTGAAAGCCAAAACCCAGCACCACCCACCAACCGCCAAGTTGGCCCAGACCCCTAAATCAGTTGCAAGGACAGTCAAGTCCAGGACAAATCACAAGGTCAGGACTAAGAAACTTAGTGCAGTGGTCCAAAAGAAGACCAGGAACATGATGTCGTTGCCCTCTCTCACTTCAGACGATTCGAGCCAGGACAGTCTCTGGAAGGATCTGAAGGTATTCATGTATGGTGATCACGACATCAAGAGGAATAAGAAGAAAGATATCCCTCACAGGACTCTAAGTCTGCCTGAACCTGATATGAAATCAGAATCGGTAAGTACATCTACTTACTATCCTTACCAGACCTACATGTAGTCATGTTCTAAGATCATCTGACACATTTCTCGAGTGGAACGATAATCATTTGTTTGTACAAAGTACCATGGATGTATATATTTTTGTTCAAGTTGCAGATTATGGGATTTGGAAACAAAAGTATTGACTTTTCAGTGTATTGATTTTCTTTTTAGTCTTTGCTATTTGAGTTTTATTGTATTCCACTTAATGGAAGAAAAATGTATCAACTATGTTGATTTTATTATTAAAAGGAAAATTGACCTGTTGGTATTCTACTAAGCATACTAAAGTTAGCACAGATGTCAAGCACCTGTATAAAAAAAAATGGTTTTAATCAAATTAAATTGTTACAGACTAATTTGTGGTCTCTCTCTAATTGGTGTCAAAATTAAAATGAACTTCAGTTTAATTGGTTTTTACATTTCCTCTAAAATTAAATAAGAAAGAAAAAAAAGGAAATCTCAAACATGCTGATTTCTGACCTCTATTTGCCGGAGTTTTATTTTGATATTGCGTTTTAGTTATTGAAATAATCAAAATGCAATGGCCTGTCAGTGCTTAATTGGTAGTGTTTTATAAAATGGTGAGCTGGAAAGCCAGCTGGCACAAGTGGGAAATTAACATTTTATGTCTTTGCTTATTAAATCATATTTGTGTTTTATATTGTTAAAAGGAAAGTAACTCTGATGTTAATTTTGTTGTTGTTCAACCTGTATAATTTTGACACTTGGGAATCTCTAACAGTGAAGTAATGGTGAAAACATTTTTAGTTATTAAGTTAAATATGATTATTATGAACAGGATAAATGAATTCAATAATTATATGGTTAGTCATGTACTGTCCCATTATAAATGTCCAGGGGGGTGTTTCACAAAGATAAGTTGGACTTAAAAATTATGGAAAGCCATTAGCATCTTTGAAAATATTTTGTAAAAGTTATTTTGAAAGGCATTAATTGTTTATTCAAATCATTCATATTGTCTATCATCAAGGAGATTTCATGTTCTGGATGTGGTATTCATAAAAAGTCTAAAATACTTGAATTTCTGCTTTTGAATATATTTCATGTTAAGACTCCAATGGCTGTCCATAATTTTTAAGTCCAACTTAGAGTTAAGTTCTACTTAGGATCTTTGTGAAACACCCCCCAGAACTGTGATTTGATTACCTCATTGATGAAATATTAATGATCATTTTCTAGATTTCTATATTGCTTGATATAATATTACGTCTCTAAGCACTTTTTTTATTACCAACCTGATAAGAATTTGAAAGAAGTGCTGCTTCATGCGATGTGGGATTTGTTATCTTCACATGAAGTTCTGTAGTATTGTATTGTATTGTATTGTATTTATGCATGGGAGGAGGGCGGTTGCCTTGCAAACTTATATTTGTAATATTGACTGATATTTAAAAGTTAAACATGTAGGAAGTATATATTTCAAATTATACAAACTCGTTTCCAACAAACTTGAATGGATGTATGACATATATAGCTACATCATCTTAGTTTAAGATTGTTTGGTTGAGTAGGCGTGTAGTCTTGTACTTGATATAATTAAGGGCTTGTGGTTCTGGGGTACCATTTCGTTTGAAGAATTACTAAATGTTTGATATGTTATTGAACATGTTTATTACAGAGTAAATCACCTCGGACCAACATGAGCAGTGATCCAGGCTTTGATTCTCATGACGAGGGTCTGGGCAGTGAAAACGAAGACCATGATGACTTTGGGAGCGATGATTCCGATGACGACGATGATGATGACATCCCTGATGATGGCAGTGATATCTCGGATGACCCTGGTATGTCAAAAATGAAGTTCTAAATTTTTCCTTTTTGAATAAATGTGGTTTAATTTACCTTGTAACTATATATATATTCTTGCTATATATTTCTACAATGTGTTATGTATTACAACCTCTCAATGTGCTTCAAAAGGAGTCTCTATATAGACAGGAAGTCTTTAAATAGAGAACAGTTCCTAGTATTGAAGATTTCAAGGGGACACACTATTCAAGGGAGACAAAAAAGTGACCTTTCTTCATAGTTGCTAATGCAGTTTATTAGTCTGTACTGCTTAAAGGATGTTGTGCAAAAGGGTTGCAGTACAAGAAAATGTCTGATGTACATAGAAGAGCACAAATTATTTGATGTTGATCATATCTTGGTTTTTTGATATGCTAAATGCTGTTATGGGTCTAACTCTTGAATCTTTGTGTCTATGGCTAAAGGGTTACCATCAACGAGCACGAAGCACTCCTCTGGTTCCTTGGCCACCAGACGAAGACGGGTCAAGACGCGACGCAGCGAGTACGACGACTTCACCCCGAACCCTCGTAAGCTCCTGAACATTGGCCACGAGCTCAACAAGCTGAACCTGACGATCAGCTCGCTGTGTCCCGGTAACGAGGCATCCAACGATGAGAAGAACCAGACGAGAAGGGAGAAGAACAAGTTGGCATCAAGGTAAACAGTTTATTCCTGTTCCTGGGGGGGGGGGGGGGCTGGGGGTGTTTCACAAAGATCCTAAGTTGAACATATCTCTAAGGTGGACTTAAAAATTATGGAAAGCCGTTAGCGTCTTTGAAAATATTTTGTAACAATTATTTTAGAAGGCATAAAATGTTAATTTAAATCATTCATATTTTCTATCATCAAGGAGATTTCATGTTCTTGATGCGGAACTTATGAAAAGTAAAAAATACTTGAATAAATGGCTCTCCATAATATTTAAGTCCAACTTAGAGTTAAGTTCGACCTAGGATCTTTGTGAAACACCCCTGATGTCATATTCTTTTACATGACATGTGTTAGGTAGAGGGACAGATCAAGGTTAGAGAGTCAGCAAGGGTAAGATCTGACACAAGGTGGAGTTCCTTGGTGCCTCCTCAGGTAACAAAGCCATGAGAGAGAAGATCTCTGCCTTATGTGAAATGGCAAGTTACTTTTAGTGAGAAATGGGCAAAAGAGATAAAAATATCCAAAAAGTTATGAATGCATGAAATTCAGGATAAGACTAACATGGGAACCTTATTATCAATCAGGGAAATGAAAGCCAAAGAGAAACTGAAACAAATGAAGATCGATCGAGCGAGAGAGGTAGAAAGCCAATGTTTGTCAAATGATGCAAAGTCATCCCCTGTGGAAAGGCAATATCGATAAATATTGACTCTTTTTTTATCACACTGCAATCTATGACCACTGTACTTTTTTGCATGAGTGAAATATATAACAATTTTTCAAATTATTAAAAAACTTGTTCTGCACAGCTTCAATGCAAACCTATATATATGTTTACATATTTGTTTATATCTCAAAATTCTGAGCATTTTAGAGCCCAATTTTTTCAAAGTTGCTTAGTCTAACACTAGGTTTCACAATAATAATGCAAATTTTAAATTTCATAACCCAATCCTGTTGAAATATTACCAAAACTTTGTATTATACCTTTAATGTTTTATTGGAAAGGGGCAATTTCGATTTTTTAACTCTCAGTCATTACCATTTATCTTGTGTGAGTATTTTCTATTTCATTTTCTTGGTTACTTTATTGCCTCATATTTCTAGTGTGAAGTGGGTTATATAGTATCACAGTTTAAGCAATGTGAGATATCTCTTGTAATTGCCCCATTTCCACCTCTCATCCTCCCGTCACTCCAGGGCATGCAGGCTGAAGAAGAAGGCACAGCACGAGGCGAACAAGGTCAAACATTGGGGACTCATTGAGGAAGCAAGTAAGAGATCACTTTCATATCTCCCTCTCTCTGTTTCCTGTCCACCCCCTCCCCCTCCCCTCCCCTCTCCCTATCATGTAATGATTTATGTATCACAAGACTCTTCATCGATTCACCGGAAAGTGAATATATAAATATACTTTTTTCAATCAAAGTAAGGAATGACATATTTATTGCTGTCATATCTTACCAATATTACTCCCCCCCCCCCCCTATTTATTATGATATTATTCATTTCATCCTACTAGTGAAAAAAATCTTACATTTAGATGTTTTCACAATATGGTGAAATGATACAGGTTTCTTTTCTAATTTTAGTTTGTTTTCATATATAATCATGAAATCATTAACATGTCAATAAATATCTTTGCACATTGTGTATTCTATCATGAATAATATGAAGTATGCTTGTAAGCCCTGCATTGTTAATAGTAAAACATGACCTGGGCCTTTTCCTCTTTTTCTACTTATATATACTTTTTTTGTTGGTAGTATCTAATTATCTATACAATTTGATGTATTTATTTACTCCCTTTGTTGATAATCATTGTTTATAAAGTGATATTGAAACCAAAAAATGAATGTATTTACACAAATGTATTCCCACTTGGGTTTGATATCAAGTACATGTACTAAGTGAGAGTTCCTTTTCCGTTTTCAGAGCAATTGAAGCTTGTTCTAGGGAGCATGAGGAAAGAGATGACTGGTCGTCTAGAGAGACCCAAGGCATCATGGGATTTCAGCCTTGGAGCAAAGCTGGATCATCTCATCAAGAATTCACTTGGTATGTTCAATTCCTCTCCGTTTTATAAATGTCAATTGGTATGTGGAAACCGTATAACTGAAAGAACATGAGATACAAAAGTAGGGTTTTGTAGATTGGTTACTGAAAAACAGAGTCGCCTTCTATATTTGATAAATTTGATTGGTATGGAAGCCTTATAAATGAAAGAAGCTGACAAACAAAACCCTTTGCCTTCATATCCACATTTGGTCACATCAACACTTCATCTAATTTAAATAATTTCACCCATGTTTCTTCCTTCCTTCGCAGGTCACATGGTGTCCGGGCATACATCCGAGTTTGTGAACTCCGTCTTGGAGAAGACCGCCAAGGGAATCCCACTCTCACATTTGAAGCCAAAGGTCACCTGAACCTTGATCTGAACTTTGACCCCTCTCCCTCTTGGAGAAGACGGCCAAGGGAATTCCACTCTCACATCTGAAGCCAAAGGTCACCTGAACCTTGACCTGAATTTTGACCCCTCTCCCTCTTGGAGAAGATGGCCAAGGGAATCCCACTCTCACATCTGAAACCAAAGGTCACCTTGACCTGAACTTTGACCCCTCTCCGTCTTGGAGAAGACGGCCAAGGGAATCCCACTCTCACATCTGAAGCCAAAGGTCACCTGAACCTTGACCTGAACTTTGACCCCTGGACCCTTTCTGTACTTCTTCTGATCAATTTCTTTGTTATGTTTGATGAGTGGAGCAGCAGAAATGTTTGTTGTAAAATGTGAACAGAAGCTAAATTTTTCAACCCAAACAGGAGAAATGGTCTCTAATATTCATGTTTGTTCCTGATCAAGAGTTTGTCAATATCTTATCCCATTTTTTTCAGTATCCCTGAAAGCATAGTTTAGATGTTCGCTATAATTCTTCGTGTAAGAAACGTGCTACTGTTATATTTGTTTCTTACAAGTTGAGAAATATTTATTGGCTGTAAGATACGTCCCTTTGTGTATATCCTGTAGTACTTGTGAAATAAAAAAACAATACACTAGAAAGTACACATAATATCAGATGGAGATTGTAATGATCACATACAGAAAAGATTTAAATCAAACATGATTACTCAGTGATGTGTCCAACATTTTCAGAGGACTTTTCAGCTTAACATAATGTACAAGTACTACAGAATTACATGTTTTGTTCTGATATTTTCCATTGGAAATCTTGTTAGAGATTGTGTGCTTTTTGTACATGACAGATGCCTGCCATATTCAGAAGGCATGTCACTTTGATTTTTAATAAGATTAACCATAAATTAGTTGTTTTTGTCTAATTATTGCAGAGTGTTGTTTTCCCAAGCCTGTGCCCCTGCAGTAATGATTTGACTTTTGATAGAAAAGACATGCCTACAGTGTACTGTGAAATGGCGTGTGAAGCAAACGACTAATGTTTGTGTTTAATTATGGCAAAGTGCTGTTTTTTTTAAGTCTGTCACCTTTCGTTCACTATGTGACTAGTAGAAAGGACATGCCTGTAGTGCATTTTAGGATGGCTATAGGATCATGTAAGGGGAAGAAACATGAGCCATGTGTATAGTGTTTCTTATCCCTTCTGAAATCAAGCTGGGCTGTCGAGTGTACTATTTATACTCTGCACAAATGACTATCTTTAAAGTCTGAGCTTCTTACCCTGCTCAAAGTGCTTTGCCCTTAACATGATATTAACTATTTCCTGTGTTTTAGTTAGTAACTAACAAACCCTATCTTATTATATTCTATCCCTAATCCCTCCAAAGAAGATTTGATCAAGTTCAATTTGCGTGTACTCTCCTGATAACACAAGAGAGTCGGCATAGAAATTCTGAAGATGATATTTTTGCCTGTGTAGCAACTATAGATTAGAGAGTTGATAATCTGTTATTTGATCAAGACCATATATATATATATATATATATATATAAGTGTGAGAATTCTTGCATTTCTTGCTTACTCATTCATGAGGGTCCATGATAATCGTGCTCCCGTCCCATGAAATCTTTGGTAAAAAAGCTTTAAATACCATATATGTAGTCAGGAATATTAAATATTTGATTGGAGTTTATATATGATGCTTAATTATGTAACTTGCTAATAAACATAAAAGTAAATACTATCATATTCTTGTTAAAGTTAGTGCCTTAGAAAAGAAAAGGAGAGAGTATGATCATGAATATAGAGTGTGTTTTTTATCAGAATATCCTTCCTATACATTGTAGTTAAAGCTTATCTGCCATAGTTTACAGGAGGGATTAGACCGCCCTACAAGGTCACTGGACAGGTGGTTGTCTCATCAACTCAGCTCTCAGTTAACATAAGAAAAAGAGGATCATGGGGGACCAATGGTCACCGATTAAGCATTGTTTGTTATATAGAGGGCGCAAGTAGCTACAAGTAGTGCAGTGGGCCTTTAAAGAGAGGGGGTTACAAACATTTTGAGTAATAGAAAAACAACTTTGATACTTTAGAGAAGCCTCCCCCTCCCCTTTTTTTTTAAATGGGGGGGGGGGAGAATATAATTTAAAATCTGTTACGATGTTCATTGTAAAAAAAAAGTCTACAGACTACATATATCGATCTTAATCTGATCTGATCCCTCTCATAAGTATTAATTAAAAGCAATATACATGTTTAAAACAAATGGTTGAATTAGCTGTATAGCTAGAAAAGGCGTGTAAAATGGAAAACATAGTTTCTGACTGGTCGTTGCTGAACATTTTAAGAAGTAAATGTAAGGTAAAAGTCGATAGAAAACAAAGAAGAAGTCATATTGATGTAGGTTATTGGTGGTGTCATTATAATATTTCAGTATTTCCTTTATTACTGCTGGCAGTGATTGTGTATAGTTCCTCTTCGCCATCAAAGACATACAATTGGTGCTAAACTTTCAGATTATTTTAACTGTTAATAGTGTGTAAAACTATAGGGGCGAAATGGGTATCTCTATGTTACAGAGTTAAGTGAATCATGTAGATTTGGTGTGATTTGATGTGTATTTTTTAAGTGTTTTGTATCCTCTTTTTAAATTGTAATCATTTTCTTATCCTCTTGAATCTAATGTGAAATATTGTAGATGTGTAAAAGGCTCTTTTAAAAAACTTTTTTGTGAATTAATTAGCTTTTCAATTGTACCAGCAGCATTTTGAAATCTGTCTGGGATCTCCACAAGCCTACACAGAAATACTTTTATTGGGACTATAGTTGAGCCAATAATAGATGTACATCCTAATCTTCAACAACTACAAGATAATTGTTTTTGTTTGGATAATTGTTCCAGATTTTGGCAAATACATTTTCACCGTTAGAAATGTTGATGAAAAAAAGCTCTCTCGATAGATATAATTTTTTACCTTGTTACTCAGAAATTTTGCTCTTTACATTGAAAGAGTCTCAAGTGAGACGACAGGCATTTGGTGTAGTCCATGCTTTGAGTATTTACATACGACAGTGAAATGTTAATGTAGTGTTCAGTATAATCATATACACATTTGCACTATATATGGTGTTTTACATGGATATCGGTGTATTGGTGGCAAGCAGTGTACCACATGTGGTATGTACATGTCTAGCTATGATTGTGTATCACTGTATGTGAGCGATGGTCGGATTATATGACTAAGTGAACTGGTGATGTATCTGTTCCTCAGCTTTGAAACGCGTTAAATGAAATCCATACCACTTGGAAATTCTGTAGCCAAAATGGACTCGGAACTGGGCTTGCTGACTCTATTTTTCAGTTGAAGTGCAGTGTTGTTGTCTTTTCTTTTAACTATCTTGACAACTGTATTCAAGTGATGTCGAAGTACTTTTCACAAATTGTCTTGAGTTTCATTTTGTGGCACACTTTAAATTTACTCTGAATAATATGTGTATAAATTCACTGACAGTCGGTCTAGACATATTGTGGTTCTTGTAATTTTTTTGAAATTTCAAATTTGTTGAGTGTAGTAATTGTTAGGTTTAATATTGATATAGAGTTTATGTTCTGTAAGTTTCTTTTAGATGTAGTGAAGGTTGTGTAATTTGGAGTTGTACTTTTTGGAAAAGAGAATTAATGCATAAAGTAAGTAGTTCATCTGTAATTCAGATGGTTGCATGAGGCATAATGAAGTTAAATAATGATCTCATGATTAGGTATTGGTCGAGCGCCTTGAATATTTTACGTATGAGCTCAACATTCAATAATCAGAAATTACATTGTATTATTGTTATTCCTGTTATCATTATTATTATTATGTCACTTTAAACTGCAACAGTCATATGAAAAAAGTAGCATTCATTGCGACTCTTAAGAATTCAAATCTGGAATTTGTTCTTATGTGAGCATATTTCTGAATATATTAGGTTACAGTATTCTGTCGCCATTTAATCAAGTACATGAAGGTAATTTCTATTGTATATATATAGCCTGCACCATAAAGGTCGAGGCGAGGCCCCTCTTTCACTCCTCGAAGAAGAGGAAAAGAACTATTTTAGTTTTATGAAACATACCTTTTTTTTCAAAGCCTTGTACACACAACACACATGCATGATAAACCCTCAACAACCGTCAGCAAAATGAAATGACACAGGCGTAATGCACTTCATGTGTGTGTATCATGAAACACACACTCAGATAAGGAGCTACTTTTTTAACCCTCAGTAATTTTGAGTAAATGGCTTTTATTTACTTTTTGTTGATATTTTTATTCATTCATTTATTTATTTATTTTATGGGTTAACCAAATCATGTGTGTGCAAGGTCCGCGGTTCGAGACCCGCCGCGGCACTAATGTCCTTTGGCAAGACATTGATCTACATTTGCCACACTCAACCCAGGTGGTGTAAATGGGTACCTGGCAGGAATTGATCCCTTGAAATGCTAGATCGCCGCAATGGCAGCACAGCTAAAGCCGGGGTAATAATCTCCAAGTTTGGAAGCGCTTAGTGATTGTAATAAGCGCTATATAAAAACTGAGTATTATTATTATTATATTATTATTATTTAACACATTATGCCTCTTGCTATGAAATTCATGAGTGTAGGGTGAAGGAGATAGTATTTTCAATGTGTGTGACTGATCTTAGACCATGATGTATATAATAAACTTTAACAAAAAACACTCTTTGCTAGAGTAAGCTCAGGACCCGACGGTGTACAAAACTACTAGAGTTGGATTCAACTTATAAATATGTGATAAAGCTATATATAGATGTTATATAAATATAAACAAAGTGTACATAATATATATTTCACTATATATTTCATGTCCAGTTCAATATTCATGAGACCTAATGGCAAAAATAAAAGTATCTTTTGGTTGCTGCACCAAACTTGTTTGAGTACCAGGTAATATGTTTGTGTTGTATTCTTGGGGTGTTATTGAAGAAGATACAAATCCATCAATGCAGTGCCAGGGCTGCATTGACAATTCAGTAGAAAATTTCAAAAATGAAATATATACAAAATTACATTTAAGAGAAGGTACTGTAACAAAGAGGGAGGGGAGAAGGAGAGAGAGAGATGGAGAGAGAGATGGAGAGAGAGAGGAAGGAGAGAGAGAGAGATGGAGAGAGAGAGGAAGAAGAACAGAAGGAGAGAAAAGAGAGAGAGAGGTGGAGAGAAACAATGAGAGATGAGATGAGAAATGAAACAGACAAACGTTATAATTCAAGTTAGAATGTATCTATAAAAATATTTTATTAAAGTATACATGCATACATTTGATTAATCAGTCAAACATGTGAATATCAATGCAAAATATGTCATCAACAATTTCATTTATAGTTGGATTTTAAAAGATAATTTTGATAGAGATATTCAATGCACATAGCCTTACACTTTGAAAGAAAGAAATGAATTAGTTATCATAATAAGCCTCTAATAATGAAAAAGAATAACAAGGTAATTATCTTTACACAAACAATGTGTATGTATCACTTACATATTGTCATGAATATAGACAACAATTAGAAAGATAGGAACTTGGAATGCTTTATTCATATGCTAATTCACATGTTCAAACTGAGAGAGTCACATAGCAACTTACGGTAGAAGTAAAAGGATCCACACTTGATTTTCTGCTGGGCTCAACACTAACAAGTACCGGGACACATAGGTGCATAAATTCCAAGCCCGGACCCACCAAATTGTGAAATTTTCACATAGGGCTCATGCCTACAAACAGACCATAAAAAGTTCAATATGGAGCCCTTTCAAAAAGTTAGTGTGAAGCCCTGTTTGAGAAAAATAAAGGTCAGGTTTTGTGGGGGTCTTAATAAAGCTGAAAAAACTGTTTTGAAGCCAAAATACAAGGATTTTTTAACAATTAAATAAACCATGATTTCTCGAAATCCATTCTTCATAACAGAAAATCTACGACTGATGTAATTTCACAAATGCATGTCATAAAAGATGTTGGATGGATACAGATGTCACATGAAATTTGGCTTATTGACTACGAGATTGCACTTATCTTACAGTAAAGAATCGTTCTTGAACTTATTTTGAGCTGAATAAAATATGGAAAAGGAATACTTTTAAAAAATCACTACAGATGTTGTGTTACTTTCTTCTATCACGTTGAACAACAAACCATCTATAGTACACCAGTATGCCGCAACACATACAATTTAAAAACAATTGAAAATTACATGGTCGTTTAGTAAATGGTGAAATCTACCATATGAGAAAGTTAGCCAGAGCAAAAAGTCCTTACAAAACCTTACTCAAATAAGAATTACAGAAAATGATTGAGAAAGCAAGTACAAAATTATATTAAGTGATGATAAACAACATGGTCTAGATATCATGAGCTATTACATTCTTAGAATTCCAACTAATACTGACTGTCCAATAAATTATTATGAGATGTACTTGGTAAGCCTTAACTTCATACTCTTGTACTCCTCATCATTCATATCTAATGAGTTCTAATGTAGGTGTCCACTTAAAATTCATTGAAAATATGCAAGATTCATGTTTTTGCATCCATAAATTCTGGGAGGTAACACAATTTCACAAGAGCACATCCTTTTTTTTCTCACTTCATTACTGTATTCTGAGTTGTCTGAAAATTCCTATGCCTCATTAGTATGATGATTTTCATTAATAGTCATGATCATTTTAATTACTTATTCCAATCCATACCATCAATTAAGATAAGTTCAACTTAGGATCTTTGTGAAACACCCCCAGGGCACATGGAATATGATGGTGATACATTGAGCTATGTTCAGCTATGGTATAGGCCTACAAGTGTTCAAATAGAATACACACTCATAGGCTCACAGCTTCATACAAGCTCAACGTCACATGCGACATAGAAAACGTCTTAGAATACTTATGAATTATTTTCACGATTCCTTGGCGGGCTCTTTCCGTGTGGATAAGAGATAGGGAGGCCATGAAATAATTAAAGATAAAGGTGATTTCTGGTCATAAAAGGTTACAAGGTTATGGAATCATCAAAACGATAAGAAATGTGGCCCAGTCTTGGTAAAGTTACAAGCACTGTACACAGAAAGATGTATATGGGACGACACAAAACATGTGGCCTAAAAATCTGTCCCGATTTTATGATGTTACATCATGCCATATTTAGAATATTAAGGCATTTGAAGAGCCATACTTTTCAAGGAACATTTTTTTATCTGATATTCTTCTACACTTGCATAATACAATGATAACGATCACAAATAATTGTTCACTTCTTCCCAGAACTCAATCTTCTCTTTAATCTTTAGAAGTAATCTCTATCAAATTTGTTTACATGATTATCTTTATACCCACCTTGCGAACTACCTCCCATCCCCTTTTTTATTCCTTCCTCTCTCACAGCTGTCCAAATAAAAAACAGCACATGTACTAAGGAGAATATGGGTGGTATTCTCAAAAGCGGACTAACTTTAGTCCATGGTTAATCCACCGACTAAATATGGAATGCCAAGTGTCCATCTGAATATGTTTTTGAATAATTTAATCTGTCACTAAATAAAAATAAAATGTAATTACATAATTAATAAACAACAATATAACTATGAAATCATTATGTTATTATGGTAATTTACGAACATATTAAATTGTTCAAATATATATTCATATGGACACTTGGCATTCCATACTTAGTCTGTGGATTAAACCATGGACTAAAGTTAATTCGCTTTCGAGAATATCACCCATATGAGTGTTATCATGGCTGTCTTTCCCAATACTTGAATACAAGAGGACAAGTCAAAGATGCATTGCAATCCACATCTAAAATTTTACAAAGTTAATAGCCGTACTGGAGTGTAGATCAGACAAATTATGAAGTAAAATAACAGATTTGATGTGACTTTACGGTTCCAGACTCAATTTTTCATTCCATACCCTCCATTCCATTAATGTACTTTTCATCCCAATAGATTTAGTTCTTACATGTTTATCACATTTTCTTTCTAATTATCTATAATGATTCAGTTTTTGTCATTTTACTTGACTCCGTTACCATACCATGCTTACAATGTAATGTTAATTTGTTCAGTTATGTTAGTAATATTGATTTTCTTGAAGTAATCTTGATTTGTGTACAGCGCTTTGAAACTGTTATGTCACAAGGGCTATATTAATTGTTCGTATTATCAATATTATTATTATATAATCAATCATGATTGATGATTTTGTCCAAGAGCTCCCTTGGCTTGGTGTATCTCATAATATACTTGTGTAGTACTTGTGACACAAGCTACATGTAACCTGCGTTTCAATCACTGGAAGCACATGAAGATTGCTCAAAGGCAAATAATTCACTTAATGTCAAGACATCATCATAAATCACTCTCTCATCAACAAGTTCTGATTAAATTTCCTATAAGAATGCACTTGTTTCATTAATAGCTGCTCCTTGTCCCCAGGATGTTTTATTTCATAATCTCATTTTCTTCCATTTCTCTCATTTCCCTGTAACTTTTCATCATTTATTTCACTACAAGACGTTATGTCTTGTTTATATCTTATTCACAATTTTGACCTATGCAATTACATGTATTTCCCAATCCACATTATGGGCTACAATCTACATAGTAGACAAATTCATGATTCAGCCTGCCTATAGATCATTCCCATTATTGCAATAAAATATTTTTTATTTAGACCAATTAATACTGAATTGTACTTTTTAGCATTATTCAGAAACATAAAACATGAGATAATTGCAATATACCATTATGAAATCCTTAAGACTTTTTATATTATGTTAACAGTTAACAATCATTCAAAATCCATCTTTAGCCAACCTTCTTTATTAGGCCAGAATGAGCAGTATGGGTAGACACATCACAAATTCTGACTTTATTCTGGAACTTATTCCAATCTTCTCTAGAATTAAAGCCCCGCCGCACTAGTTTGGTTAGCAGGGATTAGACCTCCCTGCATGGTCAATGACAGGCCATCAAATCAGCGCTCAATTAACATAAGAAAAAGAGGATCATGGGGGACCAATGGTCACCAATAAACCATTGTTTGCTATATAGAGGGCGCAACTAGCTATAAGTAGTGCAGTGGGGCTTTAAGTGAAATCTAGACTTAAGTGGAAAATCGTGTCTGCGGACTGAGGCAGACAGACATCTGGAGCAGGTTTTCAGCCAGGATGGTGTCTGGGCATCCAAAAGACACCCATTTCTAGAGGGATGTGCCCTACATTTCCTTTAATCAGCTTCACTACATGGGTGCTCTAGAGATTTTGGATGCCAATTTTTTTCAATTTGACCCCCAATTCTCTAATCCTGGCTGAAAGCCTGATCAAGATTTGATGTAAAGCACCAAACTTGCAACAGCAAATGATATAACCTGCTGCCACAACTCAATCTATTTTTGACACATTATGATCAGAATCTGGGTTGCGGTTGGTATTGGGTTGTTCAGAAGTTTTCAAGAGTTTAAGCAGGCCTGCAGAATACTGTGCTGGTATTTGTTAACCTTGGTCCAAATCTCGAGTAATCTGACCTTTAGTAGACATCCAAGGAGGAGGGCCTCTGAGAAATCCTTCTGGTAGGTTGGACAAAAATAAACCTCATCAGCAAGAATTCATCCCTGGTCCATTTTCCCTACTCAGTCTATTGCTCTTGCATGATACAAGCACCAAGTATGCTCTATATTGATGATAACCCTGATGTTCTTCACTGATAGGTAATCCAACAATAGTTTTTCATGATATCTCTATTAAAGGGGCTGTAGCATGGCAAATACTGGTTAACGCTATCTACAAATTCTTTTGGAAAACTGCACGTAAACGAATGGACTTGATAAACTGGGTCACTGCGCACTAGGGTTTCGCGAAGGGCGCGAAACAGACCAAAGTTCTCCTCATGCTTCAGTTTCGTGTATGTTGCACGCATGTGAATACTGCGGTCGCGTCGTCTGTAGTCGTATTGTACCCGATTGGCCCCGAGTCAGGCCACAGGAAAGACACGTAGTCTCTTCATGCTACAGCCCGTTTAACATCCTGTCCAACGACTCTTCTGTCTTCTCACCACACTTCCCATAATATTCTTGCATGAATACAGTAATCATTTAACCTTTCTGCTTAGCTGCAATCGTCCTCTTAAAAACTCTCTTCCACTAAACGATTTCACAAACGACTCTGCTTGGGCTACTCACACATCCACCACCGCACCAGGAACTGAAGGGCATGTCCTCTCAGGGGTTTTGGTCTTCAGCCCATATTGATACCGTCCATCTCATAGACCCCGTCATAGACCCCGTCCTGGACCTGCCCTTCCTCCGTCATGAAGTAAGCCATGGTGGGCACCCTGGTCAACCCCGGGGTCGACGTCGACCTCATCCTGCCCAGCCAGCGGGAGTACATGAAGATGAAGGCGATGACGACCAGGAAGCAGACGACCAGGACGTACTGGTTTGAGAGCCACGGGGCAGCCACTCGGATCCAAGGAGGCTTGTAGGACTTCTGGAATGCACCTTGCTGGATCTCTCTGCAGGGGATCAAAAATGAGTATGTCATTTGGATGGGTACTGATGCATGGTAGAGGGTAAATGAGAAAGGGGTAGACAACTAATCACTTGGTTTGATGATGTCAAGAAATGGACTGGTCTCAACGACGGAGAGGTTAGAACAAGGGTACATGACAGAAAGCAATGGAGGTGCATAGCCGCCAACCCCTTCCGAAGGGATGGCACTAGATGATGATGATGATGATTGATGGATGAATCTCATTTTCTTTCATAGGACCTAGCCAACCAGCCAGCCTACCAAACTGACCCTCCCTTCCCTCATCAATTACCCATCTATAAGTTCATTCCTCTTCACTATCCCTTCCGCCCCCCCCCCCCCTCAATCCCTCACATGCACACATACCTAATCATATTCCTAAGGTAATCTCTCCCCTCCCCCATCCCTCACATGCACACATACCTAATCATATTCCTAAGGTAATCTCCCCCCCCCCATATCCCTCACACGCACTTATACCTAATCATATACCTAAGGTAATCTCCCCTCCCCCCCCCCTCCTCTATCCTTCACACACCTAATCATATTCCTAAGGTAATCTCCCCTTCCCCCCACCCCCTCCATCCTTCACACACCTAATCATATTCCTAATGTAATCTCCCCTCCCCCCCCCCCCCTCCTCCATCCTTCACACACCTAATCATACTCCTAATGTAATCTCCCCTCCCCCCCCCCCCCTCTCCTCCATCCTTCACACACCTAATCATATTCCTACAGTAATCTCATCTTTCCCCCCCCCCCTCCTCCATCCTTCACACACCTTATCATATTCCTAAGGTAATCTCCCCTTCCCCCACCCCCTCCATCCTTCACACACCTAATCATATTCTAATGTAATCTCCCCTCCCCCCTCCATCCTTCACACACCTAATCATATTCCTAAGGTAATCTCCCTTCCCCCCCCCCCCCCATCCTTCACACACCTAATCATATTCCTAATGTAATCTCCCCTCCCCCCCTCCATCCTTCACACACCTAATCATATTCCTAATGTAATCTCCCCTCCCCCCCCCCCCTCCTCCATCCTTCACACACCTAATCATATTCCTAAGGTAATCTCCCCTTCCCCCCCCCCCCTCCATCCTTCACACACCTAATCATATTCATAATGTAATCACCTGCAAGGGACAAATAACTACACCTCACCTGGTTTGTGATTAATTACAATATTTGTCAAGGTGTCATTGTCTGGATAGAAATCGTTCAAGTGGAAGTAATATGAGCAGGTAATCAAGCCCATTATATTTGTTCATGTTCAGGTCGTTGATATCAAGGAGGTAATTATATGTACCGGTATAGCAACTGTCTGCATGGTACATGGAGTTGTCCAGGGGAACGTCATATAGGCAGGCAATTATGCTAGTAGTAATTTCAATTTTACAGGTGGTTGATTTTATAGTTGGTGATTATCAAAAGGCCTTCTTTATCAGCTCGAGTTTACCAAATAACATGCTATTTGGTCGAGAAATTATCCAGAGAAATCTTGGTCTTGTTTCCAAAATATCCCGCTATTTCGGAAATAGCCTGCTAATTAGTGACGTTTTGGTCTGGTGAAGACTCCGGATATTATCCGGAGTCTGAAAATAGTGGGTTATTTGGCAAACTGAAGCTGATGAGGACAGGCCTTATGTCAAAGCTATATGGGTGGGCAATGTCCTAAGAGGCTAATTAATTGGAGACAAAGGGCGTTGGGTAAAGGTGTGAAAATTACTGTCAAATTTTGCTCAATTATATCCAAATACACAGTACTGTATTTTTCTATAAGTGCTATAAAACACATGAGAAACATAGTATACAAGCCCATTCCTGAGCCGATTATGGATATGCAAGTTTAAAGATGATCAACAAAGCACATCTGTCTTCACATAAAAGAATCTGCTTTTATTCAAGTTAAAAATACTGATATTTGTGTTACTTATTGACAAATTCTCATGTCAAAATACCTCACATGTATAAGCATAGATATGTTTTCTTTTAGAAAAGCAAAGAAAAAATAAATATGAGGAAATAATTATTTTGCAAATAATATGTTGTCAATTTGACTATTTCAATACTTAAATGTAAGAAACAAAATATTCTAGTTTTAAAGCAATTCTACATTGCAACATGAAAAATGGCTTCAAATAAAGTTAATTAATTGTTTGTATCTTTTGTTCATGTACTTAATATTGATCACTGTACAGGAGCAGAAAGGAGATAATGTAATCATCATGAAAAGAACTTCCTTTCTTAACCACAGCTCTATAGTTCTAACAAATCAATACTCACCTTAAAGGTAAAAATCTTGTTCTATACAGTATTGCACCTAATGTCCACTGGACCTCTTTATCATGTATAAGGCTGGCAGAACGTAAATAATGGTAATCTTTTGGAAATTTGAACCCTTTATGAAGTACTGTTGTTATCCAAGCTGATTTAAAGCATTGATATCTGTCAAATGAAATGAAAAAAGAAAAGGTTTGAAATTAAAATGCCCATCATTACAAAATCAATAAAAGGTTATCATAGAAAAGAAAAGAATTTTTTTAAATAAAATATATATATATATATATATATATATATATATATATATATATATGGACAGTATGAAATTTCCATTTCATATCTTTCCAAATACAGGACATTGAACAGATCTAAAGTGGCACTAAATTTGTTATCCTTCTTGCAAGTCATTTGTCAACAATGCACTTAAAATAGTAACTGAACTCTGTAATCTCTTTGTCTCTTACCACATTTAGCATGGACAGTACAGTTGTACATTTACAAAATACACTTAACATTATTTCAAATAAAAAAAGTATTGTATTGTATATCCCAAAATATTTGTTATGACATACATTGAATAATTAATATGTTATTTTGTAGATCTGCTCAATACTTTAAAACCAGAAATTTATGCATTTCATTAACAAGAGCCATTTTTACAGCTGGAAACTTTGTGAACAGAAAAATTTATTGTAGTGTTTATAATGATATTTGGTAATGATTGTTTTACCCAACTGCTAAGAAAGCATGTATATGCTTGTAACTCAACAACCAGGGGAAAGAAGGCTGTATTGAGGATTAAAGGTAATACAAAGTTTTGGTATGGGGTCATGAATTTGGTTCAAATGAACATACTGGAAGCATATGCGATCCTACAATATTCAGTGATCGTTGTCGAGGTCGAAATCGACTCTACATTTATGAAATTGTAATTAATAAACACTTTATGTTGTATAGCTCCCTCTCAAGGTCAAGATATTAATTAAGCTATAAAACAATGTATCTCGACTAAACGACCAATTAGATATTCCCGTTTTGAAATTATATATCACAACTACATATTCTGAGATTTCCATAGTCGCAGCTACCATTGTACGGCCGTAGGAGCTATTTGAAATTTATCAAAATTTACCGGGAGCACCGGTAAATGTTTATATTCAATTTTTCTCGAAAGGAGAAGTGTTTTAGGGACTAAAATTTCTAGTGCATTTAATACATCCACAGGGGCATCCAAATATATCAAAATTGTAAAGAATCATTATCCACCCATTTTTCAAAATTTACCAAATTTTTGTAATACCTTTAATGCCTTTTCAAAGGGCATGAGCGCATGACTTGAATTCAATCAAACCAGGGACCTCCCGGTTACTGCTCTACCACTGAGCCATCGCGCCTCCTCATCTTATCTGGGGGGGGGGGTGTTTCACAAAGACTAAGATTAACTCTAAGTTGGACTTAAATATGGCAGGCTGTTCATGCCACTGTGTGCTCTCACCATTATGATCTTTAGATAATATTTTTTCCTTCAATAATGAATTATCAAAAGATATAAATTCTGTAGATTTGTGACCATGATATGTACGTCCCTTGAGAGACCATTGCCAGTAAACGGTGAGAGCTAACAGTGGCATGAATGGCCTGCCATAGTTAAGTCCAACTTAAAGCCATTTTTAGTCTTTGTGAAATATCCCCCATGACCATTCGCAAAAGTAACATAAAGATAAGATGCAGGTAGCAGAATCAAGTTTGACTCACTTTAATCTATGTTCATCAGCTTTGCTATAAAGACCTTTTTCATGATGTTCTTGTAATAATGTCCACCTTGTGGCACAAAATTTCTGCAGGAGAGAGAAACAGAAAGAAAGAAAAACCATTAAATGAAATATTTACTACGGTACATGTATGGGTCTATGAATTGTCAACAGGCAGAAAAATAAGAAATCTCAAGAAGTCTTAAATTGTTCTTGACTCTCAGCTTTTTCAACTCCACTACTTCATTTATTATTCATCAAATCATTCCTGTACTATTTCTAAGACTAACTATTCCTCTATTCCAAATATAACAGTTATTCATTTATTCATTCAATAGTCTGCAGATGTCGTTAATCATTCAATTATCATAGAGATCATTACTTCATTATCTTTCTAGCAAGTCCATGTCTCATGCCACTAATATTCTTATCACAATTAAACAAGTTGAATATGATTCCTTCCACGCAATTGAAACCAACATTTCACCTACTGTTCATTCAGTTATTTAATCACTACTCTACATATTCTCTTCATTCAACCATCCTACTAGTAGTACCTCTAAACAATACTCTCCTGATTTTATCCCGAGATACGTTACACCAACAAATCATTCCACAAGCTCTGTCGACGCCCACTTACTTTTGCTGCATTTTCAAATTGGTTGTACTCGTAGACCCCGCCCATCCTCAGAACATCCTCCATGCAGTACCAATACTCTGAAAACCCGTAGAACTCTGAGTTATCAAAGTTAATATTGGCTTGATACACCCCTCCAAGGGAACACGGTTCCTTCTGGCACTGCTTGTTGGAGCCCAGGACGGGTACCATGACTTCCTTGCAGGCCACGTAGTCCCCCGTCCCTTTAAAGTGATAGGTCTTGCCCCCGCGGACGATCTGATCCGTCATTGAGGAGGGTAGACAGGGGTCCAGGAACGGAGAGGAGGGGCTGAGCCCAATGGTAGATTTACTGCAATGAAAAATGTTCAATAGTGAATATCATTATTGTTATAACTATCATCATCATCATCACCATAATCATCAACCACCATCACTATCAACGCCACCATTTTATCTTCATTAACACCATCATCATAGCCTTGTTATAAAAATTGTTATATACGGTATGTTAATTATCATGATTTTTGGTACTGAAAAGCATTGTTAGGGAGAGTAGAAATGACAATAACTTCTCAGTTTGTTTCCTTTGAGGTAAAGATAACAAATATAGGATCAAGCGTGTCTTTTGAGAAACTAGTTACAAGTTTAAGTCCACTTGATATTTAGGCATTGTTCTATGCTCTGGTAGGGCCATCAACTGTACAATCGTCTTGCACATCAAAGCCTTGGATTACATGTACCTAGGTAGGTCTCTTTATCCATTAAACAAGGAAGAAGTAAATATTGGTTGACCAGTGTATATTTCTGATCACCCATCTTTTCCTCAAATCAATCATAAATTCAATCATCTGGCACATTAAAGTTTTTGATTTGATTCACTAAAGACAAGATATATACATGCACCTAGATCTCTTTCTTCAAACAAGGAAGAAAGATAAATCTTGGTTGACTGGTGTATATTTCTGATAAATAACAATAATAATAGTGCTTGAATAGCGTTCATGTCTATCAAATTCAACACTCCTGAAGCTCCACAATTATTACCAATCTTTCCTCTATTTATTCATAAAATTGTCCCTTTTTTAAGAGTTATTTATCTTTCTAAGCCTGCTGTGGGCACATGCCTCCGGGCAACAGTGATGAACTTCACTTTTGTGCACCCTGACCCACTTGCTGCTCCCTTATCTCTTTGTTAATCCTTATTATGTACTTGTCTCTTGCTATACTGTATTGTATTTGTGCTTTTTATATATGAATGGTCGAATAAATAATAATAATAATAACAAATAAATGGCAAATGAACTGATGCTGGTGCTCACCTCTCATCTTTATTGCTTAGAGTTGAATTGATGAGAAGACCTTCATACCGAGACCTGGCTGCGTTACCTCCATAGCCCAAGAAAGTAGTGACATAGACCCGGTAGACATGATCGGATTCATGCTGGTCACAGCCAAGATTAAATTCAGCCATCAATTCCTTTGCTGCTACCTCCTGTTATTAGAAGGGAAAACAAATCAGCCTCAAATTAACAATTTGGTTAAATAGAATATAGACTTTTTCAAAATACAGTCAGACCTGTCTATAGCGACCCCCCCAGGGGAAACACAAAAATTGGCCTTTGTAGACAGGTGGTCTTTGTAGACAGGTTCCTTTAGTACATGTTTCAATGTGAAGCCATTTTCAAGGGAAACAAAACATGTGGTCTTTGTAGACAGGTGGTAATAGATAGTTTATAGCAAAATGGTTGTCAAAAGTATATAGAGGCGTTTGGTTTTGTTTAACTGGCTATGAATGTGCAGGAAAAAGCATAACAATTGTGAATTTGGCCAAAATATTTTAGCAATTTCATTTTTTGCAGAAACCTTTCAAAATATCTGACTGGATTTTACAGACAAAACATTTCTAAGATTCATGCATGATGCTGTATGAATTCACTTTGGTGGACTGAATTAAAACAAATAACAACTTTCCAACTTTCTAAACTGTAAGCAATTATTATGAACGTCTTTATGGCTTGGGAAGTTGGGAACAGTTCTTTTTTTTCTTCATTTATAATAACTTTAAGACGATTAGAAACCTGTTCATATCAACAACACTGCCTTTAAAAGTAGAATCATCATCTATACAAAACAATAATGCAAAAAGCAGACAAAAGTTTAGCGCTAAATATAGGGTAGGTATCCATATGGAATATGACAAATGAAAACGAATATAAATCACAGACAGATAATATTACACGATGGATATGTATGTACAATATGTGCAATATATAGTGGTACATCTACGAAATGCAAACTTTCAGTTCTAGAAAAGACTCTGTTTTCTTTTCAAGCAGGACTTCACTACTTTGTAGCTATTTGGGCCCTTTTTATGCCTAAGCGGTACCCGTTGGTCCCCCATGATCCCCTTTTTCTTATGTAAATTGAGAGCCAATTCGATGAGATAACCACCTGTCAGTGACCACGCAGGAAGGTGTAATCCCTCCTAGCTCAACTAGTGCAGATAGGCTTTAAATATCTTGGTTCTCTTTAAACCGCTGACAACTGAAATCTTCCATTGCCATAGACTTAATATAGGGGCCAACCGATTCCAGTAGGCAATGGATTAACATGCTCAGAAAGTAAAGGCATGTATGTAGAGAAAATGGCACTGGGTCCTATCCATGATACAAGGTAGTACATGATTAATGTTTACTAGGAATAGTAGACACAAAGCTAAACACTTGCACTATGGGGCACACTTTACACAGATAGCAAATTAAATACAAAATAAAGCACACTTAATAAAGATTAAAGCTTTTTAACACTTTAAAACAAGCATTCTGCACCCTCTGAAGTCTGTGGAGTTCAAAGGGACAACATCCTTTTCTTTCCTGCTTTTTAATTCCTTTTAATTTTTTTTTTGGGGGGAGGGGGTTATTGTAGATTATTCTTTAAAGTATATATATTTCCTTGTTAACATCAATTTTGTTTAATTCTTTCTTTGCCATAAAACTAAAAGAGACAAATGGGAAATGGAGAAAAAAATTGGCTAAATCAGCCGATTAGAAGAAAAATTTTCAAGACGGGAGCCGCACTGAGTCACGTTTTTAGTGCAAACAATAAACACCTGTGGACTAGCGAGATTGAAGCTTACAGACTGGGGGACTTCATATGCAATCTGAGCTGATCCTCCGCCCATGTCCAGGACTCCAACGGTTCTCTTCCTAGAGACCGTCTGAGGAGACGTCTCGGCTCCGGGTAGCTCCACCTCCACAACAGGCTCATCTGAAAGAGAACATATATAATAATAGTTTTAATATATTGGAGTTATGGAATGATAGACTGACTTTTCGAAGTCTATGTTGTTGAGGGCCTGACACACTGAATGTGGAAGCCTCCAAGTTAGACTTGTGTTCATATTTAATCAAACTACTTTCGACCTTCTGTACCTTCCTAAAGATGAATTTTTTTATTTTTTTTAATATGTTGTAATTTTTTCTTTCAATGTCTTGCAGCTCATTTTTCCATATAGAACACCATTAAATAGTGTGTGTGTGTTCTCATTACTTCAATCTATCTCAAGTCATCTTTGTATTGCAACTTTGAAATGCTGAAGAATAATAATAACAACAACAACAATAGTGATAATAACTTTTGAGAAGATGTACCGTGAAACGGTATCTAAAAGTCTAAATAAAATACACAAGCATAGCAAAGACCTAGGGGTTATGCTGACAAAATATAGATTAGTTTACAAAACTTTTAATGAAATGGAATGCTGTCTTACCATTATTGCTATGATCAAATCGTCCCAGGACGTAGTTGATCCCGATCCAGGCGTAGACACCCTCTTGCTTCCCGCTGATCACTTCAACATTCTTCTCGGGGAACAGGAAGCCATACTCCAGCGGGATGTCCTTCTTGAGGTCATCCAGGATCGCCTGAGATTGACTGTGAATGGATGGAGAGACATGGTGAAGGGTACAGATTAATATTGCTTATCACTGTTTCCGATAGACCACTCTTCTCTGAGAATGGATAGCCATAGACCAAGGGAACGAAAAGTATACTACAAATTACTTCCTTTACAGAAGAGAATTCTGTGAAAGTAACAAACCCCCCCCCCCTCCAAAAAAGGAATGAAATACTGTTGAAAGTCTCTTCCTTCAGTTAATATTTCAAATGTTCTTTCGACGGAGTATACACACCCAACAAAGATGAATGTGTATTCTTTTTGTCAATGAATTACTCTACCTCATAGCTTACTAAAATGTCCTGAGAATGTCAACATTTCTTCAGAAGCTGTGAGGAACATGACACTAACTATCAATAAAGAAAATATGTTATGATCCTATCTCACGTGAAGTTGACTGCGATTGGAGTTTGAATTAATCATTCAGAATTAATCATTCATTTAAGAGCCAATTGTTGCTTGATTCGTTCAAATGATACATACAAATAATATGCTACTACTCAATCAGGAGCTAGCCTTCAAAAGTTTAAATTGAAACTTGAGTTGTGTAAATGAAATGGTATGTATAATGATATTCTACAACTCAATCAAGAGCTAACCTTCAAAGGTTAGTTCAAATTTGAAATTGCGTTTTTAAGAGAGACTGGTGTTAGTTACTTCTTAAATGTTTTTGCATGCTCTATGGATAATTTGAGCAGGCAAAATGTTGACAAACTGATCATATTTGCAGGAAATCATATCCATTCTTTATGGTCATTAAACATTTATTAAATACATTTTTACCAAATCGATTGTCACTTCTTATTATCGGGTATTTGTATTAATAAACATTCAGTGTGCATTTTGTTTGTTTCTGTAATAACCTCATTTCCATCATCACTTAAACTCATCCATTTTCTAAATCATCATTTTGTTTGCCTACGCTTTTACTGATATACTGTTGTAAAATGTAGTTCCTCTATGCATTTCATATCAGTATTAGGAAAGATCATTGGCTTATCGGTAACTGAGTCAGATCTTAAAATCTTTATTTTTCTGGGTTTTTGTACGTTTTCATTGAGAAATACAAGAACTGTACAAACACCGCAAAACAACACAGAGAAACTTATCTGGATAGCATACAAACTTGGTCTCAAACATACCTTTCGGGCAACATGCGCATACCAGCAGTAGCGAGGATGTAGAGTGGTGTCTCTGGTATCTTGGATTCTGGGATGTGATTGACAGCAAAGTTTAGCAATGGTTTCATGTAGATGCTTGCTTCAGATGGGGTGCTGGCTAGTTCTGCCAAACCTAATGCAAAAAGAATAGAAGCAGGGAGTATATTTTTTCAATGACGTACTCAAGCTTATAGACATGTACCATCGCAGGCAAAAAATATAGACTGCTACCTATACACTATTCTCAGATAAGAGTTGATATAAATGGCAAGTTATTTGCGATGGATATTAATTGCAACTATGTATGTAAGAGATAGGAGACTGCAAGCTTGCGATTGATTGAAGGAATTCATTAAAGCGAAACTTACAACCATGCGCGACACACTTCCAATGCAGAAATGTCCATTCCTTATGCTCTTTTTTTTCCATACAAGCAGGTTTTTTTTAATTTTGGTATTATCAGTACTGTTATTTCATTCTTTTTGATAATATTTGTCTCTTCAAGTATGTTTTAAACTTAGTTTACTATTGAATTTGTGATCAAATCAACATTTTAGGGCAGTTGTTTGATGCGTGGTATGTTAAAAAAAAAAAAAAAAAAAAAAAAAACCCGTAATTTGGAGGAAAAAACAGAGTCATTCCGGCAAAAACGGAATGGTTGGCTGCTCTGCTAAAGTGATTGGGTAACTTTGTCTCAGATTCTGAAACAAAATCCTGGATTTAGCACATGACAGAAAAAAAAAAAAAGTACCGGAGTGTTGGCTCAGTCAGTAGAGCGTCCGCCTCACAACCGGGAGGTCGTGGGTTCGAACCCCGGCCGCGTCATACCAAAAGACGTTAAAAGATGGGAGTTGTTGCTACCTTGTTTGGCGTTCAACAATAAGGGATAGAGCAACGTCGATCTGGCGCTGCTCAGTGAGCCAGACACTTACCAAGAAGACACCCAACGAGAAGGAAGAAAATGAAATTGAACTGGAAGCCCGACTGCTGAGAACACAGCATTCTTCCAGAATCTCGGGTAAAGGTAAAGGTAAAGTGGCTGCCGGGCTCACGATCAATTGGGCAAAAAGAATTTCCGTTTCGGTTTAATAAAATTTTGAGTGGACTATTAGGCTATTATTATTATTATTATTATTATGCAGCAATGATAATTAGAAACCTTTAGGTCAGTCAGGAACCCTGTGACTTTTACAAGCCGATCACCTGTCTGATTATCAAGATATTTATGACTGGAAATCAAAATTTCATTTTTAGTTTTCCTAACGTTTTTTATAATACTACAGGCTATTGGGGAAATGAGTATGGTAAAACTGGTCACTCAAAGATTTTTACTTTTTTTTTGCTTCAATATTACGCCAAATCACAGACACTGATGACTCGTAGGGCAATACTTCTCAGATTTAACATTGTTAAAGGATGCCTTTAAAGTTTCTTTTTTTTTTACAGAGAAAGATCAGTACCTGGTTTAATTTTCTTGACCACTGGCTGTCTATTAGGATCCCTCATCTGATGTATCTGCAGCAGCTCATTATTCTTGCCCGTGTGACTGGGCCAGAAGTAGACGAACACCCTGGTCCCACTCGAGCCAGCATCAACCACAACCCCATAGTAAAGATTGGGATCCTCTGTATTGGTTGCCTCCACGTGCACATACTTCTGGACGTAGTTCTCGTAGTCCCTGTCTCCTCTGCTGGATGGGCCATATGAGCTCGTCTCATAGACATAGATACACAGGATGAGGAGACATGTGACTAGGAGGGCGACACATGCTGTCTGCCGCCTCAGATGGGTCAGTCGGAAGCTAATGTGCCAGAATGCAGGCAGAGGGAGATATAACGGACACCTGAAAGGAAGGAAAAATTAAAATAAGGAAGAGAATGATTAATGAAATGAACAAGAGAATGAAAATTACAGATTATACAAGATTTATACACTAAGTTGAAGAAAAAAACTTTTCATGTTTCATTCATAAACTTTTGCATACATGAAACGTTCTTCAATTTTGTGAGTGCTTCAGATTCGATAAAGATTCATACCGCATAGAGTAAAGGAGGGGGTAATCGACCAGCTTCAGTTTTCGGCCGATTGGTTGGATGCATGGTAAAATCCCTTTAAAATACATCGCATAATAGCATATCACATATCCCACACATACCATACCATGCCAGAGTCACTGAAGAACCACATTTGTAATGAAAAATATATCCTAAAATATCACATTTTAGCGATGTAATCGGCGGTCCCGCTACCCAAATCTGAAAAATCAAGTATCTTACGCGTGTCTGTAAGAAATATGGGTACCATAAAATGAGCTTTATTTCAAGTATTTTTCAGATTAAGAGCCCGATTTTGTGCTAGTCGCAAGCTCAAAAGTGTCTTACCGCATGTATTAAATCAATGCAGCCGGACACCGCAACGCACACACGATATCTCTGTCTAATTCAGATTCCAATATCCGATCACCACAGTACTATTTTTCGACCTGGCGAGCTCCGGGGAGCTCCGGCGTGGGATACCTGCTCCGCCCGCTAGTACTATGGATCAGTACTATGAAAACTACCGATCAATCTCACTAACATCAATAGCATGTAAAGTCTTGGAACACATAGGCCACAGTAACATCATGGACCATCTTGAAGACCATGACATACTCTCTGATGCCCAACACGGATTCCGTAAAAAGCGATCTTGTGTCTCGCAGCTTACTCTTGCCATCCAAGATCTTGCCATCCAAGATCTTGCCAGGGGCATAGATAACAGGGAACAACTTGATGTCATCCTCCTAGATTTTGCCAAGGCTTTTGACAAGGTGCCACATGGTAGGCTTCTTCACAAACTGAACTTCTACGGCATACGTAATTGTACCCATGCATGGATAGCTGACTTTCTTCGTGATCGTATGCAGCAGGTAATCCTTGAAGGAACCGTCTCTACCAAGACCCAAGTGACATCTGGAGTTCCGCAAGGTAGCGTCATCGGTCCAATGTTATTCCTGCTGTTCATTAACGACCTACCAGAGTACCTGTCTCCTGACACCACTGTTAGACTCTTTGCAGATGACTGCCTAGTTTATCGCAGCATCGGGTCAGAAGCTGACAGTGCACAACTCCAGGAAGACATCAACTCACTGGAGCAATGGGAAACCGACTGGCTAATGGAGTTCAACCCGAAGAAATGCCAGGTTCTCCATGTGTCAAACAAACGCAAGCCTATCATCAAACCCTACATCATTCATGGACAAACTCTGGAGCATGCAGATACAGCGAAATATCTTGGAATTCATCTGCACAAGAAGCTGAGTTGGAACTACCACATCGACCAAGTAACAAGGAAGGCTAATTCCACCCGAGCCTTCCTCCAGAGGAACATCAGATCATGCCCACGAAAAGTCAAAGTACTCTGCTACCTCACCCTACTTAGACCGGTCATAGAATATGGAAGCATCATCTGGGATCCCTTTACCCAAGCCAATACCACGAAGCTAGAGATGATCCAGAGAAGATATGCACGCTTTGTTTGCAATGAACATCGCAGAACAAGCAGTGTCACAGCCATGCTCGACCAACTACACTGGCCATCTCTGCAAGAAAGGAGAGCCCAAGCGAAGGTAGCGATGATGTTCTGTATCAAGAACTCGCTGATATCCATCCCCCAGACAGTTCTGACTCCATCACTACCTGCTTTGCTAAGAGGTCACGACCAGAAACTCCAAGTGCCATATTCTCGGACACAAGTTCTTCAAAGGAGCTTCTTTCCAGATGCCACCAGGCTCTGGAACTCACTACCGCAGGCCGCCGTCACCTGTACCTCTCTGCTAAGCTTTAAGAGAGAGGTACTCAAGATCCAGCTCCGTTAAGCTACGGATGTCTTTTTAACTGCACATAGCTCATTGTAGACCTTTTATTGAGACACTACATACACCTGCACAGCACCTACAATCAGTACGAGAATACACCCGACGGTGGCCTGTACTTATAGCGAAGAAGAAGAAGAAGAAGAAGAAGCGTGGAGACGCACAGCGCGCGCGCGCGCGCGCTTCCTATTGACTTTGTACATGCGGCCGAAAACTGGTTCGCTATGCCGATAACTGACTTCGAAACAGTGAAAATTGAAATGAATATTGTCATGGCAATTCGTGATTTTTTTCTGGGATTCTTTTTTTTGTTTAAATAATAATAATATTTGCTTCATGATTTGAAGAAGAAATGATAATAAATAGGAAGTAAAGGGTCCAAAAAATAGGATTTTGTCTTAAGTGGCCGAAAACCCCCTCCTTTACTCTAGATATTTGAATCACAATTCACAATAGGGTCTAGGCCATTTTTGTAAAGTAACAAAATTGTATTTGTATGCATAGATCTAGATTCTAAGTCTTTGTGAAGCTGAAGTGCCTCAATACAAATTATTTCCTCCTTCACACTCCATGACATAGACATAGGCATAACAAAACTACACGTTACTTGTACCAACTGTAGTAGATCTATTAGATCTAGACCTATGTGACAGATTGAATGAATAAATAAAACTGAAACTAGTCTAAGTTGAATGTGAAATTGAAAAGGCATCGATCGAGTGTTGATTAGCTCTATAAATGTATAAAATGTCTGATATTAATAATGACTCGCATAAGTTTCATGTTATAATATTTTTTGGTTGAACAGTAGTCTAGTGAGTTACCTATAAAAAAAATTAAAAAACTAAAATAAGAAGACTGCCGAATTCGGAGTTGCGCTGCGCGCTGCATATCCAGGGTATTGGACAGAATTGATCGGAGGAGTGCCGGGTGACCTGACACGTCGATCGGGCACGCAAAAAAAAGGGCACAGCCGCAGCCGCCCTGCCTAAGATAGTTCACTTACCTAGCCATTTAAACACTAGAATACGACCAACATTAAGAGGACTTCAGAAGACTACCGGTCCATAAAGATTCCGTCGTTTTGATACTTCTCGTCTGAGCAAACAGTTTTATGACTGGTTTTTCGACAACATATTGCTTCCGTAGCTACGACTACGTGTCCATATGTACGTGTAAGCCGGGTGTCATAACTAGCGACCAATTCTGAAAACTGCCAAAGACAGGCAACAACTACGCGTAGCCAATTTTGCAAGTTTTAGCGATCGTATGACGCGTCTTTTTTCTTGTTGTTTCTTCTTTATTTTTTGATAAGTGATGATGTAAAGTATAGTATGCTTCACATTTTAGTATCTCACAACTAAAAGGTATACGCGCTAGACCTTTGTTTCCCGCAGTTTCTAATCGTTTCGGAAACCAGCGAGAAAATAATTAATTAACAGGCGCGGCAGTCTGGATGCGGTTTAACGCGGCATTCATGCAGAAGCTTTTTCAAGTACGCAGAAATTTGCCTCTTTTTTTGCAAAAAAAATTGCCGCATTTTAATTCAGATAAGAACCCATTTCTTTTTCTAACTTAGGTGCCCGTTCCACATTCTTTTCAGTGCCCCCTTACCACCTCTGATAATTAGTGCCCCCTTCACCCATGACTAATTGCCCCTATCATCAAATCTGTCGACACGTAGGTACTCCTTTTTCTTTTCTAACATGAAGTGTCCTTTCCCTTCTGATAAGTATATCCCCTTTCATTTCTCCATATCATGTGCACATAGATTAAAGAGACTAACAGGCACGGATCCAGGAATTTCTTACCGGGGGGCACACACGGGGGGGCACCGTGTGGGAAAGAGAACATGGGGGGGGGGGGTAAGCGGACACTTTTTAAAAATAAATTTTAGTCCCAAAAAAATCGCAACGACTTAGCCGGCCGCTGAATAAGCGGGGGGGGGGGGGGGGGGGGGGGGGGTAAGAGGACACTTTTTTTTTTGGGGGGGGGGTCACGAAATTTTTTAATTTGACATTTTGCTTCGTTGGAGGGGCAGGGGGGGGGGGTAAGCGGACACTTTTTTTAAAAAATTGCAACGACTTAGTCGGCCGCTGAATAACGGGGGGGGGGGGGGGGGGGGGGGGGTAAGAGGACACTTTTTTTTTTGGGGGGGGGGTCACGAAATTTTTTAATTTGACATTTTGCTTCGTTGGAGGGGCAGGGGGGGGGGTAAGCGGACACTTTTTTTAAAAAATTGCAACGACTTAGTCGGCCGCTGAATAAGCGGGGGGGGGGGGGGGGGGGGGGGGGGGGGGGGGGTAAGAGGACACTTTTTTTGGGGGGGGGGGGGGTCACGAAATTTTTTAATTTGACATTTTGCTTCGTTGGAGGGGGGGGGGGGTAAGGTCACCTTTTTAGGTCAGCCATTGGCAATGTTTAGCCGGGGGGGGCACGCCCCTTTTTTTCGGTATATTTTGGGCGAATTTAGGGCTGATTTTAACATATTTTTTTTGGCCGGGGGGCACGTGCCCCCTGTGCCCCCCCCCCCCCCTGGATCCGCCACTGACTAAGAGCAACTTTTCTCAAACTTCCCCCAAAGCTTGCATGCTTGCTCGCTCTCATTTATAGTTATGTCAAATCAGTCTTTCATGAAGAGAATGTGCTTATAGAATCCGAGCAGGGTTGCTTTTTCCTCTTTATAAGTTGCGATGAGACCGCCCAAATCTTAAAATGTATCGGTAGTCGCTTCGCTCGCTCGCAAATGAATATTCATACCATTGCACCCACACTGTAAAGTCATTCGTTAAAGCATAATCTTAGACTATGCATGTAGAGAGAGAATAATTAAATATTGCAATACTGAAAACTGAAAACTGATAATGTTTAATCACAATGTACAGGGGTGTACCAATGTTTGAGCATTATAAATTGTCCTATGTAGGTTCCCCTTTTTCCAGAAAGTGCCCATTTTTTCTTGGTGCCCCGCCCCCACACTTTATAGAGGCGCTCCACCACCCATGGTCGTCACGACTATTGAGTGTGCTTGAAATGTCATGCTTGCAGGCTGCGTATGTGAGGGAAGGAAGCACTTTTTTGGCTCAAGGGGGGGGGCTGACATCCTGGCTTGCCCCGTGTGTTCGATCGCTCCTTCTCCCCCCCCCCCCCGCTTCCCTCTCTCTCTCTCTCTCTCTCTCTCTCCTTTACTTAATGATTCAAATTGAGGCATATGTCTCGGAGCATTTTGCCCCCCCCCCCCCCCCCCCCGTTTCATTGGATAATATGTGTCGTGCTTCCGTTCCGATTCTTCTTTGGATTAAAACAAGCACTATATAAGCTTGCCTAACATTTCATCACAATTGTAGGGGTGAAATTATTCATAAGAATTAAAAGCTGGAACACGCATATATATATATATATATATATATATATATATAAATTAAATAACAGGCATTAAAACTATTCTTATCCATATTTTGTGAATAATTTAGATTTGATCTTGTACAAACGTTATTTGAAAAACTTAAAGTGAGGAAAAATCATTGCTGATAGGGCAATTTATAAATTGGCAACTAATTGCATGCTGATATTATTTCCTGCTTTCAATAGTTGTACATTGATCGAATGGGGAAATAAATTGGCAACGCTATGGTTTGGATGTCGATTAAATTTCTTTATTTATATTTTATAAATTGTTAGAAATTTATTTGAATCAATGTTTATCATTAAATATTTTAATGACCTTTATATCTTAATTTACATCCAAGAAAAATATTAATTCTATTTAATAAGCTTTGCTTAATTTTATATTTTATAGCTTTTCGGAAGTTTTGATGCTGCCAATTTCAGATGAGTCAAGTTTGTAAAGATGGCTTTGGATGCTGTGAGGATAAGGACTTGCGTTCAGGAAATTGTTAAACATGACTTACAGATCAATTCATATGCACAGGTAATTACATTAAACAGATTTTAAAGTCAATTTCTACGATATTATCGAGAAGAAATTTGTGTTTGTTGATGCTTGTCTAGCATATAGACGCTTTTAAATTTACTATTATAAACTCACTGTGATCGTAGTCCCACATATCCAGTTCTAACGAGGCATGCCTGGTCTGTAGTCTGCTACTGAATTTGATGGGTGAATGAATAATTTATTAATTTATAATTTTTTTCGGATCAGGACTGATTAATCTATGACTAGACTGTTTAAATTGATGTAAAGAATGAAAGAAAATAAATAGAGTAGACCCTACATGTTCAAAATCCAAAGAAACTCCCTTCTTGTTTTTATTTTATTTTATTTTATTTAGAGAGTCTAACAAAAGTTAGATCTAGATCTAGATCTAGACCCTAGAGTCTAGATCTAAAAGTTAGATCTAGGCCTAGAATAGATCTAGACTCTATTAATTTTTTTAATAAAGATAGGCTAACGCATTCTTAATCTTATCTGATTTGTCTGCTTGCCTCTAGTCTAGATTGGTTTAGTCTACTAATAATACTACCAAGGGCTTGCCAAGGTTGGGTAAATTTCCCTTACCGGGCTTTAGAACATCATGAAGAGCTTGTACTACTACTAGTAGAATAAGTCTAGATTACATGATTACATTTACATTGAATGAAGTTATTTTTTATATTTTTTTTGAGGGGGGTCATATTTTTAAATTTTTATTTTATTTGCTTTTTTTTCTTTCAGGAGCTCAGAAGTAGCTGCAAAACCATGGAGAGTCTGGACAGTATCAACACAAGAATTAAAGCAGAGACTGCCATCTGTAAAAACAGAATAGAGGTGATATTTCTACTTCTAGGTTGATTGCTATCTCAAATCTCAATGTCAATAGTCAATTACAGCTTCTCAGGCCCATGTGTAACTGAAAGAAATATTGTGATTGTTCATGTTTGTTCCATGGTAGAGATTGGTGAATTGAGAAATCAGAGCCCATCTCATATCTTGAAGATTTGTAATTGATTCTTATCAAACTTTAAGTTACCAATGAATCACCAGTCCAGTCAATGCAATTATTTATGATTTATTCAGTCAAAACTTTCATAAGACTGGGCTCATATGTGCTTAACCTAACATGTCTGGATGACACATTCCCTTCTTGCTTCATAGTGAATATTTTGTTTCTGAAGACAAAGTTTGCTCTTTGAGTAATGTGTCATTGTTGAGACATGAGAGGTATTTCAGACTTCCTTGCTTTTCTGTTTGCTTTCATGACTTTATATTTTCTCCCTCGCAGGAGCTAGAAAAGATTGGCAAAGAGCAAGATAAAGAAACAGACAGAATAGGACTCCTCAAGGAAGCAGATCATTACAGAAAACAACTCAGAAAGTAAGTTCAGATTTATCCTTTAAGGCCCAAATTCACAAAGGAGGCTTGGATAACCCATGGTCTGAAAAATGATTTAAACCCCCACCATGGGGGGGGGGGGGGGTGACACATGTATACTACCTACATGAAGGTTTAAGCCATGGGTTAAGATACACATCTGCCTTGAATTCAGGCAATATAGTCTCCTTTCCCTGGCATATAAGACTAGGATGTTGTTTGAATACAAGATTCAAAACTTTTTTTTATAATTTATAAAATTTTGTGTATGTTTTGTAAAGGGCCATTTGATAAACATTTGTCTAAAGAAGGGGGCTATTGTATTATTTTCCCTTTCTTTGTCTTACATATATCAGAGTTTTAAAGTTCAGACAAGATAATTGTATGAAATTGCAATCACAAAATAAAAATATTGACCTGTTTAACAGCACACAGACTGCTATTAGGCAAGCCAACCTCAGCTGCAAGATGGAGATTGATAGAAACCAAAGAAATGAGCTGCTGATAGGACAGGAAGATCCAGAGGTCAGGAAAAGGTGAGATCTTCTTAAATGACTTAAAGATAAAGTTGAGTTCTGGTCAGGCGATTGCATTGTGAAAGAAACGGCGTGGAATCGATCAGAAAAAGTAGATCACTTAGCATAGAAGTATTGATGTGTACTGCCAGGTTCTGGAGTCATCAAAATGATAAGAAATTTGGCCTCTGATCAACCGTTTGTGTGGAGTGTGGACACTCCTTTGGTTTTCAGCAGATGACATATTAATTGATCTTGTATTGCATTGAAGTTCCCTCAATTTAGTTTTAAGATGAGAAATATAAATTCTTGCAGAATTGAAAGAAAAAATATATTGTCTTTTTGGAGCCTGTAAAGCATTTCTCGATTTGCCTCATATGATTTTACACCAAGTTAATGCTCTTCTGGCTCCAGACAGATATAGATAAATAATAGTTAGTTAAATGAATTTGTAAAAATACTGCACTACACCCAATTGTTAGCAGCATAATGATATAATATGAGTGATTTTCTCCATGTAGGGCATGAAAGGTAAATAATTTTCTTACTCCCTCCCTTTTCTTTTCCTACCCTTCATAGAAAAAATAAGGAAGACCTCGCTAAGACAGCAAGTGGCATCACAGAGAGTCTTCTGAGTCTCAATCGTATGATGGCAGACAATGTAGAGAGGAGTAATCTTACCAACCAAACCTTAGGTCAGTCAGTACTTCTGCTATTCTTATACTCTCACATTACTTTTCAGATATTTCATTTTGCAATTCAGGGATAAAGATGTCGGGGGATATTTGATATTTTGATTTATGAATTGTTAATAAATTGACAAAATAGGCATCACATTCTTTTGTCGTAAAATGTTTCAAGAAAATGTTTTTTATTTTTAACTCTGTTTATTATAAATGACTGCAAAAAATATGATTAGAATCTTTTAGTCTCATATTTTCTCATTATTGTATAGGAACAAATTGACTGCGCATATGTTTGAGAATTTGTGTCTTGCTTTTCATTAATTTAAACCAAATCAATTCAAATCAAATTTCAAAAATAATTTGGGTGCTAGCATATTAAATGCACCTTGCCTCTAAAGGCATCGTTTAACAATGTCAAATCTGAGATGCACGGTCTGTGATATGGTGTTATATTGAAGCTCTAAAAAAATTGCGCTTCAAAATTATCATGAAGTGCCTCAAAAAAGTAAAATCTTTCAGTGACTGGTTTTACCATACTCATTTACCCCAATAGACTCTAGTGTTATGAAAACCGTTTGGCAAATGCAAAATTTGATTTCGATTTTCAATCATAAATATCTTGATAATCAGACGGGCGATCGGCTTTCAAAAGTCATGGGGTTCCTGACTGACCTAGTTTATAATTATGATGGCAGCATAAGCAAAATCAGGGAAGTTTTATAAAGGATCTAAGACAAAGTTACCGGATCCCTTTAAATGCACCTTGCCTTTAACATTTTTAACCTCATCTCTTGTATCTCCCTTCTATAGTGACCTCCTCCAACAGAATACAAGAAACAAATGAAGAATTTAAAGGAATGGCAGGCGTCATTCAGACCAGTCGGAACCTCCTCACCAAGTACGGACGTCGAGAAATGACGGACAAGCTGCTCATATTCCTCGCTCTTGCCCTCTTTCTTGCCACGGTGGTCTACATTCTAAAAAAGAGGATATTTTGATCAGCCTGACATTAAAGACACTCTGAAGGCACTGTGAAATACTGTTAAAACTCATGAAGATTGGTTAAAATTGTGAAAGGAGAGCTAAGCAGCAAGAGAGATCCATCTACTTCAGACTTCATTTAAATTGATCTTCAATGCTACAGTGATCTCTATTCTGAAGAAAAGGATCATTCAATGTATCTGATTAATAAAAGACTTGTAAAACATTCTCCAAACTGTGAAAGAAGAGCCGTGCAGTAAGATGGGATATTCTCTGCATACTCATTTATATTGATTTTCAGTGCCATCTCTATTCTGGAGAAAAGGATTGTTTAAATGAAAAGAAAGAAATTGATATTTTGATGACTATGACATTGAAAAGACTGAAGACTTTAAAAATATGAACATTCTACTAGAATGTGAATTTATAAAAGAAAAGTACAACAGTGAGAGGGGACATTGTCTTTTTTTTTCCGTACTTACTTAGAAGCATCTAGGGTGATTTACATGTACATCTAGCTTTCAGCATAAATTTTTAAAGTTGTCACAGCCTCACAGGTAACACAACCTCTTAATTATCTGTTATTGTTTTATTCCAATGCATACTGCCGAAATGTATATATCATCCCATGGTCTATTTCAAGAGTTATGGAATTTCCAGAGAAATTTTGAATCAAAGGATAATATTGAAGTAACAAGACAAATGCGACTGGATCTCCTATATATGTCTCCACCCTAAATTCAGTATAGGAAATGGAAGGAATTATTTGCGACATATCACAGTGAAAGCGAAAAGCCAATATATCTTGTGGTATCGCAATAGCAATAGCAATAGCAAGGTTAAAACCTGTAATTTCAGAAATTGACCTCTTTGAACTTTGAACCCAAAATCTGACCAGATCGTCTTCCTATGGTGATACATATTATCGCCAAGTTTGAGCCTCATATCTCCAGGGGTTGATGACATATCACGATAACGAGGCATATACCTGGAATTTTCAGGAAAGTTGACCTCTGTGTCCTTTGACCTAGTGACTCCAATATCTAATCAGATTGTCTTCTCATGGTGATACATAATATTATCACCAAGTTTAAGCCTCAGAACTCTAGTAGTTCTTGAGATATAACAAGATGGACGAACGGACGGGCGTACAACCCAAAAACATAATGCCTCCGGCATCACCTTCATTGGTCAAAGGCATATAAATCTACACAAAAATTATTGATATGATGTATATCAATGGTATCATTATTTTGCCAATTGGTATTTAAATGTCTAAGATATATACATTTTTTTTATTGAAAATTCTGTTATACACAATTCTGAAATGTTATTCTGTAATGCTTGAAACTGACCTAATGATAAGTTGAGATAGCAAGAGAGTGGGATGGATGGAACATTGAAGAGCTGAGAGTGATGAGGTGAGAAACACAGTGACAGCCTGTGCTCTGTACTCCGTAGATATAATAGTCAGAATGATCTTCTCATATTGGTTTGGTTTTTGATGTTCATGATCCCAGCCTGTATTCCTTGAATGTGAAATTTCTTTCTTTATATGTGACACAAAACAGCCATGGTTGCTGTAATACTCTATGGATTAAGGTAGCTCTTAAAAGAAGCATGTAGGGTATATAAGATTCCTTATTTTGGTCGAGGTGCATTGTTTGGTCAAAGGTCAACCACCTGGTCGGTGGAAAAATTCTGTTATTTAAAAAAAGTGCATCGATCTGAACTTGCAATCTCTCATCTTTTCATTTTCATTTCACTGTTTGATTTAATCAATTATTTGGTGAGTTGAGTTGGTTAGCACAAAAACTATTTATTTTCTTCTGAAAATATTTGTGCCTTTGCTACTTTGGTAACAGATATGTATGTAAATCAGTGCTTGAGACTTGCCCTCATCAATGTATATTTTTAATTTTGGACCATTATTGTATCTTATTTATAGTACCTTTACCTTTACAAAATAAATGACAGACTATTTTTTCTTCTTCAGACTAACCTTGGTCATATCTTTGATGTACAAATGTGCATTAAAATAATGTATCTATTCATAATCATTACATGTACGAATCACATGCAGTATTCAATTTCATTTCATTTTTGGTGGGAGAATATTAGTTCTGCTGATATTATTTTCGAAAGTGACTACGATAATTTTGACATTCAGCCAGAAATCGTTTGGGTCAGAGTGTTTCATAGTACCATTTGAAATACTGCTTTGCTGTAGTAAAAAATGATATTGTTAACATTAATTCTTATTATATTATTTTCTAAGTTATTGCAAAATCAATGTCCTTACATTCCATCAGGCATACTGTAAAACTGTAAACTTTCAAGTTTCGAGTGCATAAAATGTTCGCAAATTTTACAAGTGTTCCGCATTCGCAAATCTTCCTTGCCCCGAAAATGTACAGGAGGAATCACAAGTGACACAACATTATCTTGTATCAATTCCCAAATTTGTTATGAATATGGATAATATTTTCAATTTGCAAAGTTTCTAGTTAAAAAATAAGAGCCGGTGAATAACATTGCTAGCCCCCCTCTCTTACCTAATTATTTTCTTTGATTTACCATTTTTTTTTCAAGTACAAATTTGAAGTTCAAATTTCATGTACATGTCGTACTTGTAACATACATTCTGTAAATCATATATCATGTGATTTAATATATTAAATATTATTCAAATTACATTTTGTTTTTGTTTGATTAGTCTTTCTTTAGATTGAATGATAGAACAATTAATTCCTCAAAGGGCAATCTAACCCTTGTGATATTTTAATGTGTATGAATGCAGAAAAATAAGAGGAACTGAACGGCAAAATTTTGAAATAAATCGCACTGATAAAAGTGCTACAAATGTTTGAATTATGAGATCACAATACCTATGCAAATCTCAAATTGGCAATTTTGTCAGTGGATTGCGAAGTAGTCAACACTCCCATTTGTTGTGTACAAAAATATCATTGATTTATATTTTTCTCCCAAGTGCCTTCTCCCTTGGGACACTTCTCAAAATATCGATAGTATATTACCATAGGTCCACTGAAAAGAAAAAACACCCCCCCCCCCAGTCATACATTTTTTTTAATAGAAAAATTGCGTGACAACAAATGAGGAAAGTTGTCTGGTACTACATCACAGTAATCACTGATTCAGCTCATTTTAAGGTCTCGTACGTATAGTGATTACAACTTTCATTAATTCATAGCTTTTTCTCTCTCTGATTTCTTTCAAAATTTTGCCAGTCTGCTTTTCTGATTTTTTTGTTTTCTCTAGAGTTGTTTGCTATTAAAGGTATTACAAAGTTTTGCGAAATTTTGAAAATTGGGTGGATAGTGATTCTTTACAATTTTGATGGCCCTGTGGATGCATTATAAGCACTAGAAAATTTAGCCCCTGAAACAGTTCTGCTTTTGAGATAAATTGAATATAACAATTTACCGGTGCTCCCGGTAAATGTTGATAAATTTCAAATAGCGCCTACGGTCGTACAATGGTAGCTGCGACCATGAAAATCTCAGAAAATGTAGTTGTGATATATAATTGCCAAACAGGAATAACTAATTGGTCAATTTTAGTCAAGATACATTGTTTTGTAGCTCAATTAATATCTTGACCTTGAGAGGGAGCTATACAACATAAAAAGTTTATTATTTACAATTTCATAACTTTAGACTCGATTTCAACCGCAACAACGATCACTGAATATTGTAGGATCCCATATGCTTCCAATATGTTGATTTGAACCAAATGCATGACCCCATACCAAAACTTTGTATTACCTTTCAGGTTGGACTTCCCTTTAATGAACTATGTAGAACTTTTTGATGATGATAATGATGATATTTTAACATTATTTTATTATTATTTTTATTATTATCATTGTTGTTGCTTTGACCGTTGTTATTATTAATTAATTCATTATTTATTTAATCACTACATTTAATAATCAATATTTATTGATGAGAAAATGAAACAAAATCATTTAATGCGGCAAAAAATTGATGTTCATGTTGGGGATGTTACTGTTGCAGTTGGTAAAGATAATTTTTGATTTTGTGACCATGATGTTGATGATGTTGCATGATTAATGGTGGCATAACTTTGAGTATGATGGTCATGGTGTTAAAAATTGTTTGCAAGGATAATGATAATTTTGATGATGATGATGATGATGATGATGATGATGAGCACTTTATGATGAGTATGTTTTTTGATTGCGACATTTATGCTGAAATGATAGTGATTTTATTCATAATTGTATGGTTTGATTAAAAATATTATGTTGATGATAGTTTTAGTGTTGATGATGATGATATTGGTGTCACATTTGTGGTGTAGTGATTCATAATGGTGATGATGGCGCCCCTGCAGCATTATGATTCAAAATATTTTCAATATGACATAGGCCTATACTTTGCATTTGACTGCTGGTTTATGGAATGAAAAATACTCTAATCCAAGGTACTGTCAGAGTCTGAATGAGAAGCAAATATGTAGAAGATTCAAGCAAATTTTTGTGGATGTATTGTAATTTAACAAATTTTCATTTTTTCATTTTGTTGTTAATGTTTTCCTCTGTTTTCATAAATAAATTGAAAATAAAATTCTTTAATATAAGCCTTATCGACAGAGTTCATCTGAAAAGAGAGAGGGAGAAAAAGAGAAAGAGAGAAAAAAGAGAGGGAGGGAGAGAGAGGAAGAGGGGAGGGGGGGGGGGGAATTCGTGTGTCTTTTGCTTTCTTCATCATTTTGGAATTCATATGTCTAGTCCAAAACAAATCAAAGATTTGTGGCTTCATGTACTCATTGACTATTGGCTTATTGTTTGTGAACCTTTACACAAAGTATTTTTTATTAAATTGCATTAATTTGAAAGTCTTTTGTTAAGTTCAACTTCAGAAAGTGAGTTCCTTGAAGAAGAAAAATAACTTTAATTTTCAGTGTGCACAAGACCTAGTGTCCCCTAAATGCACAACTAATAATTTTAGATTTGCTGTAAACCTTGATATTTAATTGTAATTGTAAATTGAATTATAAAAGAGGCAAAAATACAGTTCTTTTGGGCTAATTTAAATTTACATTATTAGCTTGCCGGTTTGTACTTATTTATATTTCATCTAAATTTCAGGCAAAGAAAGCATTAATAACATTACCAACCAGGATAACATTTAATCAGTTTTATGTATTTACAAAAAAAATGACAGTGAATGAGAAGAATTAAAGTTAAACAAAAACTAGGGCCTTTGATTTTGCTTTTCCTCATTTGGGAGATGGGCTAAAACAAACAAAACAAAACAAAACAAAAAACAAAAACAAATACAATGAAAGGTATTTGAAACAACAGCATTTCTAAATCTAGGAAAAAGCTACTCATATCTTCACTTCTCAAGAAAAGTGAAATTCAATATACCTGGTAGGCTTTTATTCTAGCCCCACTGTCCTACTTGTAGCTAATTGCTCCATATATAGAAAACTTCCCAAATCGGTGCCTGTTGGTCCCCTATGATCCTCTTTTTCTTATGTTAGTTGAGAGCTGAGTTAATGAGATAGCCACCTGTCAGTGACCTCGCTGTGTGGTCTAATCCCTTCTGGCCCGGTAGTAGTGACGGTCTTTAAATTTTTTTAAACGAAAACAAAAAAATAATTTTGATAAAGTTTGATCTTTATTTCAAACAAACATTTTATGATAGATCTCTGCACATATTCAATCATTTCCATTTGAATATGTTATACTTTTTGTGTAGGCCTAAGTAGGCCCTACTTTGTACTTTACATAGGTGATTTCTATGAATATTGACTTTTCAAGGAAAATCAGCCAATCTGAATAAATTAATATGATTTTCTCTGATAAATATCACTTTTTTAAATTAAAAATTAAAACCAAGTAGAATATATTTGATATATTTTAGTGATGTGATTTTAAGCACTATGTTTATCTGCATTAATGGGGGGGGGGGTATATTAATGGGGTATATATATACAAAAATCATTTTTCCAAGATCATTGCTGCTCATAATTAATCTGACACCATTTTTATAAAGCCCGAAAAAGGAAAATATATATATATATATATGAGAGGGTTATTAATTCATAGTGTTCAGGTGAGCTTGGGGACTCGTTTCATGCCCCCACCCCAAGCCAATTAAATCCGATTGCAATCACATGATGCTTAAATTTAGACCTATAAGTGAAAGGGTGAATGATGTTTTTAGGCATACAATATGTAGATCCTAAGTAATAATTATGATTTTGAGATATTGTCTTTCGAAGATCAAGTCAAAGTTTACCTTCTGCTAAAGAGGTTATACCAAACAGTAGATAAAGCATATATTCTATACAGACAGGAGGGATGATATTGCATGGGGTTGATTACATAATGATGGTATTTCAATTTTTATACATGAAAAAACAAGCCCATTTAGATGAAAATTATATATTTCAGGTTGAGATAGAAGAGAAGAGAAAAAAGGAATTCATTAACACAACCATTTTTATGATTTGAAGTGAGCTGGTAAGCATGAATTGGTGTTTTTCAAAATTATTTCCAGTATCTGGGACATAAAAAGGCAAGCTTTATTCAGCTACAAGAGATTGAGTCTTCCGATCGTAGCTTCCGAAAGAGAGAAGAGATTTCCGAATGTCTTCGTGAATTTGGAGTCAAATTAAGCATCCAATCGAACGCTTTTAAATTCGCGCCGCTTTGACTCGGCTATTTCCGTGAACACTCGTGAGTGGTTCGTTTACCTTTTCGAGAGAGAGAACGAGCGAGCTGAGCTGACTTTCCAGGCATAATGCATGCATTGGTTCTGCGCGCGTAAATGTACCCATACTACCAGGCCCGTATACAGTGCATATGCGTTATGCATGCATGCAGTACATACACACGTTTTCTCATAGACCAAACGAACTAGCCGCTGCCCCCTGTATTTTGAATGGGGACCCAGACGGAAGGTTAGTGAAATTTTAACATTTTGAAAGCTTAATTTTACTAAATGAGTAAGTCCTTGAATTCGAAAATTATTTGTCTATGTATTTATAAATGCAACTTTCAATATTAATGTCAAAATCTCTTAATTTTCAATTTTATATGACTGATTCTTATCTCTTTATCTCCAATTTTTAATTGAGGCAAACACGAAGACAGTGCCTTGTCAATGAGAAAGCTCATAATCTTCATGTTGGCTAAGGTTTTGTCTTTAAATCGTTTGGTAAATCTAAATCTATTAATGAGGATATAAGACTATGCAGACCTATTAGTATGTGTTCAGATATTATTGTAGAATGATAATCTACAGAGATTTTTATGAGCGTGAGAGGTGAAATTATGACCATGATTCATGACTGAGTAGTGAGTGACAAACCTGATTGGTGAAGATTAACTTGTCTTGACGTCTTGAGACTGAGTGAAAAGTGAGACTGACATGATTGAAATTATCTTGTACCTTGTGTTCTTCTCTTTCGAAAGGTCCGCTAGGAATTATAACTGGAAGTATAACTTGGCGTGAGGACGCGCGGAATAAAATTTAAAGATTTTTGAGATAGTTTGTCGAGTTTTTCCGAAAGTTTGTGTTAGTGAGCTGAAATGATCAAGGTTCTTGAACTTAAATTTTAAATATAAGAAAATGTCCAGGTTTAGCACATCTTTTCTCTTAAAATTACTTTAAGGAATGTATTCATGATTTAATAAAATGCCGGTCGATGTCAGCAGTGTGTTGATAATGATAGTAATGATGATTAACTCATTTTTTTTTTGGGGGGGGGGGCTCTAATTTTAGGGTTGTGGTCAATTTTGAAATTGAAGATAATCCTCTGACACTCATTGACTATTGAGTTACATAGGCTTTTAGATGCATCATGTGGAAATTATTTCAAGAATGAACTCGGTAGGTATACCAAAACTATACTGGAATAGACTGTAGACCTACCAAAGTATTAGAGCTTGGCTTTTGCTTTGAATTCACTCCAATGTTTTGGCATGTCTGACATTCAACACTGCATGAGTGGGGCCTCTAGACCCGCAGCAATGTTCAGACTAAAAATAAACATGATGAACAAATATTTTCTTGCAGTGGTCCATAAGTCTACGTTTGCAAAGTGTCCAAATATGGGCATTGTCCCAAGTTATTAGAAACTAGAAAGAATAGGAATGAACAGTGGAAACCATTGAAACAAACTGGAGGCTTTACGTTTACAGGTATCACTCATGGAGCCATGCATCTGTATGATGGACTGCCCATTATTATGACCACTGTCGACCTCTAAGTTGCAGAGGTAACAATGACAAAGTATCTAAAAAATTCAAAAAAATCATATTTACAACTATTTTTATGTTGAGAACTAGTGTGTCTGAGCTCAGTTTTATGAGGCAACTACAGTAAATGTAAGTTATATTAAAAAATTAATTGATCTGAATCAAGTTTTTTAAATCTTTTTCTTATGTCTTGAATAAGTTGAATCCGTACTATTTCTCAGAGTTTAATTTGAAGTAAAATATTTTTGTCTCCTTTGCAGAATATTTGGTCAACATTGTTCAGAGAACCAAACCAACTCTATTCAAAAGGATACCAGTGATCCAAAGGGTGCGAGGCTTGGAGTGAAAAGGATGAATTCCTCTGATCCTCCGAGTCAACTCCCTCCTCCACCACATCTTTACAGCGACACCCCTGTAAGATCATCCAGCCTTCCTACCATGCAGGAGGCGATGGGAAACTCCTCACCATCAAAGCTCCTTGGCCTTGCGTCGTCTGCACAGAAGCCTAGTCCTGCAGCAGCTGCATCCTTTACTAGTCACAGTCACATTCCGGTCAACCCTATCCCAGGCCCTATCCATCACAAGATAGCACAGCCGATGCGCCAGGCTGAGCCGCCACAGACGCTCCACCATACATTCCCAAGCGGTCCTCAGGAAGAACCGGACTCTGCACCACAGCCCTCTTCTCAGCAGTCCTTTCCTCACTCAACTGCACAGCCGTTCATGCCGCAAGGACAATCGACTCATCCAAGTAATGCATATGAAGAGGTGGTGCCCACTCCAGATCTATCTGGCTCTCCTGTCAAAATACCAATCACAGGTGCATCAAACTCTATCGGAACTGATTGTGATCTCGATTTGCAGCCTGTGAATGTACAACCTGCTTCAGAATCCCTCGGACAGGTATCCCCAGAGCCTTCTGGTGATATCCCAGTGAAAGGTACACCTCCCGATCAGATGGGCACTCCTATCAAACAGAGTTCAGTTATTCCAACTCCGCCTTCTGATTCCGGACCCTTTGACACTTCAGAAGCGATGTCACCCGAGATAAAGATTAAAATAAAAAAGACTGTTAACAAAGGGAAATCGAGCCTTACTGCGACGTTACTCACCAATGACGGATCCCCACAGAAGACATCGCCAAGTGCCAGTGACATAGAATCTGTTGCTGTTACAAAGCGCAACCTGATGTCCAGTATTGACGGAGAACTGCCCGGTGACCCGACGCCCACCAAACCCCAGACCGTGGCTCAGAGGAGGGATACAGCCAAGGCGGTCAAAGGGAGTAGCATCCCAAAGGGGCATTTTATCAAGCAGCCACTACCAACCAATGATGAGAAGCCGTGCGAGTGGCTTGTTGGAGATCTTGTCTGGTCCAAAGTCAGTGGACATCCATGGTGGCCATGCATGGTAGCCTATGACCCGAACCTGGGAATCTACACCAGAATGAAAGGTGAATAGTTACTTAGCTGCCCTATCATTGAATGCTTGTGAAAAAACGGATTTGTATTAAGTGAAATAAAGTTTTATTTCACCTTCCTCCCACCCTATGAACTTTATAATAATATGTCATTAATTAGATAGGAAACCCTGATAAAATAAAGACAGGAGATGCAAAACAACGTTGTATACTAAGTGAATTTGGTTTAATTGGATTAAGTAGAATATTTAAGACATAAAACAGGGCAGGATGATATTCATTGTAACAAGATGTCCTTAAAATCTGTTGTAGAAAGTAAACTTGAATTGCTGTTTACTTTTTCCATGTTCAATCCCTTGAGTCTGTACCAAACAATTTTCTAGTGCCATGGCAAGAATGGGGGTAAAACATTTATTGTTATTTTGTCTTTATGTTCACAGGTTCCATTGGGAAAACATACCGAATGTACCATGTGCAGTTCTTTGGAGAGGTCCCGGAGAGAGGCTGGGTGAGCGGAAGTAGCATGAAGAAGTTTTCAGGACGTGACCAGTATGATTCTCTAGTTGAAGAGATGGTGAGCAAAGTCCGTAAGGCAGAGAGGTCGCGCATGCTGAGCAAGCTAGCTGTGAAACCGTGCAGGAGGAATGCTTGGGATGCCGCCATTTCAGAATGTGAGAAGGCGCTGCCTATGAGCAGACACGAACGCAAACTAAATTTCACATTCAAGTATGAGATGCCCAAGGCAGGTGCTGGTGCTGCAGCTGAACAAATCGACATAGTGTCGCTTGGGGATTCCCCGAAGATGAAAGCCAAGAGGGCGTACAAGAAGCAGAAAGAAGAAGCTCCAACTCCTGATGCCAGTGGTGATAAGCAACTGCAGATCGACCAAACTCCAGAAGCAACCAAGAAAGAAAGCAAGAAAGAAAAACCAGAGTCTGATACACCAAAGAGAAAACGAGGTCGGAAGACAAGTCAGTTCTTAGAGTTCTCCAAGCATTTCAAGAAGGAGATTGTGAAAGAGAACCCTGGCATTGGTCAGAGGGAGATCTATGAGAAACTGCAAGAGAAGTGGGAGAGTCTGTCTGAAGAGGATAAGGAGAAGTATGTGACCAAGCCTCCGACCCCACCATCCACTAAGAGAGGTATGTACCATCTAGTGGCACAGACCAGAGCCATCTATACACAGAGTTTGGCCAACCCGGTTCGAGTTGGACACTATGGCAACTACTGCTTTGTTGGGCAAGCACAGAATATACACCATATTGTGACCCAGCGAAACCAAGTTGACCAAATTCTGTGTATAGACAGAGCTGCCAACCATTCCGTTTTTGCCGGAATTACTCCGTTTTTTCCTCCAAATTACGGTATTACGTTTTTCTTTATAAAATATGTTTTTTAATTTAAAAAAATTTACCGCACGTCAAACAACTGCCCTAAAATGGTGATTTGATCACAAATTCGGAAGAAAAAAAGAAAGCTAATTTTAAAACATACTTGAAGAGAAAAATATTCTCAAAAAAAATAAAATGCCGATAATACCAAAATAACCACCAAAAAATACCTGCTTGTATGGAAAAAACAGCATGATGAATGAACATTTTTGCATTGGAAGTGTGTCGCGCGTGGTTGTAAGTTTCGTTTTTATGAATTCCTTTTTTTTTTGCTTGAAATTCCTTTTTTTGGGCCATCATGATTCCTTTTTTTGGTCGCACAAGGTTGGCAGCTCTGTATAGATGGCTCTGGCACAGACTAACAGAATGCATGATATTTTCATTTGTTTTGTTTGAGGAAGGGGAAGTTGTTGGCCTACAAGAGCAGCATGTCATAGCCCTTAACGTATTTTCATAGAATAGACGTGTAACTAGTGTAGCTAAATTTTGACAAATAAGAGAGTAAATTACTTCAAGGGAAGTGCAATATGCATCCAGGATGGGAATTGTGTATATGAAAATGTCATAGGTGTTAGTCTCTTGCTCTGGAACCAAATTTAATAATGCAGATGTCACCAGACTGTCGATCACAAGTTCGCGGCTCGAGTCCCGCCACGGCACTAATATCTTTTGGCAATACATTGATCTACATTGTACATTTGCCACACTCAACCCAGGTGATGTAAATGGGTACCTGGCAGGAATTAATTCCTTGAAATGCTAGAGCGCTGCAGGGGTCGCCTTGCCAAAGCCAGGGTAATAATCGGGGCAGCGCCAGGAGTGTCACAATGTGGCGGACATGTGCGCTATATTAGAAGCCATTATTAGTATTATTATTTATATGAAGAATGCAGATTGAAGTGTGTTGTTCATGTTTGCTTCTACAGAGAGGAAGAGGAAGGGTTCTCCGGAGCAAGAGAGCGAGACTGCTGCACCTGTGAAGAGATCCAAGCGAGAATCTAAACCATCCAAGAAACTCCAAGAAGCAGACCTGTCCAGCCTAGGGTTTTCCCCCAAGGTTGTGGCTTCCATCAAGGTATGTATGCAGCATTATAGTTTGATAGACTAATTGATTATTACCATGAGGGAGAGAACTAAAAACTGGTTTCTGTTGCGTGAAATTATCAACACTTAAAAATATTGGCACCTCATACCGGAGCGCGAAAATATGTACATAAATTCATGTGCTTGCGTCCTCTCTATCGCTAGCTTCTGAACTAGTAACTGCCTTATGTTCATAATGCGATGCTGTCGCCTCCCGCCCCGCACGTTTCTTCTCTCCTCGCGCGTATATTGCATGACGCATGCAGGCATGTAATCTTTGTACGTACGTACCGGTACAGTACTCAGCTAGCTAGCTTGTGTGTGTACTTACCAGAATGGTACTGTTTTTGGTCCAGATGTTATCTCAAGTTTCACGCCATGAAAGAAATTCACCCTAAAACTGAATTCTGCAATCTTCAAAGACACCCAGGGGTGTCCTGCTATTAAGTGGGATTTTGATATGAAAGTTATCATACCAAAAATACTGCCATTGATTTCATGATGGTTTCATAATGTTTTCACTCTCTACTCTTTGATCATATCATGATTAGAAAGATGATTCCCCAAATTTTGTTATGAATGGATTGCATAAAACATACTAAAAATTGGAAGTATGAATAGTTATGCTCAACTAGATTATCCATTTTATTATGCCTTCGCTACAAAGTAGCTGGAGGCATTATGTTTCGGGTTGTCTGTGAGAAAGAATCTTAACTGATTTTCTTTATCGATCATCATGTTTCTCAAGGCTTCTGATAAAATGTTGACATTCTCAGGACATTTTAGTAAGCTATGAGGTAGAGTAATTCTTTGACAAAAAGAATACACATTCATCTTTGTTGGGTGTGTATACTCCGTCGAAAGAACAATTGAAATATTAACTGAAGGAAGAAACTTTTTAACAGTATTTCAGTCCTATTTTTAGGGGGGCTCTATATTGTTGAATTAAAGGGCAAGTCCGCTCCTATACTAACTTCCTTTCAATAGAAGCAGAAAAATAAGACAAACACCTATCAAAAAAAGTTTGAGCAGTCGAAGGTCCAATTAGTTATCCATGTGATACCTTTCTTAATTCCCTCTCATCTAAATTTAGTATTTTATTCTTTGGCGATTCCTCTCATATTTACCTCTTACCTCAGAAATATAGCGAAGCTTCTCAATCGGAATCCCAAACTTCTGACGGCTTTCTGTCCCCTTCAAGAGAAGCAGTTGCTCCCAAGAAGAGCAGGGCAAAATCGTTAGATGCCCAACCCCAACCTGTTCCCACGGCCGAGGCTTCAAGCACCAAGAGGGTGAGGTCTAGGAAAAGCTTGCAAACTCCTGCTGACGCCACGAACAAACCTGGCAAGAAGAAGAGAGCAAGAAAAGGAGAGAGTTCCGTCGTCGAGGGAGGATCAGGCACCACCAAACCAGAGGCTATAACATCAGATGTAAGATATCACACCAACTAGGACTGACTTCACTGCTCATTAAGTTGGAAATGAAAACCGGAGCTGTATTATAAAAACTGTTAGGAAAAAAATGTTAATGTCATATTAAACTGGAAATTGCGCAGAATTCACACTTGAGTTTGTGCAGACAATGTCCTGACTGATACAGAAAACTTTCATCGGTTGGGGATAAACATAAAATGTAGTTTTTAAAGCTTCTACCAATCTTGAATTTTGTGGGCAAGCTTTCGTCCACTCCTGTGGACTTTCTCAAGCTAAGTGATCAGTCATTGAAATGTCCTGACTTGTGCTACTTTTGAAATGTTATGACAAATAACATACATTTACTAACATCAAAGATGACATTGTTTTCAAAATACTATATGAAAACAAAGTATTCTATTCATTATTTCACCAAATCCATGAACTTGCCATTAATCTTGTGATAGACCCTAATCCTGTAAACAGACAGACGTGTAAGACTTAAAGCCCCACTGCACTACTTAAAGCTACTTGCACCCTCTATATAGCAAACTAATCGGTGCCTGTTGGTCCCCCAAGATGCCCTTTTTCTTATGTTAATTGATAACCACCTGTCAGTGACCTTGCAGGGAGGTCTAATCCCCCTGGCCAAACTAGTGCAGATGGTCTTTAAAAAAAAAAGAATTGCAAACCATGTCATGTTTTATCAATTTTCCAATTCTTCCTACTTGCAGATGAGTCAGGACTTTGCTGAGATGCAGGAGGATGATGACGAGGGCGGTCTTATCATCGATACAGACCTCATTGCTGATGCCATCCAGTCTGTCGGTGAAGGGCATAAAGGCGATCCTCACAGTGGTAATAATCATCACGATCATATTCCCTAGCATATAAACCAATGAACCTCCGGAAATACTTTTACCCTCCTGTGGTAAAGTCATTCATTTAGAAATGGTATTTGGGATAAAGAAAACTTGTTTCCAATATCACTGTTTTAATCTGGCTTTTTATTTGGAGGAACGGGGGTAGAGGTCTGTGATTTGGAGGAAATTGGTCCAATGTCCTTGAATGTAGGTCAAATTTCATTTTACAGCAATCCTTTTTGGTGCTTCTATCATGACCTATACTAAATTATTTCGTTAATAACATTAACCTCGCACTTGACTTGATATTACTTTAAAAGCAAGGGTTTTAGTTAATTTAGCTTCAATTACTAAAGCTATTATAATAGGCATATTGAAGGAGTAGCCGATTAAAAAAAGTTTTGTTTGTTTGTAAATCGCTTTTGCCGCTGCTTTTTATGCCTCCTTTACAAAGTAGCCGGAGGCATTATTTACTTTAGCACCCATCCACACTGACAATTTGAAAAGCACCCTGAAGAATACTTTCTTTTTTTAAAGCACATGCATTTATTGAACCAATGTTTTGCTCCATATGTAGTTGCATTCAGCAAAGGTACTCTTTGAACAATGTTTGTGTCAGTTTTGCCATGTTCTTTTGTTATCATTTAATGTGATTTGCCCTATGCGCCCTTCCAGAGACCAACAACGGCTGCCTTTAAGGACGTTCCGCAGTAATGTTCCTGCACACCATAGCTACACAGGGCCAGCTGATCATGTATTTACCATGCACGATACCAGAAACTCTGGGTATTGTGCATAACCAGCTGGCCCTGGGCACCTAAGGTGCACATGAACATTACTGCATAATGTTGTTGAAAGTGATATCCTTTTTGAAAGTCCATTCTCTGATGTCTTATGACATACCTTGCGTCATGCTCATGCTTGAGGCCAGAATGTATGTTCAGTCTGAATGGTAGAATGACTGTGCTCTGATGAAAGAAGGTAGATTCAAGGTCTCTGGTTGTATTCTGTTGTGGTCTTGGCGTGTTGATGATTCGTTCGTGATGTTTTGCAAGGATTTTACACGAAAAACTGGACTGAAGTGTCGTCATTGGTTGTGTTTTGTTTTGCATTGCTACAACAGTGTTTAAAGCTATTGGAACTTATAAAGTGGACCAGTCACTAAAATACATTTGACTCTGTATGTAAGTTGTTCTATGCCAATATATTTTGAATATCAAAATGTCAGCTTCTAATATAACATTTTGCGGATTTAAATACCACAATTTCACCCTGAATAGAGGTAAAGGTGACTTTTGAGTAGACCTTCGTAGACATCACGATTATGAGTGAATGTTGATTATTCCTCCCCCCCCCCCCCCCCCCCCCCCCCATCGCAATGATTTTCTTTTATTGTTGGGGGGGGGGTATCTGTAGCAATTTTAATGTCTCTTGCAGAGTTTGGATGAGATTTTTTTTTGGTGACTGGCCCCCTTTGAACACACCTTTGCTCTCCCTTAGCCTTGCAGAATTAGGAAAGAATATTGACTTTTTCAACTAAATATTTCTGTGTGAATCGGTAATGTATTAGATACCTAGAGAGCCATTTCTTTTATCTCTAATTTAAGACAAAACTTATACTGAAACTGTCAGGTAACAAATAATCTTTGTATTGTGCAATTATAACAGGAGTGAGTACTAAGATAATGAATTACAAATGAAAATCTGCTGGCAGATTGCTATATGATATGTAATATGTATCTAGTCATTAAGCATGCTCACACTCCAAGGCTTATTCCAAACAAAAAGTCTTTATCTTTTGAAACTGCATTTTTGTGTATGATATGTTCATGACTTATCATATTTAAAGCTCTATGCCATCATGGTTCGCCGTAGCATGATGTTTAGGAGGAGTTGATATTCCTAAGGTCATCATTTTGAATGTTGAATGACTCTCAAACTGCAGTTCATTGACAAGTCCTCGAGACTGACTGACTGACTGTCCTGAGTTTTGATTCTATGAAATTAGATAGATTAGTTATTTAGTCAGATATGATTTTACTATGGATATTGGAAAGGAATGCAGAGTTCCCTTTGTGTAGTTTATCTCCATATCATAGTATACTAGATCCTAACTTTGAACTTTTGTTGTTGTTTTTATTTTGTTTCAGAGATATGTCCATACCCGTAGACTGTCCCAGTGTCTATCGAGGTATGCACATTGATGGAAAAGATGGCTTCTTTTTATCGGTGCTGTTGCATGAAATACTTTCATATTTATAACAAATAGAATAGGAAGGAGATACTAAATTTATTTAGAGAATATAAGCGGAATACAGATCATTTGATTTAGGATTGGTCGCCAGCAAGCAAGAACAGATCGCACCTATTAGTTTATTGAAATGTGTGTTTATAGGGAATACATTAACTCAAGAACATCCTAAATGCACTTTAAATTTAGATATAATTTACTAGATGTGTTGAATTTAGCCTTGGATTCTCTTACTTTATTAGTTGCGGACCACTTTCAATATGAAGTTGAATTATGAAAGCAGTTAATGTTATATAGCAGATTAGTATGTGCCATTCTGCCATTGATTAGTCCATATGGTCCAGTGCACTATTTGTTCTACGTTATGATCATATGTGCCTTGTGCACTGTAAGGATGTATGGTGAGGGGTAACCTAATCCTATGTTAACATAGGACCAATACTACATACAGTACCACCGGGATTTCACCATTACTGCTTACTGCTTACTATAACCGACCTAGCCAACCTTTCGTGTCTGGCTCAGAATATAATGGGTCATTCAACTGCAATGAAATCAATTGTGACAGGTAGATACCTGATGTAAGATTACCTAGATTAAATATTTTGTACTTTATTTGAAGAGTCATTTTGATCTGATTTAAGATTAGATTTGATCATATTTTCTCTCTTATTAGAAGTGAATATATGTTATGCAAGGATCATGTAGAAACCACCCTTATACTTTTATGCCAATTAACTTTGAAGCACTCATTAGTCTTTATGAATCTTTGAAGTTTAATTCATGACAAAAGGGTTGGGCTGGGGGGGGGGGGGGGGGAGACTCAAGCAAGGACCTTGCAATGTCTAAGACAATTCCATTTCTATTTATTGCTGGAAGGGTATGTTTGGTAATAGCAATTATGTACTTCGTATTTATATAGTTGTAGGTGACATGATAAGAGTAGTTCTGCCTTATGCCAGATTGCCTTTGTTTAAGATTAAAAGATGCCACTGGAAGTTTGGAACAGGTTTTCATGCATAAACTGTAGAAAATTACTTTATTTGTGTATTTTACTACCTAACTGAAGAAAGATACAAAAATGCTGGGTTGTGCAAATGTTGAGAGATTGTATATCTTGTTATTAAAGAGATTCTCATTTCACAATTGAAGTATTTAAACACAGTTTTTACTAGCACATTGTGAATTAGTATTGTAAAAAAGAAGCCAAATTTGCCTCGACCAGTACTTGATATCAAGTCTTATAATTGCAAGGACAGATTGAAGATTATTTGTAAATATATTTAATTATAGATTGTCATGCCAATTTAGTGAGAAAATAAACTTCCATTAAACTCTTCAATCTATTCAAACAGATACAGTTATGCTTGCATTGTTTAGTTGTCTCTCTTTCTCTGCAAAAAGGTTGCTTTTGTTTGTTGGTGGCATCTTGTGTCAATATTTTAGTTTCATGGCTGCTCTTTGCTTGCTATCTTTTGCTTTTTGCATGTTGACTTTTCGTTTGCTGCTTCGCTCTCATCATTGAGTAAGATTTTTCCGTCTTGGCTTGGTAGTAGTAGATGAAAAGCATGATTTTGATGCAGCATGTTTGCTGCCCTCTAAGCACGAAGCCTTCCTTGAGGCATCAACCTTTGCAATACTACAACACAGGATGTGGTGCTTCGTAGTCTAGGGGGTGTTTCACAAAGGTCCTAAGTCTAACTTAACTCTAAGTTGGACTTAAAAATTATGGAGGGCTATTTGTAGGCTTAAAATAAAATAATTTCACTTGAGTATGTTATAACACACATTTCCCTTTATTTCTATCCTTGTTATCTCAGGTGTAGAATTTCAAAAGGTTAATGACATCTCTAGCCAGAGCTGCTTTTAGCATGCAACTATATTGTAGGTAGAGCAGGACTAGACAGAAATAACCATCTGATATGGGTCATTTCTTTAATAAAACTGACATTTGTTGACATTCCCCAATACAGACGGTACTCCAGAGGTCTCGCACTGTAATCTATAGCCAATTCTGAACATCTTTTTGTAATTTTGGCTCCCAACATTTTCTTCCCCGATTTTCTTTATTAAGATATCATTTTCTGATCTATAAAGCAGATAGAAAAATACTATGTATTTGTATATTCCTATATGGAGTTATTTAATTTAGATTAACTATTTTAAAATGAGAAATTTATAGACTTACTTATACGAGTTGTCCCATTTTCGTCTCAGAACCGTGAAACAGTACGTTCATGCACTCGAGCCCTATGTAGAAATTCTGAAACATTTGAGCCCGAATTCACAAAGGAGAGTTAAATTTAACCCATGGTTTAGACCCTCATTACATAACCCATGGTTTAAAATTAGTGCAAATTAAGTGTACCTTGCCTTACGCGTGTCTCATATTGGACCTCTGACTGTGTCACGCTTATTTCGGGCTAATTTTAGGCCATGCGTTATGTAAACGAAGATTTAAACCTTCCATGTGACTTCGGCTTTGGGATCCAGACCTAGATTATGGGCGCCATGTGTCCTTGGTACCTGTCAAGCCCTGAAATAAAGGCAACACTAGTGGATATATTGGTCGGCTACACTTAATTTGTGATCCCCAGACCAGCTGAACTTTTCACTGTGTAGAGGAACCAAGAACGGAGCAAGTCTGTTTGTCCTTGTTATCAGATGATACAAAGTTGTTATTAATATTCTGTGAATCCACACATATGATGGTAGTAAATGGAAACACAATGGCAGTTATGAAGTCTGCCCTTCATATTACTGACTTTAATTTGATTTTTAACAAGAAAAATGTAGGGGAAAAAAGGAAAAAGTAAGGGCGAAGAAGACAGTGAACATTGTACTAGCATACTGTCCCCAGAAATTGCACTTAGGAGTGATGAAACCAAAAACATTAAATGAATAAACAACCGAGGCATGGTGCACGCAGGACCTGAAATTCATTCTAGATCACTCGTCATAAACAAAGGGAGAACAAGAAGTTTTTTACTAGCGTAAGTGTTGCATGATGGCCATCTCTTCCAAAGCAACTGGCAATTTTATAAACAAGACAAGAGAAACCACTTCAGACCACTTGTCTGTTTCATGTCATCTTGTCTTTCATAACTAACATCTTGCATTTGTATGTTTACTCTCATTTTTAGTTTCATGCCTGTTGTGAATGTAGACTGATGTTTTGGCTTGTGTTTATTGCCAATGTTTAAAGGGAATTAGTTTGTGTGAGTGTGCTTAGATGCAATTCTTCATAAGGTTTGAAATGGATGAAAGAAATAGATTGGGAAACTGGAAAGTGACATAGAGAGATCAGACAGACAGAGAAAGAGAGACGAGACATACAGGCAGACAGAAAGAGAAACATGGACGTTTAAAATAAAGAATGGAAGGGTAATTAGATGCAGGAGAACCTAGTTAAAGTGTGATTCTGCAAGCATGAGGTATAAGAGAAAGAGAGGGGAATAGTTTGATTTTGCAAAATGGATAATTTTATTAACGTTTTTGGGACAGTTACCATCTGGACACCAGCTTACTCACCCCCCCCCCCCCCCCCCACCCCCGATATTTATCACCTCAGAAGCAACGTTGAATATTAAAAAAAACATTATTTGATAATAAACTAATAAAATCTGAAACTGATGAAGTTTGATTAGCTGGTCTCAATCCTAGTAAAACGTTTACGATGAGAAGGTAAGATCCATACGGCTCGCGTTAGAACAGCGATGGTATATCCTTCAGAAACTTTTAATGTGAAGACAGTAGAAGGTATCTGGAGGAGAACAGAAAGAGCCATGGTACGGAAGATGTGTGGTGTGAAACTGTCCTATAGAAAGAACACGAGGGTCTAGAAGAAAATGTGGTGGAAGTGGTAAAGAAAATTGGATTGAGAATGAGATGGATGGGTCATGTGTCGAGAAGGGAAGATGATGAACCTGTGAAAAGAGCATGGGATCTGGCAGCGGATAGCATAAGAGGGAAAGGAAGACCAAAAATTTCATGGAAAGATATGGTGAAGGAAGAAAGCAGTAAGGTTGGTCTAAATGAAGAGGATACTGGAGACAGGAAGTGGAGAGACCATTCAGTAGTCTACAAATAATACATAGCAGTGAGGTCATTAGTAAGAATTACCCACACAAGGTACCATTGGAACAGTCTAACATGCCCGAGGCGATAGCCGAGGGTGTTTGGACTGTTTTGAAGGTACCGAGTGTGGGTAATTTTACTAATGCCCGAACAAAATGATGTATATTATTTGTTTTATAAGATTATGTTTTGTTTGTTTTATTAATTGATGTTTTATAACATGATTTTACTAATGACCGGTCATTAGCATTAAGTGGAGGGATCATTCAATAGTTTCATTTATTTTCATTTGTGCACAGTTGCCAGCTCCGAGACCGATGTCTCATCCCAGCATGGGGGTAGTACTACTGGAAGCTCTAATGGCGTAGCTAACGGCAGCGGTAAGGAACGACCAGCCGGAGGGGGCGGAGCTGCCAAGAAAGAGAATGTGTGCCAGGTAAGAAAACTTGTCATCTTCCCCATGTCGATGCTAACTCGCTTACATGCAGGAAGAAACTAGATGCTTTATATCCAGTACAGTGTTGTCCAATATCCGAACAATATCACCTTTAAGAACTAGTAAAAGGAATGTTGTTTGACGATGTCTGCTTTGATCCACCACTTCGTAGAAAACAAACTGATATTATTTTGAAATTGTGTAATGCTATTTTAAGAAATAGTGCAAAGTTAGATTGAGATCAAAGCTTTTCCAGGATAAATATTATAGGATCTATCCCATACTGCATTAATGCATTTTCAGAGAAGGTGGTTATTATTCAAATATAGAAAATAATCAAACTTAGATTTCATTGTGTGTAGTCACAAAAAATAACTAACTCTTAAACTTAACACAGGGTTAACACATTTATGGCTCTAAACATGTATTCTGGGAACTTCATCACAAATTTGATAACAGGATTTGCAAATATATCCAAACCATTCTTTCTTTTACTTTCAATGGTTTAGGTCTGTGAGAGAACCGGTCAGTTGCTTCTCTGTGAGGGGGGCTGCTGCGGAGCCTTCCACCTTGACTGTATTGGACTACAGGTGGCGCCCTCTGGCTCATTCAGATGTGATGAATGCATATCAGGTGAGACCAAGTCGTTCTTTGCATATCTCGATTTAGGTTCTATGACACCTGCTCCAGCAACAATAAGCCAGTTCATAGGTACAGTCTGAGCATGAGCTGATAAAGGTCATTGCAGACCAAATTGTGAAATACACAAGACAAAATACTGGATACGTGCTCATGAAAGTTATGTAATTATTATTCATTTATGCACAAGCAGTGCACTCCATGATACACAGGTGGAAGTATTCTTTGAAAGTGATTTCAAAATGTTCAAAGTGGATACTCTTCATGTTTTGAAGATCTGTGGATATTTGGGACATGTGCTAACCGTGAACTGGTCTACTGCCTCACTATCAAGATCTTACATATACTGAGGACCTAATACTACACCTAACAATATGTGTACCCCTAACCCAAATCCTAACCCAGGGCTCTGCTTAAACTTCTTTTAAAGGGGATCTGGATTGAAGTATTTACAGTCTCTATGCATGTGCCCTTTGTAAAAACTTCAAAATCTTGGGGGTCCAGACTTAAAGGTAATACAAAGTTTTGGTATGGGGTCATGAATTTGGTTCAAATGCACATTATTGGAAGCATATGCGATCCTACAATATTCAGTGATCGTTGTCTCGGTTGAATTCGAGCCTAAAGTTATGAAATTATAAATAATAAACTCTTTATGATGTATAGCTCACTCTCAAGGTCAAGATATTAATTAAGCTATAAAACCATGTTTGTTGACTAAAATCGACCGATTAGCTATTCCCATTTAGAAATTATATATCACAACTAAATATTCTGAGATTTTCATGGTCGCAGCTACTATTGTACGGCCGGCGCTATTTGAAATTTTTGTATTCAATTTTTCTCGAAAGCAGCAGTGTTATGGGGGCTAATTTTTCTAGTGGTTATAATACATCTACAGGGGCATCCAAATATATCAAAATTGTAAAGAATCACTATCTACCCAATTTTCTAAACTTCCCAAAACTTTGTATTACCTTTAAGTTTTGGGCGCCAAGGTGTCCCGGGGAGCCCTGCCTAATCTGACACTCTATCACCACCCTAACCCTAACCCTCTGTCTTTGATGAAATAAAGCTTGTAGTTTGCTTTGGATCACCTGAGATTCAAACAAAGGATGGCTTTCAAATGTTGAGATTCAATATCTTCAAGCAGTGACAATGAAAACAAATTATAGGAAACCTCAATTTTCTGTCATTATTTCTATGTGATACTGTTTATTGAACAAAATGGAATAGAAAATCAAGTAGACATTCAAATTTACCTTATACACAATCAAGAATGATTTTCTTTATCGCTCGTTAGTGACCTGTTCCTCAAGGCTTCTGATGAAATGTTGACATTCTCAGTACATTTTAGTAAGCTATGAGGTAGAGTAATTCTTTGACAAAAAGAATACACATTCATCTTTGTTGGGTGTGTATACTCCGTCGAAAGAACATTTGAATGATTTTACATTAATAACTTCCAACGAAGAGGACTACATAGCAAATGTATGTAATGTCAGTACTCTGAAATACCCACTAATGTGCTCTGATACTATTATATCATTTTAAAGGCTGCTTCTTGTTTCTCTACAAGATGAAGAAACATTCATCCATGATTGTAAAGAAGGTATAGGATTTTTCAAACAAAGCTGTTTTGATAATCGTTGTGTATTTTTAATTTCCTTGGTTGTAGGCGTACATTCTTGCTTCGTGTGCAAGCTGTCCGATCAGGAAGTGAGGCGATGTCATGTCCCAGTCTGTGGGAAGTACTACCACGAGGGATGTATCCGACGCTTCCCGCTGACTAGGTTCGATAGTCGCGGATTCACCTGTCCCCTTCATGCCTGTGTAGCGTGCTTCGCTGATAACCCCAAGAGCACAAAAGCTTCAAGAGGTAAATCATCCGATTTCCTGTGAAATTAGAGCTCCCATTTTCATTATTATTATTATTATTATTTATTTGACCAATCGGAAAACATACAATGAGTATAACAATCAGATAATACATAGACATTTCATAATACATTCAAACAGCTTTATGAAAGTGGAGAGGAGATAGAGAGAAGGATACAATCTGCTGGTCAGGGGTGACAAAAGCAATTTAAATTGCTATTACTCGAAAGCATGTCACCCCCACAGTCTGCATCCTGGAAAATTAAGAGTAAAGAACAGAATAAAAATTCACAATATGAGAAAATAAATATATATATATATATATATATATATATCAGGATAACAATAGTTGGAGCAATTACTATTATATCCTTGATTACTTTCATTACATTATTATGTCATTACAGTGGCTTTACGTTCATCACATAAATATATAAATTTTCAAATTAATAACTTAGTGCTTACATTAGAAACATTTGATATGATTATTATTGGGGAAGAAAGTTTCATAATGGTATAAAATGCTTAACAATAATTTTTAACTTACAAAATGAAATGAATAAAATTGTAATCTGAAGCCTAATATGTACTGAACGGAACGAAGAAATGAGCTTGCAATATTGATATTATTTCTAAGTGACAAAATAAACAAATTAGTCAGTTATGATCTAGGTAAGATGTATAATTAATCTTAGGGTTTCCAAAAAGGCACAGTAAAATAATATAACAGTTGCTTTTAAGTAACGATCAGCTTGAGAGAAATGGACAGAATTTGAAATCAGACACGGGTATGAAAAATATTACCATTAATAATTATCAATACATTGTTTTACATTGAATTTAAAGAGTTCAATGAACAGTGAGAAGAGATTGTTTCAGTGTTGAAAGGAAGGATGGAATAGAATTAAGTACAGCAGTATCTTTTATTTCTGTGGGAAGGTTGTTCCACAGTCTTGGAAAGTGGTGAGATGGAGAAAGAAAAAGTGCCTGTGTCCGAGAAGGAAGGTGGCGGAATGTAAGTACCTCTTGCCGCCTGGAATTGATCTGGGTGGATTCAGTAAGAGCCTCACAAAGGGTGAGACCACTGAGGCATTTGAAAGTGAATGAAAGAAGGAGATAGTCTCTCCTGGAAGATAAGCTTGACCAGTGAAGAGTAGTGAGTCTATCTTCATAGGACATGTCGCCTCTCCGTTGTTTAAGGGCAATACTTGTGGCTGTGCGCTGAACGCGTTCTAATTGCTGCTCTTGTTTGAGGGTGTGAGGATGCCAGGCTGGACATCCGTATTCTAGTATTGGAAGAATGAGAGCTTTGTAAAGAGAGAAAATGGCTTGTGTTGAAGCTTGACCTGCCACTACTCTAATGAACCCGAGGAGACGGTTGGCCCTTTTGACAATATTATCATATTTCATCTCACTTAACGTTATTGTGTTTGTGTGTTTGTTTGTTTTGTATATATTGCAGGCTTGATGATTACCCAATTTAAATCGGTTTCCAGATTTTATTTTTTATTTATTTATTTTTCTTCCCGATTTTACCCCTATTTTCCAAATTTTTCCCTTACTTCCCCAATTTTCTTACTCAAGGGGGGGGGGGGGGGTAGTTCACTATCACACCTGATATTGTGCGATTTGTGAACGATAGACACTTGAGGTATAAACAGATCATTAGTGACATCTGATCACCCAGCAGTCCATGTAAAGTGATATTAAAACATACCTTTTTTTGGTCAGTTAAATTTATTTCAAGGTCCATTAAGCTATATCATTTCAGCGAAGCAGCTGAATTAAATTATTTTACAGTTTCAGAACTTGCAAAATTGACAGTACATTTCCAATGAGTAGAATTTTGTTCATTTATTCATTCATTTAATTTATTACAAAAAAATTAAGTTACATTTGAGCATGATAATAGTATTATGCATTTGGTAAAAAAAAGAGCCAACAAACAACAAGACCATAATTGATGACAATGAATCCGTCATAAAGAGTAGTTATTGAATCATTAAGGATTGTTATTGGTTTTCACTAAAGTTGAAACAATTCTTGTGTTATCAAAACTTTGACGTACAGTATTGAAGAAAAAAAATTAGAGGCTAAAATGAAAAGACAAATGTTATACTAGGTTTATTTGTAAAAAGATGTAACAAAGGTTAAATGACAAAACTGGCTGATTTTAAGTAATTCTATGGATTTTGAACTGAATCAAGTAATATCGCCTCTATGTTTTGTTTTTCAGGTCGTTTGATGCGCTGTGTGCGCTGTCCTACGGCATACCATCAGGGTGACCTGTGCATAGCAGCTGGGGGTATCGTCCTAGCGGCAAACTCCCTCGTCTGTAGCCGTCACTTTCAACCAATCAAATCACACAAGCATCATACACACGTCAGCGTGAGCTGGTGCTTCACTTGTTCATTAGGTAAGTGATGATCCGATCCTCTACAGGTATGGGGATGCAAGAGAAGTGCAGCATGTTTATATAGCAAGTTTATATAATTTTAACAAAGGGACACCTTTCATTTGGTTTGGGGTTTTTTTTTTTTTTTTTTTTTGGGGGGGGGGGGTTGTTGTGGACATTATTTGAAAAGTAATACCTCTGTTTTCTGTTAAGGACTTAATGACACATGCACCAGCAACAAATGCTCTGCCATCCATTCCCTACACTTAGTGAATTCCTAACTTCAACCCTGGATCAGACTCTATACCTGACCTTTGACCTAACCTGCAAGTCAGTTGCAACCTTAACCCTACTTTCTAACTTTCTGACAAAAATCGAAGCAAGCCTCACTGGCGCAAATGGCCATTAATCCTATTGTGATGTCACCAATTTCTTGATAGAGTACATTTACTACTCCTAATTTGTAATGTCAGTAGTCGGGTCAACTCTCTATTTATGTGACCCACAGGTAGGCAGGTTACACCCAGTTGCCATTTAAAGAGCGGGATATGTGCATCAAAAGAACAGTTTTACAAAAAGTTTTTTCCATGTCCTTTTTTTTAAATGCATGTAAAAACTTAAATGGTAAACAAAGTTTTATTCTGAGGTCTTACCGTATGCAATGTCTTATTTCAAGAATCTATGAAATACGATCCGCTGAACAGCATAATAGCTCTCTCCAGCTGGCAAATGTTTACATATTTTTTATAAAAAACATATAACATTTGATTTACATTTTTCACAAATTGTTCCTATCCTAATTCAATTTTGCGTCAGAGAGAATCGTAACCGATTTTCTTATCGATCATTAATGTCGTTTCCCTTGAGGCTTCTGACGAAATGTTACATTCTCATGACATTTTAGTAAGCTATGAGGTAGAGCAATTCTTTGACAAAAAGAATACACATTCATCTTTGTTGGGTGTGTATACTCCGTTGAAAGAACATGTGAAATATTAACTGAAGGAAGAGACTTTCACAGTATTTCAGTCCTTTTTTTGGATGTCTATTTATGTGACATCCAAATGGTTTTTGATGATCTTTGTAAGACCAAGTCCAAGTTTTTGCTCTCTGTCTAGGTGGAGATCTGATATGTTGTGAGAGCTGTCCTGCAGCCTACCATGCCAAGTGTCTAGGCTTTGACTCGGTCCCTGATGGAAACTGGTTCTGCAGAGACTGCGTCAATGGGAAGAAGCCACGCTATGGGGATATCATCTGGGTCAAACTCGGCAATTACAGGTACTTGCAAGATGATTTCTCTTAATTAAGGCCTAAAAAATGTTGTATTGCCCTTTAGTGCCAAATCATTGGTCGGTCGGTCAGAAATCCTTTTTTTTTTTTTTTTTTTTATTCTCTGCCTCTTTGTGCTGATATTTCTCAGTTTTCTCTAAAAAAAAAAGGTTTAAAAAAAAATTAAAAGCTGACAGTAGATTTCAAGATTTTTCGGTCGGTTGCAAAGGGCAATACAACATTTTTTTAAATTTTATAGACCTAATGGCATTTGTGAGTTTTAGATGAGAAGGACCCTCTCTCTCTTTCTCTCTCACTCTCTCTCTCTCTCTCTCTCTGTCAGTTTGTCTTATGTTATGAATACAGGGGGGGGGGGTGTTTCACTAAGACTAAGATCAACTTAAGTTGGACTTGAACTATGGCAGGCCATTCATGCCACTGGTTGCTCTCACCATTGGTCTGTCAAAGGACGTCACACATCTACAGAGTTAACATTTGTGATAATCCATTGTTAAAGAAAAAAGGTTACTTACATTGTGAACTTAAATTATATCTAAGACTTGGACTTTACTACGGTAGGCGATTTTTGCCCCTGAAAAGTCTTGAACCAGATATAAAATCGTAGGAAAAAAACCTTCAAAATTATGATCTTTAGATACTATATCGAAAAAATATCAACTCTGACGATTTGTGACCATGATTTGTATGTCCCTTGAGAGACCAATGCCAGGAATGGTTAGAAGAACTATGGCCTGCCTTGGTTCAAGTTCAACTTAAGTTGATCTTAGTCTTAGTTGACCTTGGTCTTTGTGAAACATCCCCCAGATCTTATAGTATGAAAGGTAGAAGAATCGTATAGTTTTACATTGCTCAGAAGGAAATGTCTCTGAGCCTTTTGAGTGAGCTTAAATGAGGTAAAAATGAATGTTGGATGAAAAGAATAGGAATCTAGGAAGCTGTCTTCTTTATCGATCATTCGTGTCATGTTCCTCTAGGCTTCTGATGAAATGTTGACATTATCAGGACATTTTAGTAAGCTATGAGGTAGAGTAATTCTTTGACAAAAAGAATACACATTCATCTTTGTTGGGTGTGTATACTCCGTCTAAAGAACATTTTAAATATTAACTGTAGGAACAGACTTTCAACAGTATTTTATTCCTTTTGGGATAGGGGGGGGGGGTGTTGCTTTCACAGAAATCTCTGTTATAAAGGAAATAATTTTAGTATACCCCAAGACAAACAAAAGTAATTAGGCATGTGATCTGTCTTTGCTTCCATTCTTTAGAATACTCAACCCTCATAACATCTGCAATACAATTTTATTTAGTTTTCAATCTTAAAATTCTCACAAAAGTACATGTACAGTATTTTACATTACATGACACTGCATTAGAACCTACTACAGCAGCCACCTGCCTATGAATTTTGATTGGGACAAAACTATCGGGATATTTTCTCTCTCTTGCTTTGGCAGGGGGGGGGGGGGATACTCATGTGAGAGGTCATGCTATGTATGTAGTCAGGTCCCTTACAAAAATTGGATTCAATTTTCATTCCTGAAGGTCCTGATTTCTCCCCTTTTTGATACTTTTGCCATCAGGTGGTGGTCAGTTTGTGTCTGTAACCCAAGCACGTCCAGGACAAAAATTATCTTTAGTAATTTTATTTCTGCATTTATTTGTATTTTTTATTAAGGAAAACAAAGTGAATTAAATCTAACCGATGTGACACACAGTGTATTTTTGTGTAGTTAAGATTCCAGTATGGTAAGCAGTTACATTTCTGCAATCTCACTTTGCTCTCTTGACTTTGACTTTCAGGTGGTGGCCAGGTCGTGTGTGTAACCCCAAGGATGTCCCTCAGAACATCCAGGACAAGACTCATATAGTAGGAGAGTTTCCTGTCCAGTTCTTTGGATCCAATGACTACTTCTGGACCCATCAAGGAAGGGTCTTTGAGTACCAGGAGGGGGACAAGGGAAGCAGGGAGACGGCCAACTCCAAGAGGCTGGCCGCTGTCTTCAGCTTGGGTATGCAATAGATCTTGGGGTTGAATGTCAGGCTATGTGTTCTTGCTTTAAAAAATATGTTTTGTAAAGAAACAGGCACATAAACATTTTTTCCTTCTTTCTTTCTCACATGAGCCCAAGTGTTTTTCAAAATTAGGCAAAGAGGTTTTAATGTCAAACTGTTCTATAGGGGAGATGTCACCAATTCTTAGCCAACTCTGTCTTTGAATATTTAGTGTTAATGCTGCAATGCAAATGAAGTCATAATTTGCAAAATTTTGAGAGATATGCCTCAAATATACTTGTCCAGTATATTTAGTTTGTTACTAGAAATATTATAAGAATTATTTGTCATTTAAATGCTGATGTCAAAAAATTAATTCAAAAAGTGAGATAGACATAGGAGTCTTTTTCCCACACAAGGAAATGCTCCTTCTTATTGTATCCCCCGGCAGTATGCAGGTGGGGTACTTTGGATTCAGCAATCTTTAGTGTTTGATCATGCTGCCACTTGTGTTCCATCTGTTATAGGGTCAAAGGTCATTTATCTCTTATGTGCACTCTAACTGCCACATTTCTTGACAGATTTCTTTCAAATTTTCTACAGAAATGCATTATACTATAATCTACACATATATTGTGTCGTTAATGCTGCTTCTAGTCTTGACGATAGTCCGAGCCACTAGTGGCGACCTCTCTATGTCATCTATTTGTTTCAGGGAGGGGAGAGGGGATCTTTGTCCCTCCTTCCAACATAAGGATGACAAATTCACTGCCACTGCTGGGGGATACATTCGCATTGCGCGTCAATCAGGCCTGATAAAAACCTGATTTAAATCGGTTTCCCTTTTTTTTTTTTTTTTTTTCTTCCCTATTTTATCCTGATTTTCCCAATTTCCCAATTTTTCCCCAATTTTTTTACTCGAATAAGGGAAATGTTGTTAGATGCCAATTTTTCGCCGCGAATCCTCTTCTTTCTTTTTTTTACTCAAGGGGGGCGTGGTTGAGGGGAAAACAAAAACAAATTATTTATTTTTTAAGTGCATACTATCAACCCTAGTCAAAACAGATTGCAATATTTCTAGTTATACCTGTGTTTAGGGGATTGTCATGTTTAAGAAGAGTGCAGAGAGCTGTGTGATGTGGGTTCATGACACCCTTTTACCACCAGCTGATATGAGATTACACTTGTGTGAAGAGGGGGGGGGAGGGTTGTCATGTCTGAGAAGAGAGCAGAGAGCTGTGTGATGTGGGTGCATGTACACCATTTTGCCACCAGCTGATATAAGATTACACTTGTGTGCTTTTTGGGGTTTTTTTTTTTGGGGGGGGGGGTTCTTGTCATGTTTGAGAAGAGTGCAGAGAGCTGTGTGATGTGGGTGCATGTACACCCTTTTACCACCAGCTGATATATGATTACACCTGTGTGTTGGGGGAAGGGGGGCGGGGGTAGTCATGTTTGAGAAGAGAGCAAAGAGCTGTGTAATATGGGTACACCCTTTTACCACCAGCTCTGATATAATAGTAGCCCCAGGCAGTATGCCGGTGGGGTACTTTGGATTCAGCAGCTTCATATTCTTGCATGCGCTCTTACTGCCACATTCCTTGACGGATTTCTTTCAAATTTTGGATGGAGTTGTATCTTGGTATATTGTACAAGCCAATAGATTTTGGTGATGCTGCCTCCAGTGTTTCATCTTTTATAGTGTAAAAGGCCACATTTTGGTGGTTGTCTTTTGTGTGCTCTAACTGCCACATTTCGTGACAGATTTCTTTCAATTTTTTTTTACAAAGATGCATTATACTCTAATCTACACACATATTGTTTAGGTAATGTTGCTTCTAGTCTAGACAATAGTCCGAGCCACTAGTCGCGACCTCTCTACGTCATCCTTTTGTTTCAGGGAGGGGAGAGGGGAGCTTTGTCCCTCCTTCGAACATAAGGAGGACACAAAATCACTGCCACTGCCGGGGGATACATTCGCATTGCGCAGCAATACAGATTGCAATATTTCTAGTTTTGATTGAGCTCATGGGGAAGAATCATTCTTTATTATTGGACGGAAAAAGAAAACAAATACCCAGTCATCTTTGTTAACTGTGTTTAATCTGTTCCTCAAGGCAGTGACAACTAAAGCAGTGACAACTTGTGCAATAACCCTAAATAAAGTTCAATTTCCTTATCAAAATGCAATATTTGAACAAACATTAAACAAATGGTACTGCCCATAAAAATTAGGGCAATGCAAATATCATGTCTACCTATTTCTCCGAATATTGAAAAAAGAAATCCAGGGGGGTGTTTCATAAAGCTGTTCGTAAAGTTACGCATGACTTTACGAATGACTTGTATATGAAAAGCCAAATGGGATGCTCAATTAATATTGATTATTATTTATTAAGTTGGAAATGTGCAGATGTAGATTAACATTCTTATTATAACAACCATTTTTAATGCAAAGTATATTTTTTGCCATAATTTGATTGAGGTTATTGGAAATATCAAATAAAACTTTGGGCATCCTATCTGGCACTATATACAAGTCGTTCGTAAAGTCATGCGTAACTTTACAAACTCTTTATGAAACACCCCCCCCGGTCATAAAAAGGGAAATAGATATTTTGTAACTGTCGTTATCAGTAATTTCTGTTTTTTCACTAATCAACACTAGGTGCTCCAATAATAATAATAATAATGATATTTATAAAGCGCAACATATCCATCTCTAGAGATGCTCAAGGCCCATACAAATATAGATTATAATTCCATCATGTACTTGATGAAACTTTGTATGTTTGATAGAATTGAGAGTTTTGATGAAAGTATTTGGAATGCTCTTTCTCATAGCTCTGAAGGAAGCCTCACAGAAGTACAAACTCTGGAGAGCATCGAAAGAACAGAAGCTCGCTAAAGAATTAGAACACAGCAACAAGAAACCTGCACCATTCAAGTTCATTAAGGTTAGTAATAGTGCTGTAAGTCAGACGCTATGTTCGTGTTCGGTTCGGTTCGGCAGAGTTTGGCAATTTTTCACCCGAACTTGGTTCAGGGTTCTGTAATATAATAGCAAGCAGCGTTATAGCCACGGTGGTCGGCACTGTGTGGGCCGGCTGGCATGCCGGGTCCGACCAGCACGGAGGACGTCTGCCCACTGCTTCCGACCAGCACAAATTTCACATTTAAAAACTGCTCTAAACGTAATTATTTGTGACGAAAAATACTACTTACATTTGTATTTCCGTCTTGAATCGTGTTTTATTTTCAATTTTAAAAGAATCATGTTTTCAATAGGTCAATAAATGATATTTTTGAAAGATTTTCTGAGACGGTGGTTGTCTAATGTTAGAGTCATGAAAGCTGCCATCTTGAATAGAGATTCAGGCTTGTCAATAACTGTTTTTTATTTTCAATAGGAAAAATATGAAATCCCTATTTTTCCTGAATAAATAAATACCATACTATAATATATATTTATTTCATTATTTATATTGTAAAATTTGTCCGATATTGTTACAATAAAAATACTAATTTTTTGTTGAATGGGTTAGAGCTGAACTTGTTTTGATCACGCACATGTATTCTTTTTTATGGCTTTTTATCAAGACGTAGCGTGGTCAGGATTTGGGATTTAAATGGCGCCAGTGAAGTCGCGCGACCACTGGATAGGCATAACTCACAAAGGCGGAAAATGGGAAAAAAAGTAAATATAAAATGAGCAATCATGACATGAAAATTAGGTACAAAATTACAAGTTTATTAGCTTGCAAAAACGTTTACATTTTTCTGCCGAACATCCGAACCAGGCCTTTGCGTTCAGTTCGGTTCGGTTTGGTTCGGAAGTGCCATGTTCGGCGAACTTCCGTTCGGTTTGGCAGTTTGGCTACAGCAATAGTTAGTAATGTGTTCCTTGAGACATGCTCCTATGACGATTGATTCACAGTCGAATTTCAAACTCGAAACTACGAACTCTAATAACTAAAACCTTGGGTCCACATAATGCTGAAGCCAATTGTACTGTATAACTCAATCAAAACCCCCACACAAGCCCTTCATATTTGGTGAATTAAGGCCAGAAGCAATGATTTGTATCACCCAGTAACAGCCCTCAAATTATCTTTTCATCTTTGGGCTCCTGTCAGATAGTTTAATCTGTAATCCCCATATTACACATCACCAATCATTTTTATCCCACAGACACATGGGCCCGAATTCACAAAGGAGGTTTAAATTTAACCCATGGTTTAAATTGTCACTTACATAACGCATGGTAAAAAATTAGTGCAAAATAAGCGTGACACAGTCAGAGGTCCGATATTATACGCGCGCAAGGCAAGGTACATTCATTTTGCGCTAATTTTTAAACTATGGGTTATGAAAATAAGGGTTTATACCATCTTTGTGAATTCAGGCCATAGTGATTTACCCCACTGATTGTTTTCATTTGTTTTGTTTTTTAATGTTGCAGACGAATCGTCCTGTTGGTAATGTAGTGATGCCAGCCTTTGACATCACCCAGTGCCAAGCATGTGAGTGTCGGCCAGACATGGAGAACCCGTGTGGACCAGACTCGGACTGTCTCAACAGAATACTCCTCATAGAGTGTCACCCACAGGTACGCACGTTACATACAGTTGCCAATTTGAAGAGCGGGATATTTATTTATTCCATTTTATTTTTTATTGAAATATATTTAATCAGAATAACAACAATCAGATATACAAAATCTGTTTAACATTATGGTCCTGAACATTATAAATATGTGCATTGAGAGACGAGTTTCACAATGTGTTTTTCCATGTCCTTCTTTTTCTAGATGCATGTACATTTTTTTTATGGTGAACGAAGAATCATACTGATGTATTATGCAGTATCCAGTTTGAAAGATATAAGAAATATGATCCACTGCACAGCATATTATCGCTCTCCTGCTGGAAAATGTTAAAGAATTTTTATAATAAAAAATGAAATCTAAACTGATTACAGTAATATTTACAGTTTTCATGAATCGTCCTATCCTAAATTAATTTTGCCTGAGAAAGAATCATAACTGATCTTCTATATTGATTGTTAGTGTCATGTTCCTCTAGGCTTCTGATGAAATGTTGACATTCTCAGGACATTTTAGTAAGCTATGAGGTAGAGTAATTCTTTGACAAAAAGAATACACATTCATCTTTGTTGGGTGTGTATACTCCGTCGAAAGAACATTTGAAATATTTACTGTAGGAAGAGATTTTTCCCCTCTCAGTTAAATCAAGGAATATAAACTATTTTGTCTTATTCTCAAACTGAAAATGTACTCTGTAAACTTATTTTATTACATACATTTTTATCAATATTTCGTTACTTGTATAATTCATTCGTTCTATTATATATATTGTAATACTGTATGGTTTATATATGTAATTTCAATTTGTGGATATTCGATACAAAAATCTCTTCTGTAGAGGAAGTAATATGTAGTAAACTCAAAACAAACAAAAATGATGCATGTGAAAAAAGTGTGATCTGTCTTTGCCCCATGATGTCTGCAACACAAGCTTGTTTAGTTTTAAATCTTAAGAATCTCTCTTATATTTAGAATTATACAGTAGGCTTACAGTTGCACCATGTGAGTAAGCCTACTGTATATCTACATCACCATGCACGTCGATACTTATAAGCAGCATCTTCATTTAGAATTGTAACTGAAATCATCCAAATTCTAACAAAAGTACACTTAAAGGAAAGTTACATTACATTTACATTACATTGGACCTACAGCAGCAGCCACCTGCCTATAAAGACCACATTTCTCATGTCTCTTGACTACTGGTAGTCTTTATGCACAGGTTTGACTGTATTATCTTTGCTTCTTTAGATCTGTCCTGCCAAAGAAAAAGTACCTATACAGGAATGTTACATGACATGACTAGGCCTGAGTCAAACCGTTTAACCGACGGTTATCCGACCGCATTCATCAAAACCGTTTAGCATTTCTCGCTCCGGTTAACCGTTATTTGCATACATTTTGGAATGTGCTAATAGCCGATGATAAAGATAATCAAAGAAACCGCAGTGTAATGTTACACCCTGGCCGCTGCGCGCCAGCTTTCTGGCAGCAGTAATCCCCATGAATGAATTTGTAAACAATAAAACAACCAGCCCCCTTCTCTCTTTTCTCACCCTCTTTATTCCCTTCTCTCTGCAATGTGTTCATCGCTCATGTACCTTTTTCTTATTACCGCACTCTCAGCTCACAACTTTCTAAATGTTTACACATTCGATGGTCAGTTCCTCTCACATCCCTTCTCCCCCGAGTCTCTCTCTCTCTCTCAATATTAATATCCATCCCTTGCCGACTCGCCCCCTAAAATAATGTTCATATATAAATAAAATACAAAAATATTGATAACAATAATAATTGAAGTTTTAGAAATATCAATCAACAAAGTCTTGGATATTGTGAGTAATTTAAGTTTTTGATCATTCTTCAATTCAGCCGATTAACACAGCCACCCTTTCTATCTACCGGTAGTCTCACTTGTCTTACTTCTTCACTCATGTCCCTGCCTCGTCCATGCAGGGACATGCAGGGACATGCTAGCCCATGCATGCTCTCTCAGTCACACACACATGTACACACAAACCTCCGGCGCCCAAATACACTTTACATACACACAGATGGAGAGCTCATGCTTGTCACATGCACACATGTGGGCGTGGCTTCTTGACCTCCCACTGAACTGGGTATGGTGAAAGCACGCGCGGTCACCAACCTGTAATTTATGCTGGTATCAAACTCCACCCACATAGCTAGAGAACCTTCCTGATTGGTCACTAACTTGGATCAGCTCATTGCAGGGTGTGTCTTGGGTGTGTGTGATACACACTTCCACACAATTTCATATGGCAATGATACATGCAGGGAGCTCTCTCCCTGACCATGTGCAAACATTGCATTGCAAAGGCATATATAAACACGTCACAGATCAGCTATCTTCACAGAGTAACTTTGCAAGGTTAATCATGATATCAAATTCAGATGAGGAATAATAAGACATGTTTTATGTTGTTTATTACTGGTCTCTGTTTATCAGGATGACCCAATTTGTGCCATAGTCCGGGGCTGGGAATGCTCAGCCCGACAGTCTGAAGACCAGCAGGGTTCCGAGCTACAACACTATTACAAATACTGTATTTTCACTTTTTCAGATTATTATTAAACGGTTAAACGAAACCGCCCGTATACTTTTAACGGTTAACCGTTTAGCACAAAAACCGTAATGACTCAGGCTTAGACATGACATTACATTGAAACCTACACGAGCAGCCACCTGCCTTTAAAGACCACATTTCTCATCTCTCTTGACTAGTCTTTATGCACCGGTTTCACTGTACAGTCAAACCTGTCTATAGTGACTGCCCAAGGGAAACATAAAAAGTGGTCTTTGTAGACAGGTTCCTTCAGTGCATGTTTCAATGAAAAACCAATTTCAAGGGAAACAAAAAAAAAAGGGGTCTTTGTAGACAGGTGGTCACTAAAGCAGGTTTGGCTGTATTATCTTTGCTTCTTTAGATCTGTCCCGCCAAAGAGGAGAAGTGCCAGAATCAGAGATTTCAGAAGAGAGCTTACCCAGACTCCTGCCAGATGAAGGTCAGCCATAGAGGATGGGGTCTGGTGGCCATGGTCGATATCAAAAAGGTATGTCAAGGATACTCTGAAGGCACATTACTAGAGGAGGCGCGATAGCTCAGTTGGTAGAGCGGTGGTCTGGACATCCCCATGTTACTAGAGGAGGCGCGATAGCTCAACTGGTAGAGCGGTGGTCTGGACATCCCCACGTTTCTAGAGGATGTGCGATAGCTCAGTTGGTAGAGCGGTGGTATCGTAATCCGGCGACCCGGGTTCGAAACCAAGGCGATGCACTAGTGCCCTTTGGTAAGGCATTAATCCTCATCACCAGGTCCCGCATAGAGGACCTAAAGCCGTTGGTCCTCTGATTACTTACTAACAAGCATTTATGTTTTCTTAGCAGTCAGGTACAATAACCACCACAACAAGGAATGAATTTCATCCTTTTCGAGGAGATTCAAGAAGTTCAATCAGAAAGGGAAGGGTAGGAATGCGAAGGTTAATGTCATGAATGTACATGAAAGATTATATCTAGTTATGACTTTTGTTTTTAAAATATTTGATAGAATTGTTGATGCTATGTAATGATATAATATGTATAGGTTTCCATAGTAATGAATTTTGTTTTTAAATGAGAGCATTATAAAGGTCATATGTAAGCCTTTATTTTTGTTTAGAGGACGTTATGTCCATAGCAATTTGTGTATCATTCGCAGTTTACTGTGGTGGCGAATGATTGAAAAAAGACTGTTCTATAGTTTGGAAAAATGTACATTTATTTTTCACAATCGATCATTAATTTTGTGTTCCTCGATGCTTCCGATGAAATGTCGACATTCTCAGGACATTTTAGTAAGCTATGAGGGAGAGTAATTCATTGACAAAAAGAATACACATTCATCTTTGTTGGGTGTGTATACTCCGTCGAAAGAACATTCACACTATTAACATGGATACAAGATGTGGTGTGACCCTTAATCCCAATAATCATCGTAGAGAGTAGAGTAGAGACAGGTATATCAACGGAAGTCATGCTTGTTCAGTAGTCCAATCCATGGAGTGTCATAATAGTTCCCTTCCATAAAAATTACTATTTGGAGCACTGTGGATTGATATTTGAGCATGTACCCATACTTATGTTGCAATTATCTCTCTCCATGCTATGAAGATAACCTTCTGAACACTCTGATCAAATTGATATCTCATTTTAGGTCCTTTTAAAATTAGATCAGGTATCTATCACAAGCATTCTGAATCAACTTAACCTTCATGTCTCATTTTCTCACCCTTATGCAGGGTGACTTCGTCAATGAGTACGTGGGCGAGTTGGTCGACGAGGAAGAGTGTCGACGACGGATCAAGCAGGCGCACGAGGAGAACATCACCGACTTCTACTTCTTAACCCTGGATAAAGATCGCATCATCGACGCCGGTCCCAAGGGCAACCTGTCTCGTTTCATGAACCATTCGTGTCAACCCAACTGTGAGACTCAGAAGTGGACCGTCAACGGAGACACCAGGGTGGGGCTCTTCGCTATCAGGAACATTGCTGCAGGTACATCTCACGTGTCATATGACTTATGGGGTGTGGCAAGAAAGTTGCGATTGATTGCAAGTTGCAAAATTTGCAACTAATATTTGCTATCGATTGCAACTCAACTTTCTTGCAACGCCCCACTAGTCTCCTAAATTTCCTAGGATTTTGTTAGGATTAAAGTTTTAACAATTAAATTAAGTTAGATTTAGCTTTTATTCTCCCCCTCTCTTTATCTCTCTCTTACTAATGGGGCATTGCAAGACAGTTGAGTTGCGATCAATTGCAAATTTGCAAATAATCACAAGACTTACGCTTGATTTTGGGGAATTGCAATTGATTGCAACTTTCTTGCAACGCCCCATTAGTGTTTTGTGTAGCCTTGATGCATATGGATATGCTCACTCTACCTTTACCAATATTCAAACAGCTGCCTAATCTTAGGCTAACCAAGTTGCAATTTTACAACCTGACTTAACAAGCTTAGAAGCGCTAGCCCGTTAACTAAGTGGAATGGTTTTTCACGGCTCTCAAAGAAAGTGATGGACATTGTTTGGAGAGGGTACCCTAATAAAAATAAGGAAAAATTGTGTTTGGAATAAGTCTACTTCATATTCATTTAAATATATCATATTTCAACATTTGAAAAATGGGTGCCTAGTATAAATGGTTTCTAATACCACCAATCACAACCTTTTATTCCAGCTAAAGCTAGGGCATGTTAAAAGAATGATTCACAGTGATTATTATCTGTTCCTCGAGGCTTACAGCAAAATGTTGACATTCTCAGGACATTTTAGCGAGCTATGAGGTAGAGTAATTCATTGACAAAAAGAATACACATTCATCTTTGTTGGGTGTGTATACTCCGTCGAAAGAACATTTGAAATATTGACTGAAGGAAGAGATTTTCAATAGTATTTTATTCCTTTTTTTTTGGGGGGGGGGGTGTTACTTTCACATAAGTCTCTTCTGTAAAGGAATTAACTATCTTTGTTGAATTTGTATACTCCATCTAAGAACATATTTGGAACCAGCAAAGTTTGCAGAAAGTCTTTTGCCTGTCATTTAAACCAGACTCAAGGACCGACATCATGTTTAACAGTGTGAACACGGATACCTTGGTCTGTCATTTGTAAAACCAGACTGAACACCCAGCTTAAGTCTAGCATAGGGCACAACTTTTTTAGAGTCATACTGACCATGGTGATAATCAGTTAGTCTTTGCTTGCGTGATATTGTGCCAATAATACCAACAATTGTAGCTTTCCTAGCACTGCATTGACAATTCCCCCTCTTTTCTTGTGTTTTGTTGTGAAGGTAATGAGATAAGCTTCAACTATAATCTGGATTGCCTGGGGAATGAGAAGAAGAGGTGTGAATGTGGGGCTCCTAACTGCAGTGGATTCATCGGGGTCAGACCTAAGGTAAATCGTCAGGCAAATTGAAAGTAGATTTATAATGATTTGTAACGATTTGAAATGATTTATACTGATTTGTAAGGATTTATAATGATTTTTAACAATTTATAAATAAATTTATCATGATCTGTGAAGATTTTTAATGATTTCTTACTATTTATAATATTTTGTAAAGATTTGTAAAATGATTTGTAATGATTCATAATGATTAATTATGATTTGTAATGGTTTGTAATAATTTACAATGATTTATAACAATTTATAAAGATTTATAATGATCCGTAATGATTTATAATGATGTGTAATGATTTATCATGATGTGTAATCATTTGTAATGATTTATAATAATTTACAATGATTTGTTAAGATTTTTAAAGATTTTTAAAGATTTATAATGATGAAAATGATGATAATGTTTCTCGGCTTACTGAGGATTATGAAATCAAAATGAACTGTACTGTATGGCACCTACTGGATTTTGGAATAGATTGTTCAAGGGTGGATCATGCAAATTATTGGTTGGTCTGCTAATAATTTGTGCTTTTCTCTTCTTGATCTTTTGACAGACTGCTGCAGCGGCTGCTATGGAGGAGCGATCCAAACAAGCCAAAGACAAGAAGAAGAAGCGGGTCCGCAAGAGGAACAAGCTCCAGGTTGTCAAGGTCAAACATGAGGACTATTGTTTCCGATGCGCAGAGGGCGGAGAGCTGACCATGTGCGATGTCAAGACGTGCCCCAAGGCATATCATCTCGACTGCTTAGGTCTAACGAAACAGCCCTATGGTAAAAATATTACAAATTAATATTTACATTAAAGGTATTACAAAGTGTTGGTAGGGGGTCATGAATTTGCGATCCTACAATATTCAGTGATCGTTGTCGTGGTTGAAATCGAGTCTAAAGTGATGAAATTGTAGATAATAAACTCTTTTCGTTGTATAGGATAATAGGTCCCTCTCAGGGTCAAGATATTAATTTAGCTATAAAACAATGTTTCTTGACTTAAATCAACCAATGGGCTATTCCCGTTTGGAAATTACATATCACAACTACATATTCTGAGATGTTCATGGTCGCAGCTACCATTGTATGGGCGTAGACGCTATTTGAAAATTATCGAAAATTACCGGGAGCACCAGTAAATTTTGATATTCAATTTTTTCTCGAAACCAGAAGTGTTCTAGGGGCCAAATTTTCTAGTGCTTATAATACATCCACAGGGGCATCTGAATATTTCAAAATTGTAAAGAACCACTATCTAGCCAATTTTCAAAATTTCCCAAAACTTTGTATTTCCTTTTACTATGTGACTTCATGCATATGTAGTCTTCAGGAAGATTTACATTTTTCACGAATCGATCCTATCCTAATTTGATTTTGCATGAGATCATCATGTTCATCGATCATCATGTTTCTCAAGGCTTCTGATAAAATGTTGACATTCTCAGGACATTTTAGTAAGCTATGAGGTAGAGTAATTCATTGACAAAAAGAATACACATTCATCTTTGTTGGGTGTGTATACTCCGTCGAAAGAACATTTTAAATATTAACTGTAGGAAGAGACTTTCAACAGTATTTTATTCCTTTTGGGATGGGGGGGGGGGGGGTGTTTCACAGAATTCTCTTCTATAAAGGAAATTATTTAGTATACCCCAAGACAAACAAAAGTAATTAAGCATTTGAAATGGTCAAAGCATTATGTGGAAAGTATGCTCAAATTTTCGTGGAATTTAATGATTGTTAAAGGTAGCCAGATTCTCAATTCTTTGAATACCGGTGCTAGCTATATCAAGTACAGCAAAGAAAATGTAAAATATAATTAGAATTGATGTAGAAGAAGCATTTCTTGTGAATTTTGCTTTTATTAGCCAGAAATGTTATAGAAAGTAAAGAGTCTGAATGTCAACACAATGTAGGGGGACCTAAACACATGGGCTTGTTCCAGATGAAGCAAAATATGTCTCTATCTTTATCTGAAATTGAGAATAAGGTTGGTCTCTGCCCTTGCCCTGCCTGCGTCCTTGAATATTGTTTTTGTGTATGTACCCCCTTGCAGGTAAATGGCAGTGTCCCTGGCACCACTGTGATGTCTGTGGCAAGGGGTCCGTCAAGCTCTGTCAAGAATGTCCAAACTCCTACTGCAAGCACCATGCAGGCGAAACGACAGTCATCATCAACGACAAGGTCTTCTGCAAAGAACATGACCTGGAAGATATCGAGAGGATGGAAGATGAGAAAGCCAGGCTGGCTCTTCTCAAGATGGAAGAGGACGTTGCTAAGATGATGCAGGAGGTGCAGGAGGTGAAACTGGAAGAGGAGGAGCAGGAGAAGGCAGAAAAGAAGAAGAAGCGACACAGACATAGAAAGGAGTCTGGAGATGAGAGTGATAAAAAGACAAAGGATAAAGATGAAAAGAAGTCCAGGAAAGGAGACAGGTCCACAGATGGGGAGGAGGTGGTTAAAAAAGAAAGAAAAAAGCACAAGAAAGACAAAGGGGATAGAGGTGAAAAGCCAAAAGTTAATGGTATCCATGGTGATGAGCCAGAGGTCAAAGTTGAGCCATTGGAAACCCACGCTGCCGAGCTGGAAGTTAGCAGTGACCCTGTTGACGAAGTAGCCCTGCTTGAGTACGACGATGACAGCGAAGCAGAACTGGTGATCGATGAAACTGTAGTTGAGAAAAAGAAAAGAGATAGGAAGCGGCAAGCAGAGGATAGCACGGAAGTCTCGACTGACCTACAGGAGAGCGTAAGCCCTAAGAAGAAGAAAAAGAAAGAGAAGAAGCACAAAAAGGACAAGGAAAATAAAAGAGACAAAAAAGACAAAGAGAGAGACAAAACATCAGGAAAAGAGAGGAAGACGGATAATGTATCAAACACAACAACTAAAATGGTCAATGGTTCTCTGGAAAGTGATTGATGAATCATATTTTATAAATTGGTTTTCTTCTGTTTAGTATTTTTTTGATGTTGAGGTAACTCCCAAATACAGTCTTGTTTCAGTCAATGTAATATTTTAACAATATTTTATAGTTTGCTTGCCTTAAGATTTTCTCCCGTCCCCACCCTGTGTCTTTACTTCTGTTTTATTTAACGTTCTTGTGGTGATTTCTTTAAGTGTATATTTTGGTTTAAAATAGGTTTTCTTTTGTTTAATATTTTTTAAGGTCATGGTGTATTCCTTCCTGTTAGCAAACAACTTCCCAATATATCCTCAAACCATTAATTCTACTTGACAATCACCCCCCCCCCCCCAATCTTTACGTTTTTATTCCACTTTAGTTGCTGTTTATCAACCATATATTTGTGTCACTCAATCCCTTTTGAATAAAGTGAAATACTCTACATGCAATCCAAATTAGTGTTTACTTGTGTAAACAGGATAAAAGATAAGATTATTATGCATATTGATTGCTGATTTAAACTATGTTCTTGAAGATTATATTTGTTTGGATAAAGAAAACTGGAATTATTGTGTAATCACATCTTGTTAGATGAAATTAACAATGTACAAGAATTATAACAATAACAATAAAATGTTTAACAGAATCGACCATGAGATAAAATAATAATAAATAATAATATTAGATTCTTATATAGAAGATAGATTATTCCTAAATTTGTGTTCTTGAATACATGTATTTCAATGGACGTTTCTAAAAAAGGAAAAGGTGAAGATAATCAAGTTAAGATTTATGCAAAATTGTTAATGTATTTTGTGTTATGACAATTTCACAATCAGAGTAAGGCAAAATTTTAAGTATGCACTAAGTGATCATGCTCTTACTGTTAACTTCCACACTTTTCCTCCAAGTATGGAATCAATTTAGGTACTATTCAAAATTATGTTTTTATAATCAATGGCATCTTGGTTTCAAAAGAAATAATGGAGATTATCACTGCCGGTAATTCTTTTCTTTACATCCTATGATATACATGTATATTTCATATTTGCATAATTATGTAAGTTGAAAGTTCCATAGTCAAGACGATTGTACTGTTTCGTTTTCATCATCCTGTCTGTCATATTTGTTTGGAATATTAACCCATATCCCATTCATCTTTATTACTTTCTTTTCTTTCTCTTTCTTCCTACTTTCATTCTATTTCCTTTTATTTCTCTTTCTTTCCTTTTCTTTCCGTTTGTTTCCTTTTCTTCCCTTTTCTTTCCTTATCTTTCCTTTTCTTTTCTTTCCTTATCTTTCCTTTTCTTCCTCTCCTTCTCCTTAGCATCATCCCAGCTTTCTGTTCTAATTACGCTTCAGGCTGTTACACATTCATTTCATGTACAATCTAGAACCCCAACATCATTTGATTTCAAGAGTTATCAAGATATGAAATGCTTGAGAATATCTAAGGCTTAAATTTGTAAGAAGTCAGTGATTTCAAAATTAATCTAGATGGTGATCCAGGATCTGGTATATCTAGTATCAGTGGTGCAATCATGTTGTATTTCACCAAAAGAACTTTATGACAGACGTTAGTACTGATGTAAACTTATATAAGAAACAATCGCATTCTCTATAAAGCGGGACTGCACTACTTGTAGCTACTTGCGCCCTCTATATAGCAAACAATACCTAAGCGGTACTCGTTAGTCCCCCATGATCCCCTTTTTCTTATGTTAATGGAGAGCTGATTTGATGAGATAACCACCTGTCAGTGACTATACAGGGGGGTCTAAATCCCTCCTGGGCAAACTAGTGCAGATAGGCTTAAGAATTTGTGAGTTGATCTAGGGGCTGTCTCACAATTGCCTATTAGACAATCCTGGGTTTGAATCAGAGTTGTATCTTTACCGATGGTGCTGTTCTGTTTTATTTCAACCTGTGCACTCTGTAGCTGTAAAATATTAATTTGTGACACATCACTTTTACTTGCCCACATGATTTTTTGAAACGTGATGCTATGAATTGATTACATTCTCTACTAAGTAACTTAATTCATGATATTTAGTCATGTTTACTATTTGATGACGTAGCCTTTGAATGGTTGTATTGAAACTAGTGGGCAGTGCACACAATGTGACTGGTCACCTTTAACCAGTTTATTCACCCAATTTTATTTCCATCTTATATTATTGCTGTAACACTATGTACTTGAACCATCTTTAATTGCTTTAATGAGCTCATCTTTCCATATCATTGTTGTAAAAACAAGAAATAATAATTTACCAGAGTACTAGAACCACATTAAACTTGTTTAGTTAAACGTATCTTGAACTAAATTCTTTTCATACCACTGCTGTATTACACTATGTCAGACTGGGCTATAAATTGTATGATCTGAGCTCTTATTGCACTCCTCCTGTATCATGCATTGTTGATCTCTACTTAAAACTTGATAAAGTCTGAAAATACCATTGTTTGAAAGTGAATCTTCATGTACAGTGCTGGCTTTATGAACAGGATGAATTTTGTCCACGATGAACCTTCTTTCCATTTTAAGCAATTGATAAAGAGGACTCGTAGGAATTTCAGATGTTCCTCTGGTCGCTTTCAAATTGAGAAGAAATTACTCAGAAGATTTTTTTCAGCCCATGTAACTGATATGTGAGGACTATCATATCATGGATCTGTAATATATTGTTGAATTGGTTCACAATTAATTGAATTAAAAAACAGTTTAAAATTTCCATTTAAAATTTACAAAGTTATGAGGATATGTCTGTCTAGGAAATTTTGAATACATTTGTGATCTCGTAATGCTACTATTCTGGCTTTATGGAATCTGCAGAATCCTGTAGACATAACTATGTGTTTGTTGATGCTGAAGTTGTAAATTTATATGTGAAATAGCATTGGTATTTTTTAATTGACCTTTTTTTTCTTCTCTCTTGTAATTAATTGTTGGTAGAGATTTATTATTCTGCTGCTTGAAAAGTTACTTGTTTGAATCTTAGAAGGGGATTGGAGGACAATAAATGACCAGTCAAAGAATTTGTAAGAAAAAATGTCAGCAGTTTTCACCTGTGTTTTCTTTTGTTCTAGCATTTATACCCCTAGAGAGACGGTAGGATATTGTAAGCTATATATTCAGATGCTCGCAAGAATGCTGTAACAGATCTGTATTATCAGTGGCATTTATATCTTTGGAAAGGCAATATGATATTGTCAAATTATATATCTTCGGATGCTCGCAAGAATGCTGTAATAGCCATGCATTATCGATCCTGAAATCTTCTCTATTCCCACAAAAATCTGTATGATGGGGGAAAACTTATGTTCGCAACTACAAGACTCAACTTAAAATTGAGCGAAGAATATTTATATATTCGCTTAAATGATTGCTCTTGTGGTATTCCTTATACCGTATTCTAAACAAGTAAAATCTTGTGAAACTGCCAATGAAGAATGTAATGTTCACAACCAAACGGTTGTTTCAATATGTACAATTATTTCAGTAAGTGTTAACAAGGGCTTTTAGAATTCCGCCTGGGTTTATTTCTTGAAAGTCTTTACAATCGTATTTGATTAAGCATTAGTGGGGGGGATTTCTCTTTTAACATATCAAATGTTTATTCTCTCCCCCCCCCCTCCCCTCTCTCTCTCTCTCTCTCTCTTCCTCTTTTGTGAATATTTGCAATTTGTATTTAATCATAAATAGCTAGTTATACTGTGGAAACTCGTTCTATGAAAACGTTCTGTTTTCTTTACTTTGCTTTCTACTTTTTACGTAGTTCTGACAGAACGAGATTTCAAAATAAAAAGGTAAATTCCTTGATCCCATTATCAGGGAGTTAATTATGACGAAGTTTCGCCGTATCACTGCCGTCAGAGGCATATAGACCACGATGTAACGATGAGTTCATTCCGCAGATATCTGACGCTTTCCTGACACGTAACATACAAAAATACATAGACCATAGGGATTTTCATAATATCCTTTTTATTGATAAAGCTCTTATTTTTGTAAATAAACAATACACGAGTGAAGGACGGACACGTGAACAAAAAAAAGTGTCACTCGGTTCACTTTTTAAAAACCTATCAAACTAAAATATAAACAAAATAAATGTTCATATCATTCGGCAGTGTACAATTTCATAAATACATGTATTAATATTATAATCCCGTGCAAACATATCCGACAAAAAAAAGGATGAGCATTCCTGCTACGATCTTGAATACTTGTGTATCGTACACTGCTTTATATTATAAAACAATATTTGATTGTGGCCATAAAGGGGGGGGGGGGGGAAAGGATTTGATATGTTTGGTAAATTTATCATGATGCCTTGTGACAAATCAACGGCTGCGTGTTAAATTTAAGAACTATTGGTCCTAACAAAAGAAATTTAAATTTGCCTTTTTGTTTTTATTGTAGCATCTAATTTATACAATTTATTTCTTTTTGTTGTAGAAAACTTATTTTTTCAATTTAGATTAGCAAACTGGTAAACCTGTTCCTAAATCTTTTATGAATTAGTATTAAAGTATTAATTCGAATCAGTAGGAAAGAGAACGGCCGAACCACAAGAAAGACCAGAAATTAGATCATTTTAGCGCAACAATGGAAATTTCCAATCACTGTGTGCAAATTTGAATAAATAACCTTCTCGTGCTCTGAAACCTTATGTAAAATTGATTAAGAAGGACAAGCAGAACATACATGTAAATATGAACAAGATTAAAACACCAATTTGTTTTCATATTTTAGCTTTGATAACAAGAAGGCACAAATATTTTGTTTTTCCAAATTTGATCAGGCAATAACAATATAATTCTTGCATAATATAGGGCCGCATTCAGAAAGAAATCTTCTTTCATAGAGAAAATATCTCAAAAAATTAAGGGTAGTGATTATATACTGTTTCATAAATAGTAGCTTAAATCTGAATTGTAACTGAATACGGATAGGATATCAAGTGATGAACACGCAAATATATCACATAAAATGTAATACAATACTTTTTAAACAATAAACTGTTGACGATATGGTCTTAAATATTGGATACATTTCTGAATTCCATTATATTAATCTTACAAGTAACCCTGTTCGAGACATTTTGTGCAACACGACAACAATACTAATCAATCAGCTCATTGTAAGACACAAAAATCATTGTGCATTATTCTTAAAAACAAACTGAAGCCTCCATTCGGATCTATACGTAGTAAAATATGATAGTAAACATTTGGCTTAATATATTATGTTACATAGCTCATATACATTTCTGCAATATCACCATTAGCGATGTTGATATCATCTTGCAAATATACATCGATATAAATATGTGTTAACAAAGGAAATTATCAGCCATCGAGATTTCTTTTTTTACCGGACTTAGCGGCAAAATTGGTATTATAGTATCAAATAAAACTGAGTAGATCAAAGATTATCTTTCAAACTACAAAGGAATTTCTAATATTAATAATAATAAAAACGATGTTTATAAAGCCCTGCATTCAGATGTTATAAGAATTGAACAATAAGGCAGCTTGTTTCTACTCGAAAAAAAGGTATAAAGATATCAAAAATATCCAACTAAAATTGGGCAGATGGATGAACTAATTTAATTTAAAATCAACGATTAATCCATGAAAAATTCGACAGATTTTTTCAAACAAAATTTAAGTTTGATTACATACATCCATTGGGTAATTAATAATTCCCCCAAATATTAAAAGATTTAAAAAAATATTTATTTAAAAAAAAATCAGAGTTATATAAACTAAAATAGTTATCCAAATAAAAATCATTTATTGAAGGAAACGAGTATAATAATCCATCATATATCTAGTTTAACCTCTTTTATTTGCTATTATTTCAAAACTAATTTGACCATTTTCCTAATCGAAACATCAAATCTCACCAAAACAAGTGTTGGTCCAATTTATCTATGAAAATAAAAATATTAACATTTACCACATTCTTCAGTTGTTGTTAGTAAGCGCTTGTCAAAATCCTTTCCTTGTGTTAACATCTATCTTAAAAACATTTCTGATGGAAGCATCAGTCAAAAACTCTTCCTTGGTTAAAAAATCAAATAAATGTGTATATTTTTTTTTGAACGTGTAATCAAACTTTGGTAGCTTAACAAAGAAATGCGGTTAATGTTTGATATTCCGAACCTTCCTTTTAAAGAAACAGGTTCGCAAAATCAAAGGACAGTTTCCCATTTCCGGAATAACTGACACTTTGGAATACCGGCTGAGTGCATATAACACTTTGATAATGTTTTTATCCTCACTGACCGACAATTGAGAAATGGAAATACCTGCCTTCCAAAATCTCATCATTCATGTTTGTATTGCAAATGAGCTACGACTTCAGAATTTGTAAGGATTTAGATCAAAATATGAAGCTGTAAAGTCAGAAGTTTGGGGTGGATAGATTAGAAAACATCGAAATGCAAAATTTAAAATATCCTTTTAATTCTTCTTTTTAAAGAACAGACCACCAAAAATGCTTGTACGCGTAATGATTTACCAATATGGTATCATTTTGAAGGCATACATTTTTCATCTAACACAGGACCATGCTAGGAACCAGTGAGGTAAAATACGCATTTACCAAAGATTGATTAACTTTCTTAAATATACACACTTATTCTGTTTACGTTAAAAACACATTAAAATCACATCTTTCGACATTAATTGCAAATATAGCAAACCCAACATTTCTTACGTCAAAGTACAAAAATATTAACATGAAGCAGATGAGTGTACCTAAAAAACACTCACCCTTGTCATATGTTAGCGTTAGTATATTAAAGTCTTTTACTTTACGTTTAAAGCATAAATTTAATAGCACACTACACCTTTTATCAAAATAGTTGCAAGTCATAAAAACATCATTCACATATTAGTAATCTCGTATTCACGCGTCAAATTTTGTACATGGTTGAAAAATTTTATTAGTAAACTTATATCCCAAAAAGCATCCATTCTATAGATTGCTTTTTGTGTCATATTCCTCATGTTATGTACAAACGCGCCTCTGATATTTGTTTCTTTGTCTGGTAAAAAATATCGTAATATGTAGGTCTGTATTTGAATTTTTTACTGGTGTTGTGAGCATATCAGTATCGTACATGTCTTTGCATTTTTATTTTTTTTAAAGATTGTTGAATGAGATCTGTAAATGGGTTTCATTTAATGTAGCCTAAATCAATTTCTCAAGAAAAAAGTTCTACAATTTCACCAGCATCCCAACACCCCCCTCAATATTTTAAACCGAATCAATAACTTTATGAAAGCAAAGGAAAGGAAAAAGATGTATGATCTGCAATAGAGTAAGTAGGAATTTTAGGCTTATTATGTTGAAGGGATATTATAGATTCTAAAATGCTGCGTAGATGCCTATATAACTGCCGATGAGTCCGAGTAAAAGCTGCAAATGACTATAAATAAATGTGTGTCTCCGGTGTATATCGAACCCTGGGCCTTGATCAAACACCACTATACTACGAAGCCATGCAGGTTATTGGTTTAACCCAGACATAATTTTACATTTCCATGAATCTTTCTTCATACTGTTTAAATTTTGTGTAATTCACTGGATGTACGATTGGACTTGGTGCGGACCATTCTTAAGCCCATTAATGTCATCATCATTTTAATATGGCTGTATTGAAAACAAGGCTATGAAAATAAAGCTAGGTCAGAGAAGCCCAGAAATTTAGAATATGTACATTTAACATTATTACATAATGTTTCAACTGAATGGAATCTTTTTAATTTCATAATATCCCTTTCAATTATTATACCCATGTGATATGTATATACAGAAATCGTACATGGCCAACATGGTGATAGGCACAAGTATAATTGGTAAAAATATGTTCAAATTTTTATCTCACATAAGTGCAAATAATTCACAAATTTTCATTTTATATAGCAATTTGTGTCTCATGATTATCATATTTGACATTATATGAATCTGATTGAATTGAAGTACATGTAGTACATGTAAAAATGAATTTGAATGTGATAGTAAAGTCCGACGCACACTATACGATCCTCCTACGATCCAATTTCCGTTGAAAGGGCGGTTATAGTTGATTTGGAAATCTAAACAACCACTACCTTCCTGATTTATAGGTTCTAAATAATGATACGGATATTAACAACAGAAATTGTAATACATTCGAGCTTTCTATTCATAATAATAGCCGAATCGGCTTCAGATCGTAGACAATCGCACTAGTGGTCTGACGTCACTACGATTCTGAGCCGATTTAGCCTTTCCCCCTCCAAATAAGCATAATATCCCTTGAAATCTGAATATTATTAATCCTAATGACTATTATGATCCTCGAACATTAAGATCCTAATGTTTGAATTTTCTCATAAGATGCTCTTACAAATTCTTCCAAAATCGAATCGTAGTCAGATTATATATTGAGCGCCGGGCTTAAGTTTCGGAGACAGGAAGACGAAGTAGATAGAAAGAGAGAGCAAAATAAGCAATATAAATAGAAAGTAATAAATTACACGAAACATATTCCTGAGAAAATATAATGTTCAGTTTGTAAAGATCTTTTAAGGGTACCTAATTCAGCAATACTTGAACAAGATCGATAATATATTATTTACAGTTATGTATACGACACTTTGGCTTTCTTATACAAGAATGATAAATACAAATCATATACGATCATTATTGTATTTATAAAGAACGTTCATGATTGGTGAGAAAAACACGGTGGAGTTGGCCGACATTTTAGAAAGTGAGAGCTCGAAATCTAAGATTCATTCCTTCGTTGTATTTATTTTTTAATGTTTTCTTCATATTGTATCTTGCTCATATTTTGAATACCAGACAAATAAATACCTAAAGCTGTTTAAAACCCAGTATCGTTAGGCTTATAATCTCACATTGTTAAATACTGATAGAGCAATTTGCACCACCGCAATCATTACGTACAATGATACCCAAGATTGCAATTGTTGGTGGCGCTGTCCATAAATTGTTCTATGAACCCATCACACTCATGGACAAGCCCCACGTAATGTCACACATTTAAACCCATCGCGCGCTATCTGACTACAACAGTACCGTTAAATAGGCCTTCATGATATCAAAGAGTGTAAGAATAATATGGAGAGAGTGTGAATGCAATATAGCTTTGCTAATAGTTTTAAAGTGTTCCAAATTAGCTGTGTTAATTAACACCGGTCATTACACAATGCGATCCCTTAATTCTGTAACTACAGTCATTACAAAGTGTTACAGAGAACACTTTGTCACAAATTATGTGACACAGTGTGATCACTGTATTTGATTCATGACACTTTGTGGTGATGACGAGAAATATGTTCACACTTGTTGACTCTGTGTGACACAGAGAACACCTGAGTGTATTTACAACAGTAAACCCCGATAGGGTGCCAACCACCTTCTCCTAAGAACCCGTCTTAGTCAGATAGTGTGCGATGGGTTTAACGCACACACGCACACTCACACGCACTACACATACGCACAACACATTCACATAATCAATTATTACGATACCATACGCGCTTACGACCATTTACGGAATGACCGTTGACGCCATGCGCTTCTATTCTACGTCACAAACGTCACGCCACCTTGTATCCCAAGAGGCTCGCTCTTTGACTTTGTTGTATATCGTGGATGCAGAGGGGTCAAATGTTGCGTGCTCCCAATAATGGGCACCCTTGAAGAAAAACAACTTCTTGTGTTTGATTGAATAATAAGCTGCGTCGAGATTGTCCTCTAAAGGTGAGATATAAGGAAACTCGCCGGGGAAGGCAGTGCTGATAGGCATAGGGTAGTTGTCTCCGCAACAGCCACCTTCTTCCACGTCGTATGCATAAACCTGTAAAATAAAGCAAAGAGCATAGTCATTACTAATGAAGTCAAGGACATATCATCCTATGCTTTCATAAGTATAAAATATTATCTGTGGTGTGTCTTCTAATCTATGGGAGAGGCAAACATGTCATCTCAACTTTAATTTTCAACCATTTCTTGTTTTGCTCTCAACCATGAACAATATTTTGCTGGGAGGATATGTACAAAATAGATAAAGGACAAGACCGACTGTCTAAGAAACAAGATACCCATGGTTCAAGATCATGTCTGTAAATTGGGTAGGATGCCAATCCTCAGTAGCTACTTGGATGGACGAAAGGTCCAACCTATTTCAGTCCTTTCTTAATGTACGCGGGAACAACCCATCAACACCTACAATGCGGTTCTCTTCGGAACCTTAAACAGCAACTTTGAACCCGCCGGTAAAGAGGAGGATGAGAAGGTGACTAAAGAAGAGAATAATGATAAGTCAGAAGTAGATAAAGAAGAAGACTTACCTGGCTCCCTTTGAAGAAGTAGTAATTATTATCCCTCTTATCATAGTAGGCAGCATCGATGTTGTCAGGTATACGGGTATTGGAACCAGATTTAGCTGGCCAACCTTCAGAGATAAGCCGACCGTTCGTCGGCCAGTTAACACCCTCGTATGTGCCAGTGTAAGCTGATTTGCTTGCGTGGTTGAACCTCCAATATCGATTGCCTGAGTAGAAAATACACGGGCAAAGGTTTCAAATATAATACTCAGTCACTTCTTTCAGATAAAGTGGAGTGAGCATATTATAAACTAAATCAATAATGCTAAATGCGACATTAAAAAGTTATTAGAGAATCATTAGAGAAAGATAACTGTACAAAAAACCTTAATCACAAGATTTCTACGAAATGTAATTTCTTTAATTTGTGCCACCATATTCTGATAGTGTAGTTGTCCAGAGGCGTCAATCATTATTTTGGAGAAATAGGGGCAGCCCCCTAATAATAATTATGGTAAGTGTATCCCATTAAACATTATGCTCCCGATCAATAAACTTGCGCCTAGAACCCATATCTGAACGTTGCAAAAAGCATTGCATCAAACAATTAGAAAATGAATAAAGATTCATCCTAAATGAGAAATATTAAACGGAATAGTGACCAACCTTTAAAGAAGTACATCTCGTCTCTTGGTTTATCAACGTTTTGGACCACGGCATCCAGATCGTCGGGTACACCGTTGAAGCGGCTGCTGAGGAGCTTTGGCTCAGCATACTTGACCTCGCTCCTGGAGTTTACGTACACCCAGTTCCATCTATTTCGGACGAAGTAGGTGGTGTATGTCCACTGGTTGCTCGAACTCAACCTCATCCAGTCGAAAACAGTGTCTAACGAGTTATTGCATGTTCCTGATAATAAGAGACAAATGGTACAAGAGGGAGACAAGGAGACGTCAGCTACGTAACAAGATGGCACTAACAAAGAGAAATTGACTTTATATAATGTTTAAACACAATAACATATTTGTAAGCAATAACTAATGTTTTGGAAGTTAAATGTACCCGAGTTTCTTATCTGACATCGAATTCACCCATCACAATATTTAAAAAAACGCAACGCTTTTCAAGTCATTTTAACTTCTCATCGCTAGAGAACGACGTACAATAACCACGAAGATGAAGATGATTACTTTAGACCAGAAGGAACATAGGATATTAAACGAAAAATCCTTACCATAGATATCCTGAACAGCAGTTTTGGTCTCACTGTCTATGGTCACCTTTCCATCAAAAGAGCGATAGATCGGATACATGATGGAGGAAACATTGGTGCTGTGACCTAACCCTAGGAAATGACCGATCTCATGGGTGGCCACCGACTGCAGGTTGTAGTCTTGGTCAGACCTGTCTGTCCAGAGCTTATTATCGTTGAAGAATATGTGACTACTCGCCACGTCCGAGAGAGCCAACTGCCCTGATGACCATCTGTGGTCTCCGAAGTCGGAAAGATCATCTGAGGATGGAAAAGAACAATCAATAAAAGTCATACTTGTGTGAAAGAGGATGTCTCATGATGGCAAAGACAGCATTTTAGAGCGTGAACAGAATAATTATTTTAATAATTGAACAATGATGCAGTCAGACCGTGAGGCTAGAGGTAAAGTCATGTAAATTGGGTAATTTAAGTTTGGAAGTGCATTAAGGCTGCTAGTTGTAGTATCAATCCAAGATTGCCAAGTTCCTCGAATAGGGCTTGGGTTTCGTGGTTCTTACCTTAAAAAAACATGCGACCTCAACACTTAGCTACAGTTTTATTTATTCTTGACGAGACTTCAAAATTGTCTCCACAAATCTCGACACTGGATTTTAATCTCAAAGGCATATTCTGTTCGAGGAATCAAATAATTAAACAATTAGGTTTCCGTCATCATAATTCAGGGATGATTTTATGTTAAATCACAAACTCGTAGTTTAATACCTTCTGTTGGTATTTAGTAGGATTTTATTTGTTAGGGGAGAGGTTTTAGTAAGTAGAACATAATTATATTGGTGAACTTACTTGAATTAGCAAAGGCGATGTAGATATCGACGTTGAGGACGTCACCTGAAGTCTGCTCCCTGAAGGTGAGCGGCGTGACCTCTGCCCATCTCCTGAAAGCTGCTGTGAAAATACTCGATGTATCAGAGATATACTGAGAAGGATAATCATCCAGAACTCGCCAGGTGATTGGAAGATCCCTGGCAGAAAATCTCAATCCTGAACCCGACGATGAGGATGGCTGACCACCTGCCTGTGAGTCGCGTCGCTGTCTATGATTTGACTCGCTAATCATCTGTCGGAGAAGTTCTCGAATGTCACGTTTGGGGCGAGGCCCAATCAACTCATCTTTGTCCTTATTGTCACTTAGAGGATACTTTGGGGTTGAAGGTGCTGTCTTGGAATCAAGCTCACTGACCAAAGCCGATACGACTTCGGTGACGGTGTAAGTCAACATCGTCGTTCCGTCGATTTCTTCTTCTGGGAAAGGCGTCGTCGGAACGTCTTCGACGTCCTCCTCATCGACCATATCAGAATCTTCGAAATCGTCTTCAGAGCTGACCTCTACGATTGAGTACTGACCCCATGAAATGTCTTCAGGAGATGGCTTTACTTCAGGCACAGAGGGCGGTCGATATGGGAACTTGTTCATTCCCTTGCCAGATTTCGCACTTTCGCTTAAAGGGTCTAAGAATGATTTCCCCGACTGCTTACCGTCTATTACCGTGGATGTGATCATAGCTGGAGAAGTCACAATTCCAGACTTGTCTTCTTCTGCCGATTGTTTCGATTCATCTGTTAACGAGGATACGTCCTGGCTTTTTCCGTCGCCGGTTTGCTTGATCTGAACTTGGTAGTCAGGGACGCCACATCTGGGCTTAGTCATGAGTTCTTTAGTAGCTGAATCAATCTGCCCGGTGACCGGTATGTGGTAACGTCTCTGGAAAGCTTTGATGCCCTTTTTCCAGTCGGCGTTGTCAGGTTTTGACTGTCCTCGGTCTGTTGATTGTGTTGAGGACGGCATCTTCGCTTGGTCTGATGATATTTTACCATCGCCATCAGATGCGTTCTTTGCTAGTTGTATTTCGATATACCCGTAGTCTTTTAAGAAATTCTGTAAAAGAAGAGAGAATATCAATTTAGTTACGTCGGCATTAAGTCATGGAGTATAATATCGATTTTAAAAAAATAGTGTATTTTTTAATACTTCATGGAATCGCGTATAAGTTCGAGGGCTCCTCATAGTATATACATGATTATTTTTTCATTGTATTGCCTTATAAAACCTGTTCAGCTGTGAGTATGATATACATCGTCAGATGAAGGAGCCGATATCGTGTAGAGAACTTTAACGTAGCTTTTGTTGGCTTGCGGTTTTTTCACCTCTTTTCACTTTGCATTCGTACTTTCGTTTGTATTTGAAGAATGTTAAATCCCGAAACCACTGAAGTATTTATATACTAGTCACCGAGCGTGTTGTCATGTCAGTGCACACATAAAATTAGTGAATGGAACGGTAGAATAAGGACATAAACACGCCTGAAAATTCGTCAACAAATGTTTTCGTGACTTTGGCATGCATTTTGTAAAGGGCCATGGCGTCTACTCCAAGGTGCATAACAATGGCTAATGAAACGGGTGTACTTTTGGTTATCACTCTATTAATTCGAAAGAAAGGCTTTTCTCTTACGAAATTGATATGTATTTAATTATATGCAGGATAAGTAGATGACTGGCTTTTCCTAATGGTCAACGACCATTAATAAAAGCTTGTAAAATTGGCAGTTTCATGTATGATGAATGTAATGCACTTATTCAGAATTCATATCACATTTTGTTGCTTCGCAATCACTGACGTTCATTTTGTTTAATCTGACTCTACCTTATTTATCTTCGCAAGACATTGACAGTATTTAAAAAAATTATTAAAGGGAAGCATGATATTGCCATTACTAACATCCATGTTCATAACATTGTAATCACATCTTCAGTAAGCGAAATGTGAATACTGAATACAGAATTATGCCAGATTTTGCCTCACTATTAACTCAAAGAGATATGTTCAAGAAGAAGAATTAACATGGTTCCTATAACAGTGGGTGTACTGTTTTATATTTGTACAGGGGCGCTCCTGATACACTTTGCTTACTCAGGGGTTCTTCCAACGTATTTTTTTGTATGTATTCATTATTTGATATTATATTTGTAATGGAAAATAAAAATTGAATTGAATTGAATTGATTATGAAGCTAGATGTGTCAGACTCCTTGACTTTAATCCATACCACGTTAATACCTCTATACCATACCTAACACTTTATTATCCAAGCTATCATATCATTATCCAACTACGACAACAAAAATTGCATAGAGTATTGCAATCCTTAATCAGTGCTATGCCATAAACAGATAACAGATTTTTCAGCGAAGGATCTTAACCCTAATTAAAAAGGGTAAAGTGCAAATTAAAAAAAAAAGGAAACAAGAAATTGAAAAGTTAGAGGATCAACAGAAGCTAGAATGGGACTTATCATGATCTATAATTGTATATGATAAAACTCTTTCATTTGGAAGAATGAATGTACTTTATCTGGTCCTTGTCCCCCCGTCGTCTTCGCTTTTTTTCCACTTCGGTGGTCTAGATCTGCTAAAAAGGAGTTTTCATTTAATCTCCTTTTCTACAAAAGAACGCAGCATAGGGTACATGGGATTTAAACCCCGGTCTCACGTTTCCGATAACGATGAATCAAACTTTACTTGGATCGAAAGATGGGCCTTATATCTTTTAGTGAAATTGATCGGATGGCTACGCAAAAGTATTTCAAGCTGCCTGAAAAATTTGAAATGTTCAGCACAAAATACATTGTTTCTTGCGCAACTTAGTGTACTTCGTTTTCTGAGTACGCTTTAGAAAACAAAAAAATAGAAATGAAGAAATCGAGAAAAAAATGAAAGTTTCCCCATAAATGGTGGTAAAATATTTAAGTAGCAAAAGATCGCAAGGTAGTTGTTTTTATTAGTTGCCTAATTAGTTACTCATACGTTGAAAAGATATTCCGTTTTTGCCTAAAAATGTTTAAATAGTATCTTTCATTAGTAACAAAGTAGTGGGTATAGTTGATAATAAAGTCGCGGAGTGGGACTGGACTTTTACGGCATCAGTGGGATAAGTAAAACGCCACTTCTTTTTATTATAATAATGGAATGCACACGAGGAAGCTGGGATCAATGCAGGCGGTAAAGTGACAATACAGTAGCTGCATCAAAATCGATTTTATGATGTGACAATCTAAAATGTTGAAGGGATGGTATTATTAATTTGTTTGCATTGTTATAACCCGATCTGACTGATAGGGTTGTATCTATCAAGGATTATCTTAAAGAAAGTATTCCAAAATACGTAAAAAGATATCGAGGCTCAAATTCGTCTCTACAAGGTGCTGTTTTCAGAAAGTCTTCCTAGCACCAAAATGAACATCGGGGCACCAAAAGGTCTGTTTAGGAAAGATAAGAAAAGGACCCCGATAGTCTAGTGTATAAACCTCTTCACTCAGGGTGACTGCCCTACGGTGGAGGTACACGCTCGGGAGAAATCTTCCCTTTTATTGGGTTGGGTCCGAAAAGCGTCCCTGAAATGCACGGCAGTTGTTATGTTTTCTCATTCATCCTGCCTTGTCCAAACGGCTCTGGGTGATGCTTTCGAGGTGTCAACTAGAATGGAAGTTTCGTCTTTAAGGAACATTGGTATACACGCCCGAGGCCAGTGATCCTTTCCACCCCCTCTCTCCCTCACTTTCTAGCTTCTTAGCGCGCTCTTTGACGGAAGCTCATTGAGAGGAGAAACACTAAAGAAACGATGTCAGTGTGCACCGCCAGTGGAGAACATTTGTACGATTTCGAAATAAAAAGTCATTCGCGAGTTGTAAACACGCCTATTTATATGCGCTCTGGTAGACGAGCGATGCGCCTGACGACTCGTTTGTCCTCATACTATTGTTGGTATGGTCACGAGCGCCGGAGAAAGCGCTCTTGAAAGGATTCTGCTTTCGTCGTTTTTGTGTCCAAACCGGGCCGCCACTAATGACCGAGCTGCAATGAGGGTCGTCAAAAGATGCTGTAATAGATTGCCCACTTTCGCTCAAATTGCCATGATTAATGTTTTCTAAGGGAGAGACAGGGAGAGAGGGAGAGAGAGGGAGAATGAGTTAGTAAAACTCCGCATCTCAATCAAGAGCTAAAGAAGAGGGAGAAAGTTACAAGGAAAAGGGGCAAAGAGATGGAAAGACGGAAACAGGCTGAAATGGGGGAATAGACAACTAGAGAGAAAATTTAACTGGCTTGAAAGAAGGTTAGAAGAAAAGAGGAGAAAGAGAAAGGGAGAGGAGGAGAGAAAGATATTCGGATGTGGACTGTTTATCGCATAACAATTATCTTTATGACATCCATTATAGGAGAGGCTTAAGAGATGACCGTGAAATGTGGAGCAGATGATAATGCTTTCGTGAAATAGGAGCTCATGATTTGTATTCATGATCATTAAATATTCACGCAGACTAAAGAAATGAGTCGAGTTTTTGTGTCGGAAGTTAATAGAGTAGAAGATATATTTCCTATGCTTTTTTTCCCTTCTCCTTCCTCTCGTTAACACAATTGTCCTGAAGGAAAACTGGTAGAAAATGAGGAGGTCGCAGATTTTCAGCTTTCACTTTCTCTTTCGTTGTTAGGGATCACTTGGACTGGTAACATTAATTACATCGTGATGCTAAATTAAGATTTGTTATGGGACAGCGATTGTTAAGGGGTTTTATTCAAATGCCACAGGGTAATGGTAAATTACGATTCGTAACGTAACAACCTAATTATGTTACGTTCGTTTAGTGCAGAGTCACCAATTGGGGCGGTATTAGTCTCAAATATTGTCCCTTTTTTTCCCTGTAGGGTGATCCTCGGAATAATCATGTTCTCCTCTCAAATTATGGTTTTTCTCCATTGTCTCTTTGTATTATTTCTGGCTTCAAACATTTTGACCATATACTATGCAATCAATCGGATCCGTTAATTTATTCTTCAATAATTTTGCTGTTCTTACCTCAATACAGTGAAGTAAAATTAATAGCCCATTCATTCATCTAGTTATTTACTGTTCAATTATCTCCCTCGTCACAATGCTCGCACCCTACTTTGCTCAAACCAAAGTATATTCAAAAGCAATTTTTAAATTGTCATTCATCGTGACAAGATATATTTTACAAGTAATAATCTTACGGACCCTTTGCATTTATATGGTCATGATGTATGGCACTATGTACCAAATCTTTCTGAATTTTATTTTAAGATTACACGTGAAGCCACTGCCTGCTTCTTCTTATATATATATATATATATATATATATATATATATATATATATATATATAATTCAATTATATTGCTGCAAAGTATCATTGCCATTATAATATAATTTTCATTTGAACTGAATCGGATATATCATACATAAATTAAATATATGAAATTAAATTATTATCACGTACTGGCTAACGTTAAAAAGGTAATTTTTACTAAACGCATTTCTCAAAAGTACTTTACCTTTCCATAGGCTTTAAGAAATGTTAAAAGGTGCTTTCTATATACGAAATTCGATTTGATATAATTATATTAGTTGATTCTTGATTGATTCTTATCAGTGTAAAAAAAGACAAATTCTTTAGATTTGTAAAAATTTATATTTTTCTGTATTCAATTTGTTGACGCATTGCCCACAAAAAGTGGTACGAAAAACAAAGTAAGAAGGACAACTGAGGGTGAAACTTTTCTCTTGAATGAAAAAAAGGAATATATTTTTGCAATTGGTCAGTTGTATTTTTTATCCCATCAAACGGCATATAAATATCAAAGTATTGTCACATCATCAATTTCATCATCATCAACAATTTAAAAAAAAATAATAGTTAGTTTGGTCGAATCGATTTATTTCGTTTCACTGATCATGTAAAATGATGAAAACGAATAAGTTTAGATGAACAAGGCAATGTTAAAATGTTGCACAAAGCCTGGCATTATGGCTTGTATGCCCTTCATATCAGAAAAAGATTGTAACTTGATTTCAAAATTATGAAGAAAAAAAAAAGTTATGGATTTCGGGCAAAAGAATACAAATGAATCTACAATGTGAAATTGATTTTTTTTTTTTTTTTGGAATACAAGTTTATAAATACACAGAAAACGTTCAAATAAATACTACTGAAAAAGCTAAGAAAAATTAATTTGTAGATTAAACAAGCACTCGATTTGGCCGCTTTAGCTTTTCATACTTGTATACATTACCTAACATAATCGATTTGAAATAATGCTTAATGAAAATTGTGTGATCCCACCTTGACAGTAATTTTTTAAATACTGTAATGAAATTGCATTTTTTAATTACATTTTAATTTTAATTTTAAAGGAAAAATTTATACTCACCATGGCCTGTTCTTCTGACAGGTCATCTTGCGATGGCAATGATTGCGACTGCTTCCGGTGTGACGCCGCCGACGACGACCTCGAGGGGATGACTCCGGGTTCCACAACGTGAGCGACGATGAGCAGGATGAACGAGATCAACACACTCGTCACAAACTCGGTAGAACCAATGATACGCATGTTCGATTCTCTGCAGGCTTTCATTCAAGTCCAAAGGTGGATCCTTAATAGATCTGGTGAAGTTCGAAGAACTGCTCACGGCGGTGGTATCCAGAAAAAAGTTTTCCAGGTTATCTAAACGGAGAGTTGTCTCATAATGTACTCGGAACTGAGTTCTCTGTTTTCTTCGGGATGCTTTTTGTTTCAAACGGATGCGTGAAGAAAATAGGGTCCAGTTTCTTCTTGAGGCGATGAGTGGACCAAAGAATAGACCCGACTTGTGATCCAGAGTCGGTTATGATAGAGAGATTGTTGGTCCTGCTGTTAAGAGGGTGATGAAGCCTGACTCAGCGGTATAATGGAGCCTTGCCGACCTCGGTATGAAAGGTAATCCTGTTGGGAGAGTACACAGGCACGTTGGTTAATGGTTTCCCAAATCGTACTATAGCCACCCAGCCCCTAAACTTGAGGGCATTTTAACCCCAAACATTGACAAACATTCCCGTATCCATGTTTAGAAGTGGACAAAAAGGAAGAGAAAGACTTTCAGCCAATGGCATGCCCTTATGCTAACTTCCACATAACAAATAAAAAGTTATGTGCCAATGATTATTCTGGATTTACCCAAAATATCCAAGGGACGGTTATCTGTAGAAAAATGACATTATCAAAAAAGGTTCCTCATCTTTCGATAGCATTTACAAAAAGCAAACACTTATACTATTTATTTATTTATTCAATTCTGATATTTAGAAAGGGTGAGAGGAGCACAGAGTTTAGTGTACAAAATAACCACCACTTTCGGCATCCATGAGATGCATTGGAACACGCGAATTTGGCGCCACGTCCTCACAGTGACGATATAATACTCTTACATGTAAGTGTTCCAATAACATTGCAAGTCAACCGGAATGTTGGTTAACAACGCCAATAATTAATTAACTGCATTATTCTTGATATTCAGCCAAATTCTGGATCTTAAACCCAACTGTGTTGGGTGGCCAGCAGATCCTGAAATACTGCCCAATATAGTTTCAGATAAAAGAGTTTATCATCGTAAATTTATTTGCGCGGGAAATAAAAGATGTGGGATTTAGGGCTTGGGAAAGTTTTACAAAAGTTTGAATAAAACGTTTTGGGTTAGTGTGATGGTCACCTTAGAGACAGCATGAACTCCGGTCTATAAACACTCCATCAATTCTGTAACGGAAAGGATTCCCTTTGAATAAAATAACAGTGATAAGCCTTCCGTTGTGTCTATCCCGATCACTCAACCAAAATGTATAATAACCACATACAATGATGCATTTTGATTGGCACAACTGGTACCATTAAAAAAAAAAGTATATCATTAAAAAAAAGATGAGCGAAAAAGAGGGAACGATGTGCCATGAAAGTGTTGTGGAAGAGGAGAGAAAGAGACGGGGAAATACTGTGCAATTATGTGTGCGTTTTTGTAACCTCGGCTCTGCGTGTGCGTGTGTGTGTGTGTGTGTGTGTGTGTGAGAGAGAGAGACAGACTGAAAGATAATGTAAAAGGTCGTGAGGAAACGTATCCGTTATTGCATGTATGTGCCTGTGCGTGTGAGGATGTGTGTGTGTGCGTGTGCGTGTGGATGCGTGTGTGCGCGTGAGACAAGAAAAACTAAGTTGCATGTGTTTATTCAAGGGTGTGCGTTCGTGAGAGAAAGAAGTATAAGAAGTGAAAGTAAAAGAAGATGGAAGAAGACGAAAGAAGAACGAGAAGAAAAAGTAGTAGTATTAGTATTAGTAGTAGTCACGGTAGTAATAATATCCTGAGAGACCACATTAAAAAATGAGCTCAACGATATGAGAGTGGGCGAACTGAAAAGCGAAGGAGAGCTTTTAAGTACATAATTAATAACTAGATAAATACTGGGGAGAGATGGAGATGAAAAGACAGATACTAGAAATGTTTATAAAGCTTAAAATAAGGATATAAATCTTGCCTAAGCCCTACTCGAGTGAAGAATAGGTAAAAGCGAAAGTTTCCCCAACCCCCGTGATCTCCTGAAAGAAAGTTGTATTACGCTGGGGGAAATTTAGCTAAGCGGCAAGACGATCCAACAAGTGATATTTCCGTGTGAAGTATGATAAGTCAAAAAGTAATCACTGGCTAAAGAGGTACATTTTAGGGCGTTAGGTTTTGCCTCAAACATTCTTAACTAAACAACCCGGTAGAGCCGTCTCCACTCAATTGTTACGCTGTTGACTCTGCTTTATGTTCTTTTTTAGTACAATTTGAGGTAAACAAAAAGAAAGGGTATTGCGAAAAGGTTTTGAGTTTGCCGAAAAGGAAACTTTGTAGTAGCAGTTGGGGCATTGCTTGTATAACATATTCATTCTAGCTTACTCTCCCTCCCCCTAGCTCTCTCAAACACAAACGCACACACCGGCGAATAAGCGCGCACACATTTTTTTTTCTCGTTTTTTTTCACTCCCCGCCCCCCCCCCTGCCCCCCCCCCCCTCTTTCTACAAACGAAAATGTGACTGACTAAAGAGTATATCGGGCACCTTTGCTCCATTTCTATTTGAACACTTCTAAACCGATAATTAAAGTTCAACGATAAGTTTTAGCGACGTATCCCACTTTAATATACAGCAAAATCTGCATTCACCATAGTAAAGCAATAAATTATGTGTATCTCGTTCTAACCTTTAAATACCAGTCCACATGCAACGTCTACATCAAAATGTTACATTGAATTATATGCCACTATTTTATTGGAATGCATGAGAACAACATTTTGAATAATGCCATTAATTGAAATACCCATCCACGGATTAAAATGCTTTGGCATTTTTCACCTGATCCCAGAAGCCTTTCTCCGAGATGGTTCTAAAAGCAAATCGATATCGAGAGAAGCTAGGAAGAATTCCTGTCCATTTAAGTTTGCTGAAATGTGTTTCTTTTATTTTACTTCGATTGTTTGGTCCAATATGCAGCATCACCCTACGCGTGAGTGACTCCAGAATATCGACACCAATGAAGAACAAAATCCGCCATTTTTATTCGGCTCTTTCTTCATACGAGTTTGCTCCCTCAGTTAAAAAACTCGGAGACGCCAAAATCGATTGGGGTGTCAGTGGCTGGAGGTGACAGTTCGAGTGGTCTTTGAAGGAGTTATAGGGGATTAATCAGCTTTCAAGTTATTCAATACGCCCCATACCAGCCTCTCAAAGGCCTTTATTTTCATTTGCTTGGTATATAAAATCACAATAAGTTTGAGATATTTTCTTAAGAATAACCGGATGCGAGATCTTCAGTCTAGGTGTGATATAAAGACCATCTCCATAGCTCTGTAAGAGCACCGGTGATTCGCAATTCGTTTCAATTTGTCTTTTTACCCCCTCCTGTTTAAGCATTTTCTGTATCTTTTCAAAATGTCTCCGAGATCTGACATTTCAATTGATCATGATAAATTCTTCATGGAGTGTTTGTTTGGCCTCCATGAGAACCACTGACAAGTGCTGGGAAGTACTGGTCACTCCTGATGACCACTGTGTAGTCAATAAAACATTTGATGAAAGCCGACTATAGGGGCCTTCAGAATTTAAATCCTTTTTATGTCAAACAGCAAGATCACGCGACTAAATGTTTTTATCGGACCGACTTCATTTTCATGTCTCTAATTCTAGCCTTTGTAACAAAGAATGGCGCCTCATTAGACCCGAACCGATGTGTAGTTGTTTGGGTTCGTTTTTCGTAGAAGAAGAAAAGTTCTCACGTTCAAAATGTATCATTTTCAAAGTAGGAAGACAAGCTTTTAAGAGATTCGTTTCAATTTCCACATTTGAACTATACACTTTTAAGTGATTTAACTCTAATCCCCATTTTATTCAACTATTCACATAACCGAAATGAATAATGATATATTTTGGCGCTTACAGATCAAACCGTAATCGGGGTAATGATGCTTTCTTATGACGTTGTGTTTAGTTCTCCATCAATAGGGATTACATATCTGAGATTAGGCACTCGAAAAAGCGTAAAAGCTTATTAAAAAGTATTACTCTTTCTACTTTGCGTTATACTTTGAACACATTTGAACAAACCGCATATCAACAGAATAAGGAATACTCTTCTTAAGATAGATTATCGTGTGTGCTATTTCTTTTGTACCAAAACGTATTTGTTATGGAGGTGGTAATTGTTCCCATTCGGCTTCTATGATACACTAATTTTGAATAAAGCGTCTAGGTATAACAGGGGGAGTCACAATGATATCTAGATTGGGGAGAAAGTAGGGGGATGAAGAGAGAAAAGTCGGTTCAAATGTATATCCCTCTTATCTTCCTGACCAATGTTCGGGCAGGTCTCTGACCTATAAATCCGAAGTTGGTTAGTACAGGACTCGAGATTTGAAAAGGAGGGGAACTAAGATGTCACTTGAATTGGGGCTCACCAACAACACAGGGTACTTTTTATAAGTACTCAGTGTCTGCTTTATGGGAGCCGGTATAATGCGACAGAAATGCTTTGAATAAAGTTAAGAAGTTAAGAGGAAATAATTTTGAGGTGTTACTTTTATAATATGGGATATCTTGACCTAGAACATTGTATTTCATGAGAAGTAAATGTTATGGTGAGGAAACAAATCATTTTGTGATACATATTGATTCATGGATACATCGGTTTAATTCTTTCTCAAAATTATATATACAACAATTGACATTTTTTCCTTTATTAATCACTTCAAACAGAGTGATATTCCTGTGCATATCCTAGCCAATAATCTGTCATGAAGTAATGTGGACGGTGTATGAAAGTAATACAGCGTTACTTTGAAAACAAAAGGAAAAACTTGTGCGAGGAAATTTGCAGAAGCAAAACTACAATCCACGGATGATTATATAAACTTAAAATTCTTGTAAATAGTCTACTAGTTTCCTGTTACGAAAGAAAATGATTGAATTCGATGTAGTGATAATATTGTCTTTAGACGTGTGTCACACCAAAATTCAAAATTGGCAGGTATTTGCCAATTAACAAGCTTTTGACAAATCAATAAGACCAGGACGAGAAAAAAGGCCTACACCTCTTTTTACTAAGATACATTAAAAAGAACGAGAAAACGTTGAAACCGAAAGTGGTTGACAAATGGAAAAGTGGAAAATGATCATTCATTTGTGTAGACCATTAATGTTGTGGAGATTTGATGACAGATTTTGTCAAAATTATTCGATAAGACGTCAACCACATAATTCGTCGCTGTTTTCACGAAGTGACGGTAGTGAAAAAAATTTGCATTCACTTTGCGTTACGATTATTCTCACTACCGTCACTTCGTGAAAACAAGGACGAATTATCTCGAAC